CTTGTTTATTCTTACGTAAGCGTACATTGCAAAGAGCAACCGTATTTCAGAGTTTCAAAATTATAAATGAAGTTTTGATTTTCCACGTGTCATATTCTAATTTTTTATGTATTCGCATACCACTCACCTACTATTGCAGAGAACACCGGCGGATCAGGTAAAACATCTTCCCGGTTATTATTTGTTTTTTGAGTCAAAGCTGTTGATTGACCATCCGTCTACAACATTTTTCGAATAAAGCAAGCGATAAAAACAATATGGAAAGTCTACCGTTTCAATAGAAGTGTTCGAAGTAGAAGAAATGATTTTGTTCTTAACTAGTTTAGATCGAAAAGCTAAAAATCTTTTTCTTCGTTTAGAATCTTCTTCTAAGGTTATAACTCCCCAACGAACACCTGAACACAATAAATGAATTCTGATTAAACAGCTTCCTCTACCTAGAAATAGAATAGAATCACTAGTCGTGTTTGCTATCCATTCTAATGCGTGCAGTAGAAAATCACCCAAGTCATTTAAAATTATAATCATAATAGGAATTCCAACGAACGCATACAGTAACGTGGCGACTTGCCCTGCTTTTGTTTTACAGGCAATGTTACCATATCCTGCAAAAGTTATTTTATTTTGTTTCTGATATACATCGCTGCAGAAGTTTACCGATTGTTGTGTAGATGGTTCCAGCGTACAGGAACGCCATCCAGAATGTCCAATCAGTGTCAAGACTTGGTTCATCAAGACTCAAATCATTCTCAAACTGTCTAATGGCATCTTTCCAACGTTCTTCTCGATCTTCCTTCTGCGAATAATAAATGGCACGTAAGCTGAAAAGGGATGGAGGAAGTGTATAAGTACAGTATGGCTTACTTCAGAATCATAACTTCACGGGCTATTAATCGAGCATGATACTGCTCTTCTTTCAACTGTAAGTCAGTTGGTACCTTAACAATCAGAAGCTGCATGAGTAACAGTCAGTAATCTTGCGAACCTCTAACGTGGTGAACAGCCACGCTCCGAATATGGAATAAATAGATATAACAATTAACAGTTTCGACTTATTTAGAATATACTTAATAGCATTAACAACTGGATCACAATAATATTTTCTGAAATAATATTTCGTATGACTGCAGACTGAGTGCGAAGAATGGTTTTGTTAATAACCTATAACCCTACGTTTTCCGAATAGAACTTCGAATGCTTTTCTTGATGGAAGCAGCCGCTGATGAAATTTGCTGTTCTTCTTCAAATTTGTGAATAAGATGTCTTCTTGAAGATCGAATACCAGTCTCGACATCATAATCATCTATTGATAATGAGTCATCTGGCGGATCTATTTCTAGAGCCTAAAAATGAATAAGTAACAACTGCACTCAAATATTATTGTCCTAATATTTAAGATGAAATTAATTTTTTTTTAAAGTTCATTCAACGTCAGAGGTTGTTGACACTCTTCAGTCGGCCGTGGTATGATAACTCGAGAACTTATCCTTTCATTTAGTCAACTATTTGACAAAAACTGTCCTCTAAACAACTGAACAATGCAGATTGATGTCTATGAAATATTAAAATGGAAATATTTAAATTATGCTTTTGTTTCATATAAAGTAGCTGCAATGTTCGAAAAAAAAACTTTTTCATTAATACATGCAGCCAGATGCATTTAAAAACATTTTTATTCATTTCAAATATTTTTCTTTCTACTCATGTTGCTTTGATATAATAATATGAAAATAATGTAACTCATAGACTTGCAACTGCTTTTTGTAAAAAAAATTATTTTTGAAAAATAAAAATAAAATATTTTTGATGAATGAGATGGTACGGTAGTGTAAAACTTACAAAATTATGTTCAGCCATACGTCTAGTTAGATTAATATAAATAAATATGAATATAAATGATAGAGAGATAGTATGAGAAGTAGAAAAGAGAAAAAAGAAGAAAAAAAGATAATGGAGAATGTGCTATATGAGACAGTTGATTGGGTGTACAACAGAGGAAATACAGACAAGAGAACTAAGCGATGAGTGGCTCCGTTGAACATTCCACTTTTAAATGCACACACACACGCACACAAATCACCACATAGATAGGATATACTATATCATATAATTAGAAAATTATATAATGATTATTTAGAGTTTTATCTATTTTATTTTTTTATTTGTAAAAAGTGGTGTTTTTGCTCATTTGGACATTGTAGGTGAAGTTTCATTTCACATTCATCTACCGCGTATCACGATGACGTGTCAACAGCTTGTTTTGAATATTTCTTAGAGCAATTGATGAGATGACGGTTGTACCTCTTGTTACCTTGTTTTATGAATAATATTATTTTAAATGAAAATTGTTCAGCTTTATCGGCAAATCAGGACAACAAAATGTTATTTGGAAACATCTGCTATAATTGAATGAAATTTATTTTTTTTTATTATTCTACTGAAATCAGAGAAAAAGAAAGTACAATAGGCGGTGCATCTTAAGAGCTTTTCTCTCAAATCCAAACATTCAGTTGTTCATTTGTGATTTCTTAAATCTTTTCAGAATTGAGTGTTTCAATTGTGGAAGATAAAAAAGAAAAAAAAGAAATTTCTTTTTCATTTTTCAAAAGTATAACTTGAAGATGAATAAGTATCTATATCATTGGACAATAACTGATTATGAATTATACAACTGCAGGTAAGTAGTTTCAGTAACTCACGTGTGAATTACATTATGTTTGAGTGTGATGACACCTGAGCAGCAATTAGTTAATCCCCCGTATCCAAGACCGACTTGGGGCTATTTGAGTGTTGTAGGAGGATTTATAACACTGGTATAAATCTATATCTTATTGTTTTTTTTTTGATTACTATTTGAAGCTATTAAATTTTGTTTGTATAAAAGCTATGATGAATGAACGTAATTGGAAATTTTCTTGTTATAAACTAATGGCTTATTTGACTTTCTTTGATTCTGGCTCTATCGTCTGCGGCACTATAATATATGGTATTTAACATTTTAATACAGATTATAAATAAAGAATAAAGGAGGCATATTCATTACTGGAGTAACGTTCTGTGATTATCCAAACACTGTATATCTAACAGGAGCTCATGCCTTACGTATGCATTTTGGAATTAACTTACTAGCCAGGGCTCCTCTTTCACCTTTAAGTAGAACTCCTTTTTTTCATCTCAGGAACCAAGCATTATACAACCGAAAATTAATGAGATAGGAGGAGCACTGTTGATAAATATTTATATTATCTCTATAACTATTAAACTTTCTTGTTTAGTCAGTTATTTGATTTCATCCACAATCTGTCTGCTTCTGGTGATTCTTCGTATTGTGGGATTGACCAAGTGAGGATAGTTAGTTATATATTATTCAATACTAATCATTTAAGTTACACTTTTTTGAAAAAAGTATTTTATACTTCAAAAATATATTATTTGATCGCTTTTGGAGTAGCTTATGGTCTGGCTGGATACATATTCTGTCCCCCACCCATAGCATCATCATATCATGGTGCCGGTCAGAGTGATCCATTGATTTATCCGAATCGGAGAGACGATGTGAGCGTTCAATTGATTTTTAGAAAAAAAAAACATTTGTCTTTCGCAACTGAAAAAAAGGCGGAACGCTGTTCATAGAATATCAATGCTAAAACGAATCAATTTGATTCTTTTATGCTAGGGAATATTCTCACACCAATACGGGTGAGCGTAGTTGTGCCTTACATCTTATTCTGATATTCTCTGAAATCTATACATTTATGAAAATGATTCATTGCTGATAATTGTTTTTGTTCCTGGTAATGTCAGACTTTATCAGCTATTTTAACATGTAGTTTGCTCTTTTTATTTTACACACATGATAAGATCTAACTACTCATCGAAATTTTGAAGAAAAAAAAATTTGATTTGGTTATAGTATGTGAATTACGCTATGTTCATTAATTGCGTTACTGTTGTATGCATGACAACCTTTCTCTACATGGTCTTTGCGCGACGTCTACAAAATGAATTTAAGAAAAATTCTGCAACGTATAGTCCAACAAGACAGTTCCAAAGTCGAGCTGTGAGTTCCTTTTTTTCTTAATGAATCACGCATGCATGTGTAAGCATAGAAAGGATGCTAGTATAGCATTTCTCATACACATGATTCATCTGATTTTACAGATGTTTCTTCAAATTTCAATCCTCTCTGTTTGTTACTTCTGTACTTCTTTCTTTTATGTTATGATTCAAGTAATCACCTTACCAAGAGTTTTTTTTGTAGTTGCTCAACTGTTCTATCAAATTGTCACAGGTATAGTCATCATCTTTCTTCTAGTCACAATGAGTTTGATGCTTTAAGCAATGCCATGCTTTCTATATTTACTTCTCAATAAAAATATCAGAACTGATGTAATGAGTCTGACTCTGAATGGAATACATAAAGTGTTCATACATCAATTACTTATCTATTTTCTATCTTTTGCAGTTGCCGTTCTCGTTTATATCTTCCTCGACAGTGAGTCAGAAGAGTAAAGTTCATGACGAAGTCACTCATAAGTATAAAAACTCATTTTGATTCGGCAAAGGAAACGTTTGACACCTTCCTTGTGTCACCCACTAATTCATATCAATCTTCTCTCTTAGTATATTCTCTCTTCGTATACGTATAAGTACATACTTTATGAGCTATAGTCGTATTATTTGTGATTATGCCCTCTATTATTACTTCTCTTATATAGAAATGACTGCGATCGAACTAAATTCACAAAACAACAAAGACGAGCCGAAGAAGCCAAAAAAACCAAGAAGTAAGTGTGAGCAATTAGCAGATTGATGGTCTTTTTTTGAGGAAAGAATAGAAACAAACAGAGACAACGATCCAAGAAGACCAACGAGATATCGGGTAAAATCATTTATTCATTATATTATATTATTATAAAAAATCTTTACTTTCAGATGAATTGAGCAAAGCGGTGGAGATCTTTCAAAGAAGCCCTAAAGATGGATTATGCGAAATTATGATGCTTCTGAATGCATTTGATTTACAACATGATACTCTCAAGATAGAGCAATGTGATTGGATGCCATACGATGTAAGCCTGATTTCGAACTGTGAACCACCTTTCCAAATTCAAGCTAAAATCCCTTTAGCACCACTAGGACTAAGAGGGTGGAATCCAAAAGAGCACGTGACTGCTCATATCGGTTCAGCCCAAGTCTCTCTCATGATTATTGCTTTGGAAAAGTCCCGAGATTTCGCTAATGTTTCTTTCGTTTGTACCAGTAACGATTTGCGACTCTTTGCAATGATTCTCAATGATCAACAGGGTACCCCGATTCCTGCTCGTATCAAGCTGAGTAAGCGTAGAGATAACAAAGATATTGTGGATATAGAAAAAGTTTTCAACTCACTGGCCTTTACTATTGTAAAACAGATGTATGACAAGAACATCAGCGCAGCAGAGAAGAAGTTGATTTTGGAACCACTCTATGTTCCTCGCATCGATACAAAAGTTAGAGTTGGCCAACAAGTTCTACAATTGACAACTGATCAAATCGAGGCAATCAAAGTAGCAGTGTCGAGCAAAACGTGCTCTGTAGTACAATCTTCATTCGGTACTGGTAAAACTCTTGTTGGAGCTCTGATTGCAGCTAATGTAAGCAAAACGACCAAAAAACCCATCTTACTTATTGCTCAAACCAATTCAGCTGTAGCTCAGTTTGCAAGAACAATACAGTCCCTTGAAGACTATATGCATTTGAATCCCGTTAGAATTAAGGCAGAGGATATGAATTCTTTCTCCCCAATTCTTTTCGATATTTATGCTTCGACTCCAATTGATATTCTCTCGCTATGCAAAAGTTCCTCCTTCCTGAATATGTCCGCTGATGAAAAATCAGTGATTGCGAGGTTTGAAGCAGTTTACAAACAACTCGAAGATCGTGTCAAGCAAGCTATTCAGCCGGGAAACCTACCAGGCAACATGACCTCTCCCGAGGCCATGACAGATAGAGTAGAGAATCTCTCTAAAACTGTTAAGAATTACTACTTGTTCAGAGATCAAGCTTATCGCCTTGTTTTCAAGCATAGGAAGCCGCGTGTCTTATGTATCACAGTTGATAAACTTATACGCTCTTTCAAACTCGACAGCTCAAAAAATGAATACTTTTTCCGTTTCGAAAATGCGGAAAATCCCTATTTGACAGATCCCGAAATGATAATTATTGACGAAAGCTCTCAACATCCCGAATACAACTTTCTCACGCTTCTTTCAATCTTTCCTAAGACAAGGTTTTGCTTGATTGGTGATGATAAGCAGTTAACTCCTTACTCTTCGGCACCTTCGGAATCCAAGATCACATCAATAGGTAGACGATCTGTCCTCGATGTTTTGGTGAACCAAGCCGCTCTGGGCAGTTGCAATCTATCGAAACTGTTAACAACTTTCAGATGTCATCCATCCATACTGGAACTCCCAAATGAGCTGTTCTATTCAAAAACTCTTATTAGTGGCTGTAGTGCAGAGAGTAAGAGCTCTGTACTGAAAAAACTTAAATTCCCGAACCCTCATAATCCTATGGCTTTCATAGATGTGAAATCAACTCACTATAAGAGTGAGAACTCCCTATCCTGTGGTAATGACAAAGAGAGAGATAAATGTGTGGAACTGATCAAGCTTCTGTTAAAGAATGAGTGCGTGACGGCCCAAAACCTCGCAGTTGTTAGTTTTTATGCTGAACAACGTATGAGACTTTCAGAAGATTTGAAGAAAGATGAAATCACCAAAGAAGTGAGAGTGAACACAGTTGATTCGGTTCAAGGTGCAGAGTTTGAAGTAGTTATACTTCTTACTACAAAAACTGCTTTTGCCAAAAAAGAGCCTTTCTTAACCAACCCAAATCGGATCAATGTGGCTATAACAAGAGCTAAACATGCTTTGTTCATTATGGGCAGAGAACTCACTCTTAGATCTCTTCCAGTCTGGAGAGATCTTATAGCATTTTGTGAGAAAAACGCGGGGATGCTCGGTGAGAAAGATATTCCACAGCTCTTCTAACATATATATCTTGCCATTTAATGATTGTCACAATTCATTTCTCATCACTCACAAGTATTGTAGTTTTGATTGTCAGTTTTCAATAAAATAATTGTTAAATATTGTTCTTCTTCTGGATAACTTCGTTTGGCTATCCCAATAGCTTACACCAATTATTTTCATAGGTGATTAGCCTTCGCTGGAAAATTAGAAATGATGAAGACCACAGCTCATTTTTGTAATATTGAGGTTTAACGTAAAAATTTTTTCTTTCTCTCTGTGGGCTACTGATTGTACATAGCACGGATAACATTCAATAGGATTTTCCTCCTACAGGTAAGCAAACTATACTGAAAGTGTAGGTATCGTTATTCATTATGAACAGTGCTCGAATCCCAACAGAAATGTGTGCATGTTGCTCATATAAGGCACTCATTCAAAACTTTGAAATGATTTATAATTTCATGTTCTCAAGCAGGAACCAGTTCTCACGGATGGCAATCTACCAAGATCCAGCGCTATCTGATAAATTTTGAATTTTCAAAAAAATTCTTCACAAAAGGCGCGTAAGTATCTCCATAGTGAAAGCTGTGGTGAATTTGTAGTTTTTTCAAGACATTTTCGCCATTAGCTATGATTTAGTACTAGTAAGAGAAGACGAGGTTTGAACAGGAGTGTTTGTTTTTTAGTTTCCGTTCATTTGTTCTTATAACTCGTTTGTTATTTTTTTCTTACCAACTCGAATTTCCAATAATGGCTTATTGGCAATAAGACCAATCATGTGTCGTCGTCCAACTGGATCAACAGATCATCGAATAACAATCAATTCTTATTGTTAAAATAAAGTAATTTTTGAAGTTTCTTCAAACATTTATGTTGTTTTAAAGTTTTGCACGAACATTTCTAAATGAAAACGTTAGCAATATATGTCAACTTAACCACTTTTCACGTTGATCCTGTATAAGGCAATTACTCCACACTTGGGCCAACCAGATGTTTCTCTGACCAACCATTCATCTTTCTCTCTTCACTATTATCCCTATGTCTCTTCATCCTTCTTTGGGTCCTTCTCTTTTCTCGTCTCCCTCGTCTTTCTTTTCATCTTCTTAGTCAAACCACAACCTTTCCGCGATCTTCTCTATTACCCTCCGCTTTCTTCCCTTGTCCACCTGCACGACCTTATTGACTATTTTTGGAAAAGGAGCGTGTTCCTCTATATTAAAGCTGGTTTGCTCAGCTAATTTAACTTTTGTATAATTTCCTTGGAGAACACTCTGCTCTTTTCAGATTTCTATTGTCAAAAGTTGTTCATTGCATTCTGACAGTGACTGGCTGTTGAACAGTTATGACTCAACTTTTCTTGCTTAAAAGGACTTCATCAAAGTCTATGAGTCCTTTGTTTGTTTCAATTCGTCTGAACAAAAGTGTTGAATTATTGAGAAGATTTTCGCGTCACTTTTATTACCAAAAGGCTGTGAACGAATATTAAGTTGTTCGTAAAATGCTTATGCTTACATGTCATCAGTTACAAGAACAAACTGTATTTTAACGATTTTTTTTTATGTATTCTATGGTGCGTCTGATGTTTGTTCTTGGCCGTAAGTTACGCTCCAAGATTCATAAACCCACGCAATCAATGACATCCTTTTCTAGAAGTTCTTCTCAGTTGTGAAATTATGTGTTTCGTACTTACTTTTTGTGTTGAGGTGTCTTCATTTCCGTCCTTGCTATCCCTCTTCATACTGTTGTTCACATTCTTTTTCATCATAGTTCACATCTTCTAATTCTGCATACTTCTGTTGGTTTGTCATCTAGCTGACGTTAAGCTTTCTTGCCCAATATGAATTGATTGTTGTGTAAACATGTCGTCTATCTTCTCTAGTTTACCTTGATGACCTGTAAGAATTCTCTGAGTTCACTGGCGTGTAACTGGGAACCTTATTCGGCAAAATTTCTCATCTGCTTCTTCGAATTATCGATTCATTCATTGAAATCATATTTATACATCGTCGAATACATTCTTGTTAAAATCATTGTATGTTTTTTCTGTCCACTCCACTGCGCTTCTTAATCTCCCTGCACGAGGACTCACCAACACAGACGAAATTTCGAAGGCGATGTCCACCAGTTGCCCGACTGTTTGAGCTCGTCGACATCGCCTCTATTGTACTAGAGAGAAGAGAAGCCAATGTTTTTCATTTGATGTTTTAGTTTCTTTTTTTTGTTTGAAAGCAATTTATGATTGACGACAACATATTAACAATCCAAATTTACCTTGTTGTCTATCTGTTTGTTTGTTTTCTGCCCATTGGTTGTTTTTTTCAGCAATTCTCTTCTACTTCACAGTTTGAATTCCATTACAGGGGGAAATTTACATTATTTCTAGATCCTTTTATTAATATATGCAATGCGTTACATTCTTCTCAATAGTTCTCTCGAGTTCGAATTGATTTTCTCTCTTTTATCGTGTTTTTTACTTTTTCATCTATGCTAAATCTACTGCAGATCGGTGTTTTTAGTGTTTTGTCGTTTATTCTAATTTCACGGACACTTAACGTATGCTAATTTCACGGACACTTAACGTATGCTAATTTCACGTAAACTACCTGTAGCATTTCATTTCAAAACATTCTTACGCAAGAGTTGGTCGTTCTATTCTGAAAAGACGTTTTTATTTTTGTTTCGTATTATAACCTCAAAGATTATAGGTTTAACCCATTTTTCTATTGTGGGCTTGGGTTTCTCATTTTCGTAGCTTTCGCGTTTTGTTTGTGTTTTTGGTTTTTGGGGTATCTTGCTCTTCTCAAATTAGATAGTGCGCGAATATTCAGTTATTTATAGGGAAATGCTCGCTCATATGTACTATATCAACCATATAAACTTTGAATGTCATAAAAATTTGAAAGTAAAATTTAGACCATTTTTAGTGGTTTGTGTAATCCCCACCACTCAGTCACTCACTTTGGGTCGCGGAACAACCATTAGTTTGATTCTTCTATGTGTAGTATTTTTCAGTGGGTCATTCGCCTTATTATCCCATCTTTTTTTTGTGAGAGATTCCCCGTTTAAATAAAAGTTTCATTTCACTGGCCACAATCTCGATATCTCATGGTTTGATTCGATACCCACTCACTTATTTATGATCCACGGTTTTATGATCCACATTTCGTGACAGATTCATCTGCTCTCAACTTCTGTATATTTATCTCTTATTAAATCTACTATTAGTGACAGTTAATTCCTTTATGTTTTAAATCACTCATTATGTTATTTTTAATCACCGTATATCTTACGGGAACACGACTGGTGTTAGGAATAGAAAAAAATAGAAAGCGCGCGCTAAATCACAATACTGGGATGGCAGTAACTTGAGCAATTTCCTTCTTTGAATGCTTTATATATATAATTGTCATTTCATCGATTTAATGCTGTACATACTATTTGTTTCGATTGAACATAATGGTTTACTTCCAATTTGTAGTTCACTACTCTTATAGGTACGATTGATGTGTAATCAACTGATTATAATTTATGCTTTTTCTTCCTTTATCGATTGTGTCCGATTTGCCCATTGCTTGTATTGAGAATAATTCCGTGTTTGTTTATTGTTGCGAATTGTATTACACGTTTTATCTTGTTTCCTAGCTATGACTCACTTTCTTATCCTTAATTATTTCATAATAGTGAGTAAGTACTTCTTCATTGTTTCAGTTAATGCTAATTGAAATTTTCCATGGAGCATAACGGTACTTTAGGAAGAGGTCATGTCTTTCCTCTCGAAAACTACAAGGTGAGTTCCTTTTTTTCAGAGTTTTTTTCATGAAGTATGTTTAAGAAAAATGCTCGCGTTTGGCATCGTCATCCAGAACTGGTTTGGATAAGCGGAGAGCTTGAGGAGGATATATCTTTTCAATCAAAAACTGTCAAAATTAAGTTAGAAAATGATCAAGTTGGGAAGGAAATTAGATACAACTGTAAAACAAAATTCTTCAGCATGTAGAATACCCTATCTCATCACCTGATCAGTTACCGTTCTTGAGAAATCCCACCATTTTATTAGGAAAGGATGATTTAACTGCCCTTTCTTATCTTCATGAACCCGCAGGTTTGTAAGCGTTTTCCACATCAACAACTGTTTGTTTCAAGTTTTGCATAATTTACACTATCGATTCGTTGAACGCGAAAATATTTATACATATTGTGGGATTGTTCTTGTTGCTATTAATCCTTATGCTGATTGCTCTCATTTGTATGGTGATGATGTTATTCAGGTATAGCTCCTCATATGTCTCCCTTGTATAAGTTCCTCTTTCCAGGTTTACCGTGGAGTAGGAAAACAAGTTCGTGATCTAGATCCACACATATATGCTGTTGCAGAAGAGGTTTTGGTAGTCCAATATTATGGAATTAATTTGAAATCATAGGCGTTCTTCGATCTATCTGAATTCGGAAAATGCCAATCTATTATTGTAAGCGGAGAATCGGGAGCTGGAAAAACAGTTTCCGCGAAGTTCGTGATGAGGTATGGCTGCGAAAAAACAAAGAGGAAACATTGATAACCGCTTATTCAGATATCTTGCGTCTATTGCCAGCTCGCGAAAAGGATCCATGGGAATAGAAGAAAGAGTGCTAGCCACAAATCCAATAATGGAAGCTATAGGAAATGCAAAAACCATAAGGTGACTTTTGAAACAAATAAAGAAAAGATTAATGAAATTATCATGATCCAGAAATGACAACTCGTCAAGATTTGGAAAGTATATACAAATAAACTTTGGTGACCGGTTTGCTATATCTGGAGCTGAAATGAAGACGTATCTTCTGGAAAAAAGTCGACTAGTCTTCCAGGTTTGACATTATCATGATGTTTTTCAATGTACCGTAATCACAATTGAAGGCTAAGAACGAGCGTAACTACCATATCTTCTATCAAATGTGTCGGTCTCGCGACGTTCCTATGCTTAAAAATCTTCAGTTAGGTTTGTAAGAGTTTTTATTTGCCGAACTATTTATTTTTTTATAAAGGGCCATGTGAATCATATTTATACACCAGACAAGGAGGTGACAGTAGAATTCCCGGTGTTGACGATCGGAAAGATTTTGATGAGACGCTGAAAGTATTTGCTTGTTCTTTGCTCGTCAATAACATTTTTTTCAAGGCGTTCAATAAGTTAGGATTCAGTGAAGATGTGCAACAACATGTAATGACAGTGTTAGGCGGAATTTTATTACTAGGAAATATTCAATTCACTGATGTGGATGATAACTGTTCTGTTACGGTGAGTTCCACACCAATCTTAAATAACTATAAGTTTATAGGAGGAGAACGCTCAAGATATCGAGAGGTTCTGTCAGGATCTTTATCAAATCCCTGCTAACGAACTGAAACTTTGGCTTACTATTCGTGAAATTCGTGCAGCTGGCGAAGTTGTTAGGAAAGGGCTCAGTAAAACGGATGTAAGCACATGCAATCTGTTCATAAACGTCTATAGAGAAATTTTAGGCTGTTCGCTCACGAGATGCTTTATCCAAACTGATATATGCTTCTATGTTCCATTGGCTTGTAGAAAAGATGAATGAAGCACTGATGCCAAAAGATAGAAAAATAAGAAGAAACGAAAAGTTTGTGGGTGTTCTAGACATATATGGGTAGGAAGTTGATATTAAAGTACCAACTGACTCTTTATTTAGTTTTGAAACTTTCGAAATCAACAGCTTCGAACAGTTCTGCATTAACTATGCTAATGAAAAACTACAACAACAGTTCAATCAAGTTTGTTCTCCGTATGTACTTCTCATCTCATGAACATTTCCAGCATGTATTCAAATTGGAACAAGAGGAATACGAAAGAGAAGAAATCGCTTGGGTTCGAATCGAGTTCTATGATAACCAACCTGCAATCGACTTGATAGAAGGAAGACCAGGGTTAATCGACTATTTGGATGAACAGTGCAAAGTATTTTCATTTTTTTTGTTAACTGTCACACCATTCCGTTTCAGGTTGTACGAGGTTCTGATGATGGTTGGCTAAATCAGATGACGAACTGTCCGGTATTGAAAAAGAACGCACAGCTTTCTATGCCAAGAATCAAAAGCAGAGACTTTATAGTAAAACATTTCGCTGCTGATGTATGATTTTTGTTTTTTCTTGGTTTTATGAGTAACTTTTCTTTATCCAGGTTTCTTATTGTACCACTGGTTTTCTCGAAAAAAATCGAGATACCGTTAGTGAGCAGCTCTTGGAAGTTATCGGAAATACGAAGGTTCGCTTTTCTTCTCATGTCGTCCAATATATTTTATTTTTACAGTTCAAATTCCTATTGGAAGTGCTAGGTCCGATTGTTGTAGTTGATCACTCTGCAGGGGGCAAGCGTCTTGTGAAAAAAACTGTTGCTAGTCAAGTATAATGTTTTTACATTCCTTTTAATAATAAGGATGTTTCCAGTTCCGTGATTCTTTAAAAGAATTGATGGAGGTGCTCTGCACAACTCGTCCTCATTATGTTCGATGTATCAAGCCGAATGATGTTAAGGAGAGGTTCTAGATTTTTTTTTGAAAATTAGTCATGTGCCTACTCTTAAGGTATTACTTCGAACCTAAAAGAGCTATTCAGCAACTACGCGCATGTGGCGTACTTGAAACTGTCAGAATATCTGCTGCCGGCTTCCCATCCAGGTACCGTTATCAACGCGTCCAATTAGCTAGTTTTTTTATAAGATGGCCGTATGAAGACTTTGGGCGTAGATATAGAGTTCTATTTCCTGAAGGTAAAGCATTGTGGCGAGATAAGCCAAAAATGTTCGCCGAAAAAGCTTGCGAGAAATGTTTGGAGGTAAATAAATTTGCTACTAGAAGTGTCATAAACCTTTGTTTAGCCCGATAAGTTTGCTCTTGGAAAAACTAAGATATTTTTCCGAACTGGACAGGTTTGTGCTTTGAGACATTCAATTTTAGTTCCATTTTGAAGGTCGCCTTGCTGGAGCGAATCAGAATTGAGACTCTCAGTGTTTCGGCTGTACTGATCCAATCGTGCTGGAGAGGTTACATAGCCCGGAAACGCTATGAAGAATACAAGCAAAATATCAAGCTGATTCAGGTTAGAAATTTTATTCTTTTTCCATGTATGTAAAACGAAGACTCTTTATATGTGCATTAGAAAAGAGTCAACCCATGTTTTCTCATGGGATCAAACGTTTCCGTTCTGAAGAATCAAATTATAGTTTATTTGACATTATTTTTTTTCTGCAGGCTGCTACCAGGGCTTACATGTTCTATCGTCGGTTAAAGTTCCTCCAAATGTACAGAGCTATTGTTACCATCCAGTGTGCAGTAAGGTAAGCATCAATCAGCTCTATTGATATTTCATTGACATATTTAGGCGTCATCAAGCTGAAAAGAAGTATAAACAGATGAAGCATGCAGCTTTATCTATTCAAAGCTACTATCGTGGATCAATTGTTCGCCGTCAATTCGAGAAGGTGCCTACTTCTTAGTCACCTTGAGTATGCTCTCTTTTTTCCAGATGCGCTACGAGCAATCAGCTATCATTTTACAAAAGTATTGGCGAGGATATTTGGTCAGAAGGGACCAAATTAAACGTGTGCAAAAGATTGTAATTGTCCAGTCATGCGTTCGAAGATGGCTAGCGAAACGTAGACTCAGAGAACTCAAGGTACTAAGAATACTCTTTAAAGTGTTAATTTTTTAAAAATATAGATCGAAGCTCGATCAGTTGATCATTTGCAAAAATTGAACACCGGACTCGAGAATAAAATCATCGAGTTACAAATCAAACTGGATTCAGCGGTTAGTTTTCTTTATACACATTAAGATTCTCTCTATTAACGCTAGAATGAATGAACATCTTCAAATTAGCGAAGGGTTAGTTCGCAGAATCTGGCGTCCACCTGATTCGTTTTTCTCTTGTTCCAGCTTAGTCTATACTTTTGGCGTCGTGATTTTTCTTTTTTGAGCTTTGCATTTTAAGTTAGTTGACTGACCACAGAGTTTGACACTCATAGCTCGAACTTGATGCTGTTTTATCCTCAAGAGAATTTGCAACTTCAAAATCTCAGCTCTATTTATCTGTCAAATTATATTATTTCTTTTCTTAGAATTCGCGTATGTAACAAAAACTTCATCAAAACCTGAACACAGATCTGAAAGTCGTTCATTGTTTTATCTTCATTGAACTCTTTTTTTTTCCTAATCAGCTTTCTATCCTCATATTACTAAAGATATTTAATTTGTCATTATAGAACCGCGAAAAGAAGAAGCTAGCTATGATTGCTGATAACTTTGCTCATGCCAAAGCTCAAATAACTGTTTTAGAAGAAGAAAGGTTCACCTCGCCGATTGTTAGGAAAAATTAAAATATCTTTATAGGCCATCTTTGTTTGCTGCCAGGGAGAGGATGGAAGAGCTGGAACTCGAAGTAGAACGGTTAGAAACTGAATGCGATGTGAAAGAGGGTGAGAAAGGAGAACTGGAGAACAAACTGAGTGAAGTCCAAAGTCGCATGGCATTGGTATGTTTGTTTTTTAGAGAAATAATTATGATAATAATATATAGCTTCAAAACGAGAGTTCTTCAAACATAACAAGTTTAACTGAGAGTTTGAATTCATGTAATAAGAAGATGAAAGAGTTTGAAGATGAGAACGAAAAATTGAAGCAGTTGATATCAGCAGGTAATTTGAACCACCTTATTGTTTTTTTTAAATAGTTGCTTTAAGAGTCTGGTTATCGCACCCAGGCTGAAAATGAATTAGCGCAGATGCGTGAGCAGTTACTGCAGAACGCCAACTTGCTCTCATCACCATCTTTCAGTCGAGCAGGAAGTGTCCGTGATTCAGGTAATTCTTAAGGGCATGAGCATAATTGACAATCCATGTCGTTCAGAAAACGTGAAATCTGACTATAAGTTGAACCGCTCCGGGAACTCAGGATTTCTTTCGTTGAGCTCGGGGTCGGGAGACATGGATGAAATGGCTCTCATTATCAAACAAAACCAAATGATTAGCGAACTTACAACCAAGTGAGATCACCACGCTTATAAATGACATACATACTTTTAAGACTCGAACAATACCAGAGGGATAATGAGCGATTGAAGTGTCTTATGGAAGCTGCCACAATGGTGGATTCTTTGGACAAAAGAACATCGCTCCGTGCATTTGAATCACACCGGTTGCAAGTATGTTAATATATTTGTTTCTATAATAAGGCTCTTAAGGAGCTCGAGACTTCCTATGGCAGACTTAAAGTGGAGTTTGAGCGATTGATTGCTGAAAAGGCTAATTATGGTGTCGAGAATATGAATATTCAAATGCTATTTGAGAAATTGATAGAAGAGAATGAAAGGTGAGTTGTGTACGCAAGTGTGCACAATATTAATTTTTTGTAGATGCCATGAAGAATCTGCTGAACTAAGAGCAATGCTAACAAGTCGTTTTGAACGGCAGTCTGGAAACGCTGGTTCTCCTAGACCAGACTCCGGACACTGGAGTGAAAATCATTCTGAAGTCAGATTTTTATTTATTTAATGGTTTTATATAAATTGTTCAGGATGGTAGCACTGATCTTGATGAAGAATTGTGCACCGAACGACAATGCCGACAACTAAAATCGCTCGTCGAGTAAGACATACGGCACACATGCGCAAGATGTATAATTAATTTCCAGGAATTTGAGTAGAGTCTTAACTGATAGAAACAAAGCCATTGATATTTTGGAAAAGAGACTGCACGAGGCAGTTTTACCTTTCGTAAGTTTATAAATTATTCTTTACTGGAAACTTATTCAATTTACCGAAAGGGAGGGTTATGCATTTTATACACACTTCTACCAGCCTTATTCGTTAGACTTCATAGATTTATGCATGAATGAGGTCTCTATAGATCTCTTTATTCTTTGTAACTTCGAAGTTTGTGGACTGCTAATTCCCTTGTGAGTTGAAAAACTATAGTTCTGCAGTTTCATATCTATATCCTCTGTTAAAATTTGTTTGGGATGTGTATGGCAGGTGGTTCAATACCTCGGCCGTCATATCTTCATGTTTGCATTAGTCGCTGTTGGTAGTCCGGCTTATTTAACGTCTTCAGCCTTTTAGTAGTCATCATGTACTCTTTTTATTAATGTACGTTTTCTGATAAGCTAGCAGAAACATCCTCTATTTGATATTAGAGTTGTATGTGTTCTGATGCTTGATCTATCTTTTAGCGACATATCTATATATCCAACGCTCAGAATGGTTGCATTCAATGCTCTCTACAGAGTTCACACAGCGGTCTCTTTCTAATTAAGTTTGGAATATGTCCGCAGTTCGATATTTCTTAATTAATGTTAAACTCCAATATATATTCCGATTATTATTGCTTTATTACTTCATCGACCCATCGGGCGATTTGGTCAATCCTTGGTCCATCGGTTGTCACTATGACAACGCTTAGCCGGAGAAAGCGTAATAATAACACTACGCACACTCTGTGGTCCTTCTGCTTTGTTAACCGTTAAAATTTCTCTCAAATCTTCTAATTTTATTCCAAGGTCTTCATAATTCAAAGTGGAAGTAGTCTTCTGTTCATTTAACGATGTTGTAATCCGGTCTATTATACCGGTTTTGTCTGGATATTATGACCCCATTCGTTGCGCCACTACGACTTTTCTCTAACTATGCTTACTCTGTTTGATGGTTACCTGAGGATTTTTGACACGTTTTTTTTAGCAATATTTCTATCAAAATTTTAAGTTCCTCTTCACATAGACAACATCTGTACCTTCTCATCTATAGCACCCATTGATTGAAATTCAAGAACTCTTGTTTTCAAAAAAACTGCCTCCTTTGGACATAGTCGATGTTGACTTGGTTGTCGCCTATGTCGCCGGCTATCGTTTGTCATGTCGTGATGAATAGGCAAAACATCGATTGTGAACAAGGCCTTTTCTAGTTGGTTTATCCCTGATTTACCTGCTTTTTTGTCTTCTCTTCTTCGTTAACTAAAGCGGCTCGACTATTAAGTACTATTTTGGGCATTTCTCTCATTCAAACTGCTGCATGTGCTCACTGCAAAACATGAATCGATCAGCACCAAATTATTATTGTATGACGTTTGAAGAAGATATGGAGGGACAAGAAGCGCATAGTAGTACCCATACCAGTAAGGTAGTATTTCAAAAACACTAAATAACAAAATTATTTATATGTTACTAAATTTTTGTATATTTATAAAGTTATCATATATTACAGAGACCCTCAGAATGCTCGTTGGACGAAAATATCAAAGGAATGCATGGACAATTAAACCATTTGGCTTCAGAAAACCTAGTGAGTTATATTCTGTCATTAAGTCGGATGTTTTACTTTTCCAGGCATTGAATGACAAGCTTATACGAAACTCTGAAGAGTTAGCTGAAGCTAGAGCACAACTTCGTGGCTACACGGGAGGATTAGGCTTTTCACTTGGTTTGTTCTTAATACGAACTATTTCTCCCACTTTCCCTGTACTGAAGCACCTCTTGTTGTGTCATATCCCTTGCACGTGGTGTTAACCTCTTGATTCATTTCGATTAACTTCTGAATGTATTGTTAAAATGTTCGAAACTGAGCTCCAGAAGACTGCATTTCTGAGTTTCTTTAGCAAAGTTCAAACAGAAAGAAAAAATATTAATGGGGACAAGCTTCCTTTTGCTAACTTCAAAAATTATTGAGTATTGAAGTTACACTTTTTTTTTAATCTTCTAAAGTCTAAAAGTGTAAATCATAATAACGATATTCAAAAGGAATGTCAAAGACGTTAGCTATTTCTCCCCACTATAATAATCTGTTACATGATTCGAAATTTTGTTTCTTGTTATTGTTGGATATATTGTTTTAGAAAAGTTATTTGCATTAAAAAGTCTCTTCCTGTCTAAGTTTTTACGTGTTAAAAACTAATTTGGTTGAGACCAAATACCTATGTTGCATTCAGAAAAGCTTTCGTAATCTCCTGGCCTATCAAGGCTTTGTTTCATTTCGCTATCTTATTGAGCGTCGTGTGTTCCCTTACGCTGTCAAATTTTTCGAAATCGCTTTTCACCTTAATCCATTTTAGAATGTTCAACACGTTCTTGTCCACATTATATTGAACTAGAAATACACGCATTTCTTCTTGTTTTAGAGCCTCTTTCGCTTCCTTTATAGCGTGAGAAAGCCACCGAATTCCCTGTCATTTTATCAGTCCTTATTCATTAAGGAGTTGTGTCTTCCTTGTTTTGCGTAAGAATAATGCCCTCTATAGCCTTCTATGTCAAACTATCTTCTTCCATTTATTCTCATTTTCATGTTTATTCCTTTCTAATGCATGGCTATTTTGATGAGACAATCTTTCCTTTTTCTAAAACAGTTTCCACGTATTGTTGCCTTTTGGAACATCTTTTAACAAAAATCGAAGTTGCTGAATGATAGCAACATTAATGGAACTTGTCTTACAAGTTAATTAAACAATGGTTGTGAAAAGACATTTATTTCTGTCTTCTTAGGTAGCGCTGTCATCTCCCCTTCTAGCACTCTGTTTATATTTAACCAAACCTCATATCTTTGTTTGAACTATTTACATCATTTGCTTTACAGATCATACTTCTGATTCTGAAATAGTTCGGTTGGAATCATTAAGTAAAGATAGTGTTGAGCATTCAGCTCTGTTGGAGGTGTTCAACGTTCCCGAGTTCTCAAGGATACTTTTCTCAGGTAATTCAGTAATATGTTAAGTTATACTTATGTGAATTCAGATTTAAAACCAAGACTTGCTCGATTATTAACCAAGTGCTTCCCATCTTACTTACTACTCACAGCTTTCCGGTATTATGACCACGCCAACGACGAAACGGCACTCACCGGCTTGTTTTCTACGGTCCATATTTTGCTCAAAGATACAATCACGGTAGGGTTATAGCTCTCTATGTATTATGTTGACGTTCTTCAATTTAGCGTTCGAGCGATATGGATGTATTGTCGGTATGGTTTGTAAATACTTGGCGATTGTTGAATCTTCTCCGTCAATATGGTGGTGAAGCTGCCGAAAAGGTATGAATAAGTTAAGTTTTCTCAAAAAGTTCTTGCCTTTGTAGGAATGGTACGCTGCCAACAATCCAAAACAGAATGCTCAACGATTGAAATCATTTGATGTGTCTCCTATTCGTGAACAGCTTAAAGCTCGAGTTGAAGATTGTTATCAGAACTTGATGAAGAAGGCTATCGAACCGGTTCTAATTCCGAAAATTGGTAATTTTTTTAAGTTTCCAATTTTGAAGGTAAAACGTGTTCTTGCAGGTCCTGGGATACTTCAACATGAAAGTTCTTGCGATCTCATGTCTGTTGGTGTAAAACAACAATTAAGTCGCCAAGCCAGTAAGGAAACCACCAAAAAAGGATTAGACGATCTAATCGATTTCGTAAGTATTAAGGACGGTTCTCTAGTTCATTTCACTTTTCAGTTGAATTTCATTCATGCAAAATTATCAGTTTATGGAGCCGATCAAATGCTCTTATCCCAAGTCTTTTCTCAGATGTCCCAATGGATTTCAGCTTTAGCCCTTAACCAGCTTATGTATCGTAAAGACCTTTGCAACTTCGAGAAGGCGATTCAAATAAAGTAGGCGTTCCATTTAGTTACTTTCTAATTCATACCTGTTCAGACACAATGTAACGGAAGTTCAATCTTGGCTGAATACTAAAGGACTTAGTCAACATCGCGATTCCTTTGATCCTCTCGTTCAAGCTTGTCATCTTCTCCAGGTAAATAATTAGCGTTTTGTTTATCTCATTCTCTCTATGTTTAGAGTAGAAAAGATGAATCGAATTTGGAAACACTCTGTGGAGAAATGACAAGTAAACTGAAACCAAGACAGGTTATTTTTCATTCTCACTTATAATATCAGCTTGTTGTTTTCAGGTTATTGGTATCTTACAGCATTACTCGCCCGGACAAGATTTTGAAGAAAGTCCTGTTGATCCAGACTTCTTAATAGTTTTGGCGAAGAGGTTGAAAGAGAGAGAAGATGCCGCAGGTGTTAGTGAAGACGACCAGGTTTGCGTTTTTTGCTTTTCATTTATTCATATGTGAATTTTTTCAGAAAACTTTCATCCTACCTGGCACCACTTATGTAACTCCATTCGATACTAGGCCGTTTGTCTACTCTGAATTCCCGCTAGAAACATTATCTTTACCTAGCTGCCTACATTTGCAACAAGTTTGCAGATTAATCTAACTATCGCTAATCATCAGTTAACTTTCCTTTTTGTGTATTTTACTGCTCATCTTCTGAATTACAACAATTCTAGTCATATGAAAGCTAATTTATTATATTTAATGACCGGTTGCTATGTCTATATTTATGGATTCGTGTAAATTTCCATATCGAGGTTTTAGAGGGATCGTTTTCTTTTTTGATTTATCTCCTCTACAATCTCACACTTTCAACTTTCATCTCTGCTTTTTTTTAGCATAATTTTTTCTATTAACATCTGTGATAAGTACATAATAAATTGATTTTTTTATATTGTTCGATGTACACAACCGCTCCATACGTCTTATTTTTGCAGAATGTGTAAACGCAATGGATCTCACGTGAGTCACGTGAAATGAGAAAATTCTAATTAAAGATTATGAACTGGCGGTCATAACATTTCGAAAAAAAGAAATCTGCTGAGCGTTTGCAGACTGTTACCACCTATTATTATAAATCCGGATCAATGGGTGAAAACTTTGAACAAAATTTGGAAACTAAAACTAGTTGTTTATGTGAAAGTAAAATAGAAGTATTAACACCTACGTTTTCGGTTTTCTATCGCAATGACCATTCAAATGAAATTAGAATAATGACTTGAAATTGTTTTTGGCAAAATTAAGATTCATTAGATCATGAATTAGAAGATAGAACAGGAAAGAACAGCACAATGCACAATCCGGTAGTCAAAGAATGAATGGTACGCTAATTTGCAATGTCCCCACTGTTGTTCTATTGGTCTTTTCTGTTGAGTTCCCGAAAGGGTCTTCTTTCGGTCATCCGACATAAAGGAATATCAGCGGCTGCATTGTCTTATAGAGTCATTCCAATGAACATGAGTAGAGTGAGTGGAGGTTGACTTCTTTTCTTACCCTTTGCCAAGTAACTGCACCAGTATTCAGATCTGAGCTGTATAATGATTTGTGTGTTAACTTGTTCTTTCCTTGAAACTTAACATCGGTCAAACACTTGGGCATGCATTGTTGACATTCAATATTTAATACGATTGAATGTCCTTTTCTGCTCTATCACTTTCGAAGAAATGCCATTATCCTTGAGTTTGATCAGCCTTCATGTCCAGTGAAACAGTGACTTATTTTCATATTTGGGAATGTTAACTATTTTTAGTAGAAACTATTCATTCTTTATCCCTTTCAATCTAGTTACCTTGAAATACATATATATGGATAAAATAGGCTCAACCCTGTCCATCCTTTTTACCTTTCTCTCTCTATCTCTCTTCAAGTTTCTCTTGTTCGTATCCATACCTCGTTTGTCCAGTCTCTATCCTGACTCAATTTCTATTCATCTATGACAGTCAGTAAAGCGTCCGCACCATCTTCATCTTTCATAATTACCTTCTGTATGCCAATTAGACGTGAGTAACTATCATCTCTATTTCCCAAATACATGTTTAGAATAATAAATTTTGTCGCCATGCTTCTAATATACATATTTCTTGTGATTATCTATTAATAGTGTTCACGTCTCATCTGATGTTGAACATGGTGCCTGTTCGCGTCAGAAGACGAGTAGAGGAAGATTAATGTCCTTTTCATGACAAATATCAGAGGTTTTTTTTCTCTGTTTAGAATGGTCAAAGAGAATTTGATGTAGTTTACTGTATTTAATCTTTTGTGAATCCGTATTCAAACGAAACTATTATGAATATTTTAATACTTCCATACATGGAGGCATCATCAAGTCAACTTATAACTAGTTCTTCCTTAGGTATTATTTGTCTTTTTATACATTTTCGAATTAAATAAGATTTTTTGTTGTAGTAAAGTCATTCAAACGAATTACTCACCTCCTTCCTCACTTTGTAATGTTTAAATGGCAGTTTCACTACTGAATATTAACTTGTTTCAATCACAACTCCTCTCAAACTCTTTTATAACATTTCGTCTTATTCAATGTGAATAGAGATGAATAAAGAATATGTCGATTAGTGTGTTCTGTTCTTCTTTTTCACATATTGAACGTCCATATAAAGTTCATTAGCCGATGTGTGAAGCTTTTCGCACAAGTTGGTCAATCTCTATTCACGCCTGCTCGCATCTTCATTCGACTTTTGGATGACATGAATAAGACAAGTGAACATCACTATCTCAAGTGTGTTCAAGTCTGCCATCAGCATATGAAAGAACGGTGCCCATCCTCATTTGCCAATCTTACTATTTACTCATTCCAATCTCCAGCTATAAGCTGTCATTATCATATTTTGTTTATTTATTTGTAAATATGTTCCGATACGCTGTCAAACTTGTCTGATATTATCCATGACAGGAATAGTTATACTTATTGCTCAAACTGAAGAAAGCTTTGAAATTCTAAAAATCATGAAAAGCGAAAGCTTGATGAGGTTGAATTAAGTATCGCAACGATAGAAAATGAACTAAGTCTATTGAAAGCAAGTTCTTATAGTCGTCGTCTTTCTTCCTTCATTCATTTATTTCTCAAACTTATATTTTATTCCTAAATTTTATATTCTTTTTATTCACCTTGTATCCATTTGAGCAACCCATACTTCATACTTCTTACTTAAACTTTCATTCTGATATTCTCTTTTAAACGCTATGTTGGCTCTTTCAAAATTTTTTTTGTTCAAGAAAGTCAAATGTCATTCTTCAGGAACGTACACAATGCGGCTTTGAGTCCTTGAAAAATCTTTTAATTACAACTCTCATATATCTATCTTTTGATGTTTCAATTAAATATTCGTCTCCCCTATAAGGACATACTGATGACTTTCATTTCATATAATCCATTTTTTATGTTGGACCAGATGGCGTACAACTTTTACTAACTTTCGATTCTCATACATCTCTCCTCATCTCCTCACAGTCCGTAACTTATCTCAGGAATTAGAACTTCTCTCTTTTCGGTTTTTTTCACAAATACCAATTATATATCGTTTACTCTTCATAATCTCAATGTTTTTCTGGGCAGACTAGAAGTTAACGTAAAGATTCATCTGCTTGACCTCCTCTTTCATCTGACAGCATACACAGTCATCCTTGAATTGGTCAGGCTCCTCGAACACTTCCTTTCTCTCGCATTCTCACTCTCTCTTTGATTCTCCTTTCTCAGACTATTACTCTGCCATCATTCTATTTTCTATCGTTTTCTCTCCACCCATTTTGGTGCCTCAAACACTGTCTTCTTTTTGCCCCTCGCTTCAAGGGTTTGATGTTCATCAGCAAGCCTAGTGCGACCCTCAATCTACTGACCCTTCATTCCAGGAATCAAAACTGTCACATATTTCATTGCTTAACCACATCGAATATGCAAGCTTCAATTCATTTCGTTGCTTTCTGATATAATCATAATCATTCATATCTCACATCTACGTTGATTATATCATAAATCGTCTTCGCTAGCTTCTACTTTCAGGCCTTTGAATGTCTTTTCTCTACATATTGCTGTTTGCTACAACTGTTTCGCTCGCTAACTCACTGCAATGTTATTCGGGTAGTCAGTTACAAGTTGGTTTTCCATTTAATAGATTTGAACAATTTAAAGTCAATCCAGTTAATTTTCAAATGGCGGCTTTTTTCAGATTTTGGATTGTCCTTCTCTCAGTTGTATCAAACAGACATTAGGACTGGACACGGTACGTTTTTCTCTATTTTGTTTCGTAGAAATAAAGTTTCCCGAGCGATTCGAATTTTAAGAAGATTAAAATTTTTCCCTCATGAACAATTAGATTTTCTTTCAATCTTCTAGGTTCGCTATTGTGATGGGTCAGGAGTGGCTTCCGTGTGTGAAACTTATCGAACGTTTGAAACTTGCAAGATGATTCCTAATTTGGGATTCATATGTTGTTGCTCTGGAAACTTATGTAATTCAGGTCACGTACCTTTCTCCTTATTAAGTTTTTTGTTCCCCACGATCTTATTCGTGTTGTTGCCTCTATTAGTATAGTCCTCAACAAGAGTATGTACAACCATGACAACATATTTCTTTGAACATAACTCTTCAAACCTCATTTATGATTATAATAACAATAATCCCGTTGATGTTTACTTTTTGCTTTTAAATTTCTATTTCCCTGTGAATTCCTTTTACCTTTATGCTTTCGGGTGCTTCGCCCTATTTTCACTGTTCATAAAAGCTCAATTTATTTGAATATCTAAATGAATATCTTTTCTTAACATTGCTTCTTACTGTGGAACATTCAGAAGATCTCTTGTAGAATAGAGAGCTGTAAAAAGACACTAGGAAAAAAACATTGAGAGACAGTTATTTCATGATTCACAATACTCACAAATGGAGGTAAGACGTCATTTGTTATTCGCCAGAAGCCGTGGTTCACCTCTAGGTAAGATTAATAGGAAAAGTGAAAGTGAATTCAATAAACTGTTCTACCAGATAGAGCCTGGGTTACAAAATTTCGTTTGTAAGAAATTGAGAAAAATGAAAAAATCGCTAATGCGTTAACTGTATGTACCCTGGACAATCCGAACTTCAGTCTGTGAACTCATATGGTTTGTTCTTGTTTCTATGTATTTATATTTTTTTCAAAGTCTTCTTTCTCGACTATGTGAACCAGCTATTTTACAAAACATTGGAGCAGGCTTCCCTACAACGCTCTCTATCTCGTCTGACTCAGCTTTGGTATCTAATTTTTAGAAGCAAGATTAGAGCTTGTTTCTAGTTCACCGATATAACCTATCTGACGAGTAGTGAATCAAAACGCAATTTCAATTTGTAATTGTAAATTAGAATAACATCATACTTCTCTGAATGTCTTTGAAGAATCTTATATTGAATGATATATAAATGTGCACTGGAATGTCGGTGCATCTCACACGAGATTCAGTATAACAGTATTAAGAACACAAAAATCCTTTGCGTTCTGGCTAGTTTGGAGAGATCGAAAATGAAACAAAAATCAAACGATTCCACGAAAAAGTGCTAGAATGAAGGGTGCAAATCGGTATCAGAACTAATCAATACGTCTTTCGATAAGGATAAAAGATCAAGTTCAATCAATACTCGTATGTCATACTACGGTAATGAATCTGAGATATACGGAACAGAATTTTGGTTAATGTAGGTTTTTCACCGGTCGTGGTTTAAGTTTCCTTTCGTTGTCAAAAATTGTTCCCTCCGAAGAAAAATGAAGAACACGTCGACGAAAGAATTATTTTTAGTTTTCAAAGTGAACATCGTTTTTTTTTCATTTTTACTTTCCCCAAGGGACTGTTGCGGTCGTGCACTTACTTCATTCTCACTTTCCGTGAAATGATTCGCATTCGATGCGCGTTACTTGTTTTGAGACGCCTTTGATAGCACTGTTATTTGTGTGATTCCACATGAAAAGCTCAATTGAAGATTCATCCTTGTTGCAATGCGGAAAACGGGAAGTAACTCTGGTTGAACTTTTCTACTTCCCTAATCAGCAAGATCTTCTGCCAGAGTGTGAACTAATCTATAAAAACAGAAAATTTGTTAGAAATATCAAAATAGGATTACCAGGAATCATTTTCACTCTACAGAAACAGTTCAATCTTCACAGTTGGAATAATGATATATACCATTTGAGGAGCCCGTATACTATATGTTTTAAATCTGATGCTTCTGTTCTCCCCTCTCCTTGTGTATCTCATACTAAAAGAATCATATAAACGTATATGATATGATCAAGTTCAAAACAAATTTTATCTCCAAATGAAACAAATAGAGATATAAAGAGTCCAACCAATAACACACGTTTGAGACATAATGCTGCTAGGAATTGTCGGTACGCGCCATGGACCAGTGTATGTTTCATGATGAGTTAAGAACCTTCACTGTTCAAATGCAACATTTGATAATTTTTTTTTGGTTGTCCCATACACACATGCACTGAATGGAATTCGTATTTAACTACTTGTTTTTGGAAATCGTACATAGAACGACTGTCTTGCCTCTGAAGAAATGATAATTGTAGGTAATCGTGCATTCGAAAAGTCTGCAAGATCTCTATCCAATGAACGATGTGAGAAGATCGTTGTCGACTACTGAAGACATCGGTGTATAAAATTTCTTTATTTTAGTTCTTCTAATTGTTGAACATTTGATAATATAATCAACAACAAGAAAGAAAATAAAAAAAAATATCTATATTATCGTATTTACTATGATAAAGACGTCGGTTGAACGGTAAAGCATTTTCAACAAAAACATTTTTCATTTTCGTCTTCATGCGCATTCCTTCATCTTGCATCTCCATTGATATTCATTTTTATTTTATTTTTTCTCTCTCTCTCTTCCTTACATTTTATATTATTTATTTCATATAATAAATGATTTGATAGGCTTTATGTAGTTGTCAGAGTAGATTGTTAGTCATTTAGAGCAGTTTCTAAGAAATTGCAATGTCGTATGGTCCGATATCTCGTGTACATGTAGAAGATTATTTTGCCAGACGGTAATTGATAAGATATCATGTTTTATAATATATAGTTTTTAAATTATTTTTATCTCTATCAGATAATCATTTATTTCATGTTTTATCTGTTCAGTTGCTGTGATCTTTATGCAAATTTTCTTGAAAAAATAAAAAAAAAATTGAGAAAAGTAGAAGAAGATGAATGAACGATCATGTCGACGTAGAAGATGAAGTAGATGAAGAAGAAGAAGCTATTAAAAACGTTTGTTTTGTTGAATGTATGAGAAGTAGTCTTTTGAGGAGAATTATAAGAATTTCAATCATTTCACATATGAGTAGAGATTATCATAATTTCAAAAACTATTCAAGCATACATCTACCATACATAGCTCACTGAACATTAGCTTTTCTTTCATCAAAACGTTTTCTGAAACTTAATAGTTCGATTTTGAAGGAAAAAAAGAACGAAAGAAGCGTAGAGGAATTTGTATGAGAAATGAGAACTCATAAACATGAAGATGAAGAAGACGAAGACAATAATTGAATGGAGAAAGACAGAAAATAAACGAATCAATCTCATCATTCATATAATTCGGTGATGGACTGTGTGCAACTAGACTGTTCTAATAACTGTATTTCTGAGTATTTTTTTTTCATTTAAACTTCTTTAATATCTGTCTTATCAATTCTTTTTCTGTGGACTCTCCTGTATATCTATTAAACGTAATACAAATAGTTTTTAAACCAATGCAGACGAAAGAAGCCTTTCTCTCTCCAACCACATCTTTTTTATCGAAAAAACGAATTCGTCCTATGAATGAGGTAAGTTTCATTGATTTCTTATTTTTATAATGCCAGCTGATAACTGAACATTCTACAACTGTAATCAATCATCACTTTTTTCTTGTTTTTTTTTCAATTTTTGGCATTTTTCAGAAGGAGGCCAGTGATATGAGAAATCGTAGACGATTAGCTGTACAGAAGCATCGACAGAAAATCAAAGATAGCATCGTTAAGTTAGAAGGAGTAAGTGCATTCTTTTCAACTTTCAGTAAGTTCATGTGTTCTAGCAATTGACTGATATTCAGAAGACAAATAAAAGTAAAGAAAAAGTTCTTAATAAGCTGAAAGACGAAGTAAGTATGATGTTTCACATATCATTCTCTAACCCATCATTTCGTAGATTCACGAAAAAATATCTAAAATCATTCGAGATCCAGATTTGCTTCAGAAAACGATGCAAGCCTTACAGCAGTCAGTTTTTACTCAATCAACTGCCATTACGTGAATGTTTTACATCATTTTTTTAGTTTTTATTTGTTTAATTTGGAAGAAGATCAATTTTCCATCCTTCCTCCTTTTGTCTTCTGAGATTACCCGATACTCAGGACGAGATAATAATAATAATATATGAAAAGGATGGATTGGAGAACGATCTCTTCTATGCCTAGGGAGAATGTTATAGAATATACAATTTAGAATAAAGTTTATAAATTACGTCTTTAATGAACCAAAAAAAATTTGTTCAAGAGAGAGTGGAGAGAGAGAGAGAGAGAGATGAGGGAATGTGAGGAGGAAGAAGAGAGACAGAGACAGTCAAATAGAGAGAGAGTAAAATTCTTTTTTTTTGTATCCGATTGGAAGAAAGAAATATACAAAGTTGTTTAAGTACAATAGTGTGATTACGATGTTGTCGTAACAAGTGTCTGGCATGATGATGACAGTGATGCTCACTCGGGTGGCTGTAGTGGATGCCATTTGGAGACTGAGATTCCTTGTCCCTAAAACAATATATTGCAGAAACTAAATAAGAAAATTTCAATAAATCTTTGTTGATCTCTTAAGATATTTCCTTGTTTTGCAAGTAAACAACAAACTTCTAAAGCTACATATTCTTTCAGAAAATTTTCTTTTCTGCAAATTTTTCCGTCTTAACATAGCTAGCCAAGCGAAAAGCCGTTATGAAAATTACATATTGAATGGTGAAACTTCAGAAAGCATATGTTGCTCATCTTTCCATTTTCAACGAGTTTTTTTCTTTCTTCCTCATTCTTATTCAAAGACGTACCTGAATCATTTGCTCCCAATGCTCTTGAGCATCAGGGGTACTCGAATTCAAGCCAACGGCTAGCCATCCCATCTGAACACGTCTCCTTAGAACTCCGACCTGTTGCCAGACTTCAATTCTGACGGTTGTAGTTTCCAAATCAGGTCGATGAAGCTTTAAAGTATATATTACTTAAAAATGGATATTCTTTAGTTATCCACAGTACCTGGATGCTACTTGAATGGTCATAGTGAGGTTCACTACTTCCTTTAACTAATTCTGTTTTTTGTCTCGAAAATTCGTTACCAAATTCACCACTCGCAACGATTTTAATGAAAGTATCTGAAATTAAATTGATAAGACGTGATAAGAATACTAAAATGAGAAATTAAATTGTCTTATCACATTAACAGACACTCGATGAGCATCAGCGCTTGAAAAGATTTACCTGGTGGTTTGTACTTTTCACCAAATTGCGATCCTCTCTCTATACCAACAGTAACACATGAATGTTCAGCATCATATGACAATGATATTAGAAGCTGAAAAAAACAGATTCTGACTGAATGATTTATTATAGTTAGGGAGGTCAAAATATTCTTACGTCTTATCTCATTTATTTGGAAAAAAAGATTGCAGAATGATAAATTCGAGGAAACGTCTTATTCGCAGGTGAAATGTGAATATTCAACTTTCGTCCCTTATGCTCCATACTTTGATTCGCTTTCTCTCTCTCTGTCTCTCTTTTCATCTCTGTCATGCAGCCCCTCCCTTTCAAAACGTTTTGGTTATGTGTTCTATTAAGTTATAATATTTATAATTTAGTTTTTATTAGCCTAAGGGGGTGCTGCCATAACAAAACAAGCTTCATTTGAGATGAAAGTTATGAGAAGCATGGGGGATATGATAAATTTTCTTTTTTTTTCTTCTTCTCTTTCTCTCTATATCTATTTCTCTCTCTGTGTGCATCTTGTCTCATTCTCTATTGAATACGAACCTCCGGAGCATCGTTGTTTGGCTGGCTACAGAATCGTCCACAAGCATCAACCATGCTATTTCGACGACTATCGCCATTAATATTTCCATTTGATACACGATGCATGGATGGAGATAATCCAGACTGAAACAAGAACTGATCTTAAAGAACATATACATACATGTATATACTATATAGTATATATTTGAAAAGTTGAAATAGATATATATTTTATATAATTATGTTATTCTTTCACATAACTGCATTTATAATATGATTTGCCAGTTGGAAACTATTAATTGTTGAATTATAGAAAGTTCAGAGATTACATTAACTAAGACAAAAGTAACAAAAAAAAGAAATGGGAAGAAGGAGAGAAAAGAAAAATGAATTTCTTTGACTCTCCGACCCGACACGATGATGAGACGTCGACGACAAGCTCCAGAAAAAAAAGATTTTAAAGATGTTTAAAGACAGATTTCTGATCTTTTCTTCGTTTCGCTTTATGTCTACAAAATTTGGTTAAAAATGTTAAAAACGAATTGAATTCGTTTCATCCATTGCCACATCTTCGTTTGTCGATGAAGAAAAAGAAAAACAGAAAAACCTTCGGACATTTTAATTCAAAAATTGACAATCAGATGACAACAAAAGATCTTTTGCATCCTAAGCTTTTGACTGCGAACAAATCCATTAAAGGATATGTCATCTGTACGAATAATGGCTTGCTCATATAAAAATGAAAAAAAATGAGATATGGATAGATATAGAAAGAGAGAGAGAGAGAAAGGGAATGAGGGAGACAGGGAGGGAGAGAGAAAAAGAGAAATGTTGTAATAGGCCAACTCATGCTGAGGAAGTTCTTAAATGGAAAAGAGCTAAGCGAAAGAAGCCAACGGCATCATGTGAACCAGCTTAATAACAAATAAAAAGAAATATGAGCTTTATTCGTATTAGGTACTGAATAAGCTCAAGAAAAACTCTCAAAAGCCGTCAGCTGAAGGAAATTACCACTTGAATTTTGAAGAAAAAATTGTCAGGCAAAAATGGCCATAAAATTTGTGCTCAGAACTTTTATGTTTGCAAAAACAAGGATCTTCTGATTTTTTTTTTCATTTCTTTCCTGCTCTCTCTTATACTCTCAGTCTTCTTCTTTTCATTTTTTTGTAAGTAAAGAGACGTCACTTCGTTCTATAGCCTCACGTCATCTTATGAATGAATCTTGACCTTTGACGGCAGATTCACGTGAGCTTCGTCGAGCATGCGTGAAGAACTCATTTTCAAGTAAGTCAGACATACAAAACGGTTGATTTTCATTCGAAAAACATAAGTTATAGAATAGCTAGGAAGGAGGAAGTGTTAGAAAGATGTATTCGAGATTGAGAGGGAGTAGAAGAGGACGAAACGCAAATGAATTCTGAATTATCTGATTCTTCTATTCATATCATGTTCAGAGCGAGAGATATATATGCCATATTATAACAATTGATGGTAAATAAACGAAATTTGGGAAGGGAAGATGTAAAAATTTGATTTTCTCATTGAAATGACATTAAATGCATAATATCATGTGAAATGATTTGGAGTATGCTCCCCATGCCCATGTTGGGCAAGGAGGATAAGCCTCAAACTGTTAAATGGACGATAGATGAAAAGTATTTTTTTTTATTGGAAAGGAAGCAGCTGAAACTGAAAATTTCGTGTTCATTAAACTCATATAAATTGAAGAGAATGGGCGGAGTTTTATTGAGGGGGGGGAGGAGAGGAGAGAGGGTGAGGTTGAAAGGGGAAAGATGGAACGAAGAGAGTAAGGGAGAGAGGGACTAGAAGGGATTAGAGCAAACTGAGAGGATCTATGAAGAGGGCAACGCAAGACGAACGGGGGGTTGGGGGAGAGGGGTTTAGAGGTGCAAAAGGTTAAAAAGAGAGAAAAAATATTGATAATGTTAGGTATGAAAGAGAAAGTAATCACTTATTAGTTCAGGTTGCTGAGGTCTGGTCGGATGTATGAATATAGCACTAATTATATGGCGAAAATAGACAAGGTATTAATACCAAATAAGGACTTTATGTTTGCAGTATAGAGGAGAAGCATTAAGATGAAAGAAAAAGAGGGAGGGGGAGAGGAAGAACTTTTAAAAGTTCAATTTCTTTTGTTTAGATTTACATAGTTTATAAGTTGTAAGCTAACGAAGATAAATTAACTCAATAAAAAAGGTTTTTTTTCTTTCTGGCAGCTTCTCTCTCAATCTATCTTTCTCTTTGATGGTTTTTGACTCAGAGAGTCTTGTGTTCAGCTGCTCAGCAACGTCGCAACGACTTCTGATTGTTGGAGGGAGAATAAGGTGAAAGTTTGCGTGAAGTTTGATAACATTTTGGAAATTTAAGAAAATTGTACGATTTGAGATATACTTTGAATATATAATTTCTCTTTTTGTCAACAGAAAATTGAGTAAAAAAGATAAAATAAGAGAGGGAGAGAGAGATGAAGGGAGAGATAGAGAGAAAGCTATGTATATGTAGAGAGAGAGATAGTTCACAAATAGGATTGAAAGTGAAAGAGAGAGAGAGAAAGCTCTAGAAGTTACTTTGGCAAGTGAATTAAAAGAGAAATGAACCTTCTTTTCCCGAAAATTTGGTTGAAAGTACATTTTCTAATAATTTTTCAGTGCCGTCAACAATATTATAAAGGGATTTGCTCTGTTTGATCTCCATGTATGTTGTTGGCGGTGTATTTGTTGGAAACGAAAGACAATATGAAATAGGTAGGATGGCAGAAGACGAAGAAGGAGGAAGAAGGAAGCAAGAGGAAACGAAAAACTTTCTTTCTGACAGTTGAAATTTACTTCAGCGAAATTGAAACTTCTGAAGATGTAAATGCTATAATAAGAGAATTGCCCAGTTACCGAGGCACACACACACATGCTTCTTTCAAAGCAAAAAACTTTTGAAATTTGAGGTTTTTTCTTTGACAAGAAAAAAATAGGGAGAGAGAGAGAATTGTAGAGGTACAAAGAGGATAGAGAGAGAGGGATATGAGAGAGTAAAGTTTTTTTTCTCGCATGTTTTGGCTATGGTAACTACAATAGTCAAGATGAATGATTAACTACTTGAAGCGACAGAGAAGAGCTTGAGAAGGGAGTTTTCATATCTTCTTATTTGAATTCGACAAAGAATATCCGAGACGTGACTTGGAAAATGTAAATAATCTGGAAATTTCAGAAAAATAAAGCCATTAAAGCTGCACATGAGCTCTGGGAGACTGTTGAAACATGAGCCAGCTGTACTTTGTTTTCTAGCAGAATGAGTCAAATGAAAGCTACAGTTCTGAAAATCACTCTTTTCATGTCCTTTTAGAAAGAGCGAGAGAGGGAGAGGGGGAGATATCCATAGCTGGCAGGATAAGTGGGAACGAAGAGAGTAAGTGAGAAGGTTAATGTTTGAATTAACATAGACAGACAAGAGTAGAATGAACGGACAGGACGATGCAATAGATATGGTGGTGGGAGGCTTAATGGAGACTCCTGGAGAGGGGGGCCATTTAGTTAATTAAAACTTAAATTGAATATCAATAATTTCTTCACAACATTTTTATAAAAGATGTTCATAATGGCGGCGGACACTGAAGTTTGGCAACATTCAGCAGAAAACTGATGTTAAGATGCCGAATAAATCATGAGATGACTGAAACGAATGCTCCTTCGTCATTCTCAGGTGGAAGAAGCTGAAGATATTTTATTCAATTTTTACATTGACAGCTTTCGTTTTATCCAAAAATGTTTGGTCATCTGAGACTTGTTCGTGAATAAAGCGAAAGATATTCTTTGACACAAATAATTTTTTTTCTTCTCTCCCCTGCTCAAGCCATTGACGGAACAAGAAGAAGAAGAAGAAGAAGCTGAAGCTGGAACTGAAGCAGAAGCCAGAAACAGAACGATGACAACGCGCTCGACGTCACAAATCCCAAACTGTTTTCATGTGATTCAGCCGAATACTTGAATATTCGAAAATTAACCTGTCGACAACGTCAACGTAATTCTTTCATTCATGGAAAGAAAAAAAAAGGAAAATTTGTTGTTTTTCAATAAATTTTCATATAAAATAGGTTCGTAGGTTGAAGCTTTTAACAGCTAAAAAGGAAATAAAAGAGGCTAAATTAGGTAAAAACATATCAAAAATGGCATATGAAGTCAGATAGGAATAGCCAGCCATATGTGATCTTGTCAACATTATTCAGAAAATTAGCTTCATTTGAATTGACATTTGAAGACAAATTCTCGGACGAGCCCAATGCTATGTGCATGTGTATGTGTGATGATGATGATAGGCATGATGTGGTTGAGATGAGCAGCTGACAGACCCCCCTCCATCATATCATGAAGATGATCTTGTCTGACCATGCTTACAAATCAAGATGAATACAAGACAGAAGAAAAAAAAACAAAAAACAACAAGAAAAATACAAAACAACTTTTCTTTTTGCTGTCCTTCTCCTCCTCGTCCTCCTCCTCCTTTTCCCAATTTTCGAAATTATATATTCTGCTTTCAAAAACAATTGAACATAAACATTTTCTTTTTTCCTATCTCCTTCTCCTTCTTCTTCTTTTTTTTTTCAAACTAAAATTAACTCTGCAAAAGGACAATCGAAAATTCAACCGATCTGCACGTCAAGCCGATCTCAAATATGGTTCTTCTCCGTATCCACGTGAACTTGCTGTCGTGTTTCACGTGAATATTCGATTGAATCATCATGAATATGCAAATCATCGATGGCATTCCAGTTTAAATAAATATTTTCAACTAAATAATTAATATATTAATTAGTTTATAAAAAAATAGAGAGTTGTAAAGGGATAGATGGCAATCCAGAAATACATTTGTATTACCAATGAATTATACGCTGAGATTTTATAAATAATTCTAGTAAAGTATACCTACATCTCACTCTCTCTCATCCCCTCTCTCTCTCTCTATCTCTCTCTTTTTCTCTTTTTAAATTAAGAATAGACGATTGTATTTATTTTACTTCAAATCATTTTCCAATTATACGCCATTTTTGGTTGTTGATCATCATCATGAATACGAAGACGTAGTAGAAGGACACAAAAGAACGTCAAAATAAACAAAAAAAAACAAAAGAAAAAAAAAAAGTTTTTTCGTCTTCTTCTTCCACTTTCCCAAGTAGATCGCATTAAAATTCACAGTAACATGCATATTTACATAAAAACGAAACATTGCAAACATCATATAAGCTTCACTAATTCACTTTTTTTTTCCTTTTTTTTTTTTGGTTCACCGCCTGATTCTACGTGACGTTGTGACACAGAGTTCCTTTCTGCACAACCACCTAGTCCCCTCTCCTTCTTCTCTTCTGCCTTCGTTGTCGTCTTCTTTTGTTTTGACAACCTTTTTCCTTTCATTCAATCGTCTCTCAGAATTTTTGAAGCAAAAAAAAAAAAAAATAAAAAAATAATTTTTTTTCAGCCATTTTTGATTTCGTTGACTTCACAACGACAAGCTTCTGCCCTTGTCCATGTCTGAGAGAAATTGAGATGATTTTGATGAAAAAAGGAAATAAAAGGAATATCCATGTCTAGAAACTTCCTTTTTCCGTTCAAGCAATCTGATGTCAATTGAAGATTAAAGAAATCGGAGGGGAGGGGAAGGAAATCCGAAAAAACGATTCTTATGACAAGACTTTAATTCGTTCTATTCAACCTTTTTTCCTTTTTTCTTCGTCGTCTCGTCTTTGAATGTTGTTTGTAAGCTTCAAATTGAAAAGCATAGGAAAAGCTTTAAATAACTGTATAATTTAAATTTTAAATAGTGAATGAATAGAAGGAACTATGGAGAAGTTCGAGATATTTTCATTCATTATTGACGAAGTTAAGCAATTTACGAATAAATTAGTTCTCATAGTCTACTTGTTCGCCAATTATTTTGAATCATTCAATGGAATTGTGGATAGCAAGTTTGGAGATTAACCGCTCTTATTCTAGGACACGAAAACCTTAAAAAATAACAACAAAAGGAGAGAAGAGCTTTTCCCTTCCTTCCTTTCTCTCTCTCTCTCTCTATCTGTTTCCCTCTCTGTTACCCTCTCTGTACTCAGAGCCCGTTAAATGAACTTTTCCATTTGATCGAAAAGGATAGTGTATGTAAGTGTATTGAAGTTCTCAAAGCAAGAAAGGATAGAGATTTTTTCATCTCAAAAAGTTCATCATAGACGTATTACATGAGAATTGATGAAGAAGCTTGTGAATCGGTGGAAATGCTTAATGAGTTTCAGCACAATCTCAGTTCAATTATAGCATATTCGTCATGAGAATAAGAAAAATCGGCTGATGATGAAAGATGAACAACCTTCAGAATATTTAGTTAAAAGTATCATTTTACAAAATATTTACTTCTTAAGTTGAAAAACAAAAAATAATCTTTTCGCTGCTCTCTGCTGTCTAGTAGGCCAAATCATTCAATTAACTTTTTAAATTATTTTTATTATATTTATATATATAAATATTATAGAGAGGGAGAGATGAATAGACGAGATGGTTTGTGTGAAATACACACACACACACATACTTACACACACACTTCCACACCGCACAATCGAAGTGTTTTGTATAAACTTCGGAGAGCTTCAAGCTTTAAGCCTTTTGAAAATAAATTTATAAACTTACAACTTGGAGATAATCCATTATTTCGAGTTAATAACTGACGTTCTGTCTCCACACACACAAAAAAATAGAATAAAAGCTTCGAATGAAGATTTATGGAATAACTTTTTGCAAATGATCCGATGAAATTTCAGATTAAGTGGTGAAGCAGTTACTAACAGCCTCTTCCACCAGTTGAAGTTCGAATTGGCCAACAGACTAAGTGGAGGTTTTTGAAATCTGAAGAGTTCGAGCTCTCAATAGATGACAAAATCCTGGACACTCAACAGCCAAGCCAATTGAGTTCACCAGAAATGGAAATAGGGGGTGGAGCGTCGGCAGATTGTCAAGGATGGAGGCCGTTCCAAACCCAAAAGAGTGAGTACTGGCGTTTGTAACCTCACATCTCTGAGAAAAAAAGAAAAAAAGAGAGAACAGGATGAAGAGCATTTCTGAGAGGGTAAGAGAGAAAGAGAGAGAGAAAGTTCGAAAAGAAAGGAAAGAATACACCAGACTTGTAAGTGAGATAAAAGCTTTAGGAAATGAGTTCAAAGTCATCAGGCTTGTCTGACTGTTCAACAACCTCTTACGACAAGATTTTTCCGGCTGAATTCTTAATAAGTTTTGGAAAAAGTAAAAGTTTGACAAAGAAGAGAGATAATCTCCGCATGATATATCATCTCGTTCGTTGTGGAACAAAGCTGACGCACCGGCGAAAGCAGTGTTTATGATACTCTTTGTTTTGAGAGAACTTATTTGGTTTTCATATTTCCAAATGAACTCACGGCACTTTCTGATTTAATAGCCATAATCCGATTCATAGTTAAAGCATATGGAATTGTCCCAGCGGTGCTGAGGTGTGAGCACTGAAAAAGAGATAGACAGTATGATGCGAAAACTGTTTAGACCGATATCTCACCTCGAGCTGCGTTTCAGCTTTCAATGATGAACGAGATTTATGTTTTTTCGTATACAGACGAAACCGGATAGAAACGTTCGCAATATCACCTGTAAATATTAATATAAAAGTTGTGAAAATTACGAGCATCGTCTGTTGTTGTTACATACATGCACATACATATCATGATCAACAGTATTGTACAACATACAACTTTTGGCTATTCAATCTTTATTGGTTAAAAATCTGTGAGAATGAGATTTGTTTGATTTCTCATGCAGGTCAGCGTTATCAATTCAATTTCTGAATTTCATTTCTTAAATTATATTTTCATTTGATATATCTTAGAGAAAATGAAAAGAATCAAAAATGATCAGTCAGTCTCGCAAATGAAAGAACAACAGCAGTCGCAGCAACATTTCTGTGATATAAAACGAAAAATTGTTCTCTTACTTTCTTCTACTTGACTGAAAAAGAAGGTTTCCCCAAATTCCAGACTGCTTCCAGATACTTGTGACGTTTGCTGTTTGGGTACTTTGGCGCACGATAAGCTTAAACGCACCTGAAAAGGTTATTTCCTGATTACGAAACACTCGATAGAATGTGTTTATTGGAATACAAAAACATTTTTTTTTATTTTCAAATATTTGATTTTAATTATTCAAAATGTTTTTTTCAGCTTTCTTTTATGCAACCGGTCGGTGAATCATTTGTTTTTCAAAATGAAACTTCACGTGAGTACTGCGTGTGCTCACGCGCAAAAATTTATGCTAATGAACTCAGCCAGAAGCTTATGCTCTTAGAAGTAGTCCTTGATTTTCAATTAAATCTTCAAAAGAAACGTACACAGCACTGCTCATCATCTTCCAAGCCATTGAAGAGCAACTTCAGAATTTTGACTATGACAGTCTTCTTTTGTAAACTATATTGAGCAAGTATTTGTAATTGAATATCTGAAGGTGTTCGATCTAGCACATGGTTGTTCGTTATATAAGAATGTAAAGATGATACCTTAAATAAGCGACCACATATTAGCATATAAAATAAATTTTGCATTACCTCAGGATCATCGACAATGATTTTCGGCCTACGTTCATATTTTTCGAACTCATCATCATCACTGTAATGAGGGTATCCTCGGCGTATAGGAATCAGAAAGCTTCCTTGAGGGCAACATTGGAAAAAACATGAAGATAAATAAGAATACATGTCTGAAATGATAAATGAAAATTCTGTGAGTTGCTCTTTTTGGAAATTCAAAGATGATTTCCTTTCACTTCAACGTTGTTCAATATGAGAATCAAGAGAGAGGAAATGATAGTTGATGAGATGAAGTAACTGCGTCCAATCATTATGATTTCCTCTTATGAAAATTTGGTGTGAAGACGAAACGAATGATTGATCAGAGATGAATAAACTTGCAGGAAAGGATGGACATATGACAAAGGCAAACAACATATACAGACAGCAAGTAAGCTAGAGGTTCGAGGTAAAAAAAAGTGGAAACAAAAAGTCATATGAGCATAAAGTGTAGAAGTTGGAGAAGAAACAACCCAAAACAGGATATGCTTTTCGCATTTTTTCATCGTCGTATTTGACCCATAAAAGCTCAGATTAACAATTGTTGAATTAATAATCAAAGAAACAAAAAAGAAAAAAAAAGGTCTGAATGACAAATATGTTTTCTCACCACAATATAATGAATGTTCTTTTGAGGTTTAGCTCCTGAAATTGCCCTAAATGGATAATTGGAGCATATGGATGAATTGCAAGGCTTGTATGTGTCTGTGTGTGTGTGGATCAAAACATTTAGAAGAAGAAGAGGATTTAGATGCATACAAGTATATGTTATTTAATTATAAAATATATGGATAGTGTAACGAAACTTCATCTGGATACACTAAAAGGGGAAGTTTGTTAAAACGATAACCTTAAATAGAAATTGTGTGTGTGCATCTGGAGCCCCTATGCAACATAAAATAGCAATCAAATGGAAATTATATTGAAAAAAGACAATTGTAATTTGAAGTTTTAAAGTTTAAAACGCAAAAAAATAATAAAAGAATGATGTTTAATGAATTATAATGAAGTTGCCAACACCTACATACGGAAAGCTTCATCAGATTTCAAATATATGACAGAGTTCAAATATTTGTGACATTTTCAGGAAGAGCCGCAAAGAAATAAAAAGAGAGAGTCAGTAAAATGATCATTTTCAACTTTTTTTTTTTTTCATAAATTAGTTCCATTGAGGAATGTACTGAAGATTTTTTGGAGAGATAGAGAGATTGGAAAGGGGAAGTAAAGAAGGATGATAGAGATAGATAGATGTACAAGAGAGGTAAAGAAAGAGAGAGGTAGACAGAGGGCAATATCAAGAGAATGGAAGAGAGAGAGAAAAATTGTAAATAGAGAGAGAGAGAGGGAGATTAAAGACTATACTTTATATAAAAATAAAATTTATTTTACTTTACAGAATGTTTGAAAACAATATGATATGAATGTCTGGAGAGCGATTGAAGCAACAGTTGGCTTCAAATGGACATTATTCTATTGTTAATTGCTTCAGAAACGAGAAGATGTATGAACTGAAATATCCGGAACAGTTATGTTCATTAGCAATGACGTCAGAAAGTAGAAATAAATATAAAAAAAGGCTGCTTGAACGAATAAGTTTAGCCAACAAAAAATTGTTGCAAAGACAATGTTCTTTGAAGTTTCAAGATGTTGTAGAATAATAACACAAAAAAATGTAGGAAAGCACGAGAATGTAAGAGAAGGACATTCAAAGGGAATGAGAGAGAGAAACAGTTAGTGGATAAGAGGGAGAGAGAGAGAAAGAGAGAGAGAGAGAGAGTGAGGGGGAGAGAATGAAGAACGTAAAAGGGAAGAACGAGAAAAATGGAGGAAAGGCTTTTAGAGGTAAAACTCCAAGACGAAAACGAGAAGGAATAAAGTCGAGAAAAAAAGAAAACATAGCTGGATTATATGATTTGCCATGACGATGAACTGACGATATTATTTGGACAATAAAAACAGTTTTGTTCCAAAAAAGTACATTCCGAAGAATTCTGAACGACTCAGTAGAGAGATGAGAAAAAAATTTTTTTTTTGTTTCTTGTTTCTGTATCATTCATTTCTTTTTGCTCTCTCTTGCTCTCTTTATCTCTGTCCCTCTTTCTATCTATCTGTCCATTTGTGGCTCTCTATGTTTCTGTATATGAGAAGAATTTACAAATAATTCTATTTTCAAAAAGTATAGAAGAATGTACCAAGGAAAGGCTTGACAAGACACTTTTCTTTGGGACATGTATTTTATATTTCGGCTATTTATACATACGAAATCAGATGATGTGACTGAAAAATGAATGATGTCATGAGCAGTGAAAAGCTTAAAAAGAATAAAAGAGAAAGTATTGGAGGGAGAGAGGTACAGAGAGCAAAAGCACATGAGATATACAGAGAAAGAGAGAGAAAACATGGATGAAGAGATGAAAATGGAAAGAGAGGAAAGAAGAGGTGGATCTATCATATTATTCCTATGATATTCGGATGAAAGTATGTAAGAGAGAACCTTAACTCAATTTGGACCAAGTGTAACTTACATGTTTCAAATATAATTTTTAACTAAGAAATATCGAAGTGGATGAAGTAGTATCGGAACAACCCAAAAATAGTACAACCGTTCTTCTTGTTAGTTTGATGTGGAAATGAAAAGTTTGCGTCACGAGCTCACGTTTTCATCCATTATGCTAATGAAGGGTGGTGAAGGTAATTAATTTGAATATCGAAGAGGAACTATGAATATATTAATGACATGAAAATGCAACACTTCTTGAAGCGTTCTCTCAGGTGTAAAGTTGAAGTTTTGTTAATTTTCAAAAAAATTAAAAAATGAATTGAACTAAACGGCATCTGAGTATACAGAGCGAACAGCGCAATCCAATTGACTTCTTCAGTCCATATTAGAAGTCACATTACTTTTCAGCTGCAAGCTCCATAAGCTTCAGACCCTTGAGAGTAATAAGTTCGTATATATCATTTGCAACAAAAAATGATCTGAATTGAATGGGTATGGAAGAAATAGCTGAATGTTTAATAGAAAAGCCTAGAAGACGTTGTTGGAAAGTTTCGATTAAATTTGTTTTTGAAAGCAGTTGCAGTAAGAACATTCGGATTGCACGTTGATTTTCCTGCTTCGTACATTGCCGAAGAAGGAGAAGAAGAAGAAGAAGGAAGAAGTTGAGAGGGAAGAGAGAGGGAGAGAGCACAAAAAGAAGAGGACTGAGAAAATTAAAATTAATTATAAAATGAAAATGTTTTTTTTTCGGAACATTTCTCAAGTCAAAATGTTTTTGGATTAGTCTTTAGCTCCATGTCTTTGCTGTTCGAACTATGCAGAACGAGAAAGAAATAGATGAAAATCTCTGTTTGCTCAATAACAATCATTTCGTCGAATTATGGACAAAAAAAATGTTTTCTTTCAGGAAGTAATACATTCGGAGGGTTTAATGAGGATAAGAATAAGAAATGAGAAAGATCTCTATTTGAGCATCAAACTTGCCAACAGTGTATGTGTATGTGTATGTGTGTGTATGTGTGTGTACGTGTGTGTGTGTGTGTGTGTGTTCTCATCTGAATCTCAAAATCAGGAACATCAAACGGCTATTTAGCCTGTTGGCAATGAAAGGAAAGAAAAGACAAAAAACAACTGAGAAAAGAATAATAAAACTCTCTAATGATATGAAATCAATAAGACGAAGGAAGGAACAAAAGGCACGAAGCGAGGGAGATGCCGACGATATGTATTCTTCAACAAGTTTTTTTTTTTCAAAATATTTCAGTTAAAAGAAGCGAAGTGAAATAAGAAAATATCAAATTTGACACTACTTTCACGACTCCATTCATATTCATTTCAATCGCTCTTTTTTTTGAGTGAATAAAAGAATTTTATTAAAGATTTTTGAACAGAATGAAAACTTCTATGAATACAGAACGATATGGACTGAGAATTGGTAACGATAAGAACACGGTGTAGTTGACAAAACAATCGAGTCAAAAAATGAAAAGAAAAAATAGTAAATGAAGCACAAGCTAAAAAAGACATAAAGGAGAGGAGGGGAAAAAAGTAGGAATAACGGTGGAAAGTCAAAGAGAGAGGGACATTGAGAGATAGAGAGGGTAGCAAAGACAAGAGGAAATTGAAGGAGGGAAAGAGGCGGGCAAATCTAGGTGGACAATTAAGCGGACCAAGGACAACGTTTTGACAAACAGCGATAAATAATCATTTTTCTATCAGAAAGTTATTAAACTGAACCTTCATACTCTTGAATGTCTTGAACATATGGACAGAAAGAGAAAGAGAGTAGGAGGGGGAGGATAACAGAGAGACAGCTGAAGACAGAGAAACAGAAAGGGAAGGAGAGATGAGAAAAGAAAATAATTTTTTTTTCTCGCAAAAACGACATGCAAAGGAGAAGAAGATTGTTTCATGTCATTTCACTACTAACTTCAGCTTAGCTGTATAATTATTTGGAGAAGAAAAAAAAATTGAATTTGAATCTTGAATACGAAGTTCTTCTTCTTCTGTCTGTCAAGAAATATTTTCTGAATGAATTTGAGAGAGATTAATCTGAGTTTTTCTCCTAATTTGCCTCTTTATTCATTTGACAGCAAAAAAAAACTGCACAAAGACATGGCTAAGATGAATAAAGAGAATAATTTTTTTATAAAAATAAAATTATGAGGCAGAATAATGAGATTAAATTGTGAGATGAAGCTGAGCTGAAAGCTTCTTATAAATCACAGGATGATTAAGTTTTCATCAACTGAACATCAATTTCAGAATAACACATACACATGCACACACACACACACACACACACACACATGCACATGCACATGCACATACACATGCACACGTACACGTACACACACACACACACACACACACAGAATGGAAATTTCGAAAAAAAAGAAAGAAGGTTTAAAAACAATTTTTCCTCCTAGACTTGGTTTTTCCTCTCTTCTTCCCTTCATGCTATCGTTCTCTCCCTCTCACCGTTATTCTCTGTTTGTTTCTTTCAACCTTCTTTTTTCATTTTCCAGTACTCTTTCCTTCCTTTCTCCCTCTCATTCGTCTTTCCCTCCATTTCATACTCTCTCTCTCTTTCTCTTTCACCCTCTAACTCTCTTTTCCTATTGCCATCTGTCTCACCCTCATTCCCGTCATAATTAACTTTATCAAAAATATCATTCTATTAAACAAAAAAAACCTTCTCATGGATTAGATGTGAACATTGTCAGTTTTTTTAATCGAAAATGTTGTTGGCAGGAGTAGAAACAATAAAGTTTTGAACTTCTTCTTGTTTCAACAGGCGATGATGTATACAATCCCAATTGATCTCATCAATAGCCGAATCGAGGATATCCTATGATTTTTGCTTTTCTCCAGACGTAATCGGAACGACAAAACGGAGCTGTTTTTTTTGGCAGTGAAAGCCGAATATAGTCAATTGAGTTGAAAAATATTTAAGAAAATATTTAAACAAGTAGCAAAGACAAATAAAAATGTCCCTTCCAATATGGCAATGTCTATGTTGCCTCATTCACTCTGTGCACTTTTGCTCTTTAATAAGCTTTTGAAAACTAAGAACTTGAAATTACGTTAAAAGCTTTTTTACGGAAACCGATCGAAATAGAAACAAATGTATTGTTTTAAGATTTTTTTTCTTTCAATCAAGAACTCAACTCTTGCTTCCTCTATCTCTCGCATTGGATGTCTCTTTCTCAACGCAACGAGATAGACATTGGATAAGGCGGAAGACGAATAAAAATTAAAAAAACAATATTTGGCTAAGAAATGATTAAATTTCTTCAACTGTCAAACGGATTTCCCGTTGAAGCATGCTCGATTCCGTTCAGCCGAAAAAAAAATGTTTTCAATAGATATCGCCAACCTCCCAGCAGCAAAGAGGAATTTAATTATTTCTTTATTTATTTCCTTTTCAATTGCATAATTTTCTTCGAAAAAATGCTTTATTTGACCTGTCTATCCACAATCTTTCTTTCCCTCTCTGTTTCTCTTGCTCTCTCTCTGCTTCATCTATTTCTTAGTCATGCTCTCTCTTGGTACCCAAAAATGACGATAGAAGGTTTGTTGCTATGACGACTCGTCAACAGCAATATGCTCATCGATTATTTCATTTTACTCTCTCTCTCTATATAGATATCTCAGATATTTCGTCCTTTTCACTACTTTCATTACAATTTTCAAACTTTTTGTTTTATAGAAAATATGAATATTTGGGATTTAGCTAGAGAAAAGCTTAAGGAGAGTGAAGCAAAAGCAGCAGACTTAGACGAGAAATTGGACACGAACACAACAGCCAAAACTGGTAATTTACAAAATATTTTGAGAGTTATTGTTTTCTTTAAAGCTACAAGTCAGATAAGATTACGAAAAGAATCTGTAGCATTGATATGCGGAAGTCGGCAATGTGTAAGAAATTAATGATTGTTCATAGCTTTATCCAATAATGATTTAGGGAAAAACAACATTTTTACATAAATATTTGGAAAGGAATGAAGAACCTAAAGCTACAATTGGCTTGGATTATCTGTTTGGACGACGAACGAGAGGCAAAGTTGGATAACGAGCATGATGCTCTTCTTTCCATATTCATTTCTACTTTATCATATTTGTAGGTTAAAGATTTGTGTAATATATACGAGTTGGGTGGAGGCATCAAACTAACAAATCTTCTTTCCATTCCATTGAATTCGGATAATATTGAGTAAATTGATGTTATTTTCACTATTAGTTGCCGCGTTTCTCAGAATCACGTCGCTTATACTCATATTAGATTTAACGAAACCGTATGACATGTGGGATACGTTGGATGGAATTGTGTCGAGCGTCAAGAAGGAAATTGCTAGAATTCATCAATTTCTGTCGCAAAACAGTTATGAGTTCTTCCCGTGCTCCCACGTAATATCAGTTTTTTTCAGATCCGACGGCCTTGCAGAGGCTTTCCGAAGTTCAGAGCGATCGTCTGAAAGCTTATGGGGTGGTTATTTCGTTTGTCATAGCTCTCTATAAACTCTTATTTAAGGAGCAACTTCGACTATGCTCTCCTTTAGGAATTCCGTTTATGATCATCGGCTCGAAATACGATGAATTTCAGAATTTGGAATCAGAACAACGCCGACACATTTGTCAATTTTTGAGATTTGTATCTTTCTACTACGGGGGGTCTTTGATGGTTAGTAGTTTTCCATGAAATTCCAACTATAATTTGAACTTTGAGTTTTATTCATCCAGAATGGAGTCTCTCATAAAAACTGGAAGAGCTATGTTCAGTCATTATGCATTGGAAACAACACTGCCGAAAACGATTGTCTCTGACCATAACAAGCCATTAGTCATTCCAGTGGGAATGGATTCGTTTCAGGTACTTCCAAAAAGGAACGTTATGTTAATTCAAACTTCTTTCAGGACATTGGAGCTCCTCCGATGGTAGAAAATTCTTTTGCCAGAGCCAGTCAACCAATAGAATTATGGAGAGAAGCATTCAATTCTTTGTTTCCTCCCAAGGTGAGATTGAATCGGCTACAGAAATGCAACAAAAAACATTTGCAGGAAACAAATGGTGCTGGAGAAGATCCCACATTCGATCCCGTTTTCAAGGAGCCCGTAATTGACAAACTGATTGAGCAAAAACTAAAAGTAAATTTCCTTCGTTATGAGAAAAACAGAATGAGAAAAAATGAAAAACTTCTTCCAGGATTTGGAAATGTATCAGAAACAGAAGAAGGATAGATTGATTGCCGAGGAGAAAGCTAAAACCCGCATTGTTAGCATGTAGATGAAGCCAAATGAACACACAGAAGAGAAATATTAAAATTTTTATTATTAATTTTATCTTTTTTTGTTGTTAAATTATGTTTTACGCTGCAGAGGGGTCAATCTTCTATGAGGATGAGGACACGGCGAGAAAGTCGAAGGCCTAAATGTACATGTCGATAGATTTATCTGGGAAAAATCAAAAATGAGGATGAAGCTGGTGGTAAATCAGCAAAAAAAAGGAGAACCGTATGCAGTGTTTGAAGCTGAAAAAAAAACAGAAAAAAAACATGAGAAAACATAGGTCGGCTGAGGCACAATAACCGGAGACATATAGAGGGGTGAATACTTTGTGCATGAATGGCAAAAAAGGTTTTTGTAGGTGATTTAAGCTGAAAACAAAGTAGTGAACTAACATTTGCGTGAACTATCTCTATGCTTAAAGGATATACATTGAATAGCAACAGAAAGACTTAACAAAAAGCTAAGCTGATATGTGGCAACAAGAAGCCAACGAAGGGTTTAAACACATCCATACTCGTACCAAACAGTGCTTTCGGCAGGAGTTGCTTTCGCTTCAGTTGAATTAACATTCTCATATATGGACATAGCTTTATCCACACGTTCTTCCTGCACAATTATTAGGGATTAGTTCATTAGAACTTGATTGAATAGCATACCTTTTCTCGGACAAAGTCCCTCTTTTCACCTTCCCCTACAACAAGCCGATCTTCAGCGTTTTTACTCTTAGGAGTGGATGAGCATTTGGGAGCAAAAAAAACAGGAGAAGACTCAACAGGTGTAGCACAATTATCGTTGGGGGTCTACAAAGTGTTATATTGGAGACACGTAATAAAGTTTATTGGCTTACGGAGCATCGTTGATATGGTGGAGGTGGCTTAGTCTTGGGGTATGGTGGTGGAGGTGGTCTGGCACGAAGAGAAGCCGTAACAGAAGAATTACGAACAGGCGCCCTGGGAGGCAGATACGAAGGAACGTCAACAGGTCGTTCTGATCCTAAATGTTAATGGTATTGGTTTGGAGGTGAATAAAGAGAAGGAAAAATAACTTTGAATAATTAATAGAAAGCGTGACGACCACTATTCACAAAAAAATGAAAAAGTTAAAATCGTGCTAACATCCTATTCTGTCTATGACGATGATGATGATGATAATGATGAAAACATACCGTTCCGTTCTAAAGATCCTGATGAGACAATGGGCCGCCGATTATTAGAATAAACTCGAACTGATCCTCCAATGATATCATTTCGATTACGTAAGGCTGGATTGAAGCTGGGAAATCCAGGAGAATCTGCACAAAACACAACACTGTCACTCACAAAACAAAAGAAGAAAACATGCAAATGTAAGAAAAATAAAAGGAAAGTAGTTTACCTTTAGTTGTGGTTATAACTTCATAACGGGGAGAGGTACGGTCAACATCATCGGATGAGGAGCAAGTAGGGGGAAAGATGTCAAGATCATCAACGCCTGAAGAAGCACTCGGTTAGGTTGGAGAGTAGAAGTAAGTTACAACAATAAAATGTTATTTTCTTTTGATTTCATTGTTTTTTATGGAATGTGGAGGGGAAATTTTTATTTTTTTGTTGAAAAATTTCTGGAAGTAGGGTATGGTTGTGGAAGAGAGGGAGATGGAGGAGGAAGATTCAAAAGAACACAGAAAGGAGAACACACAAGAGACATGCGGACACAAAAATGACGAAAATATAGAAAAAACTTTCTTATTTTTTCTTATTTATTAGACAACACACGTATGTACATATAGACGAATTTCACAGGGACAACAGACATTTAATTTCGCTTGGTTCAGCAGAAGAAAAATATTTTTTTTTACCCATTCTTAACTAAACAATTGTAAAATGATCTTCGTTTTCGAAAAAAAAATGTAAGGCTAAGACAATGCTTTTTTGGATTTGTTGATTCTTCAGCTATTGGGAAGATGTCTCATTTGTTCTCATAAACACTTGTATTCATGTCTATCATCTTATCAACAGCTGGAGGATCAAACGATCTCGATGAACTATCATCCAGAAATACTATTGCTGGACGTTTCTTTCGAAATAGACGTAAGCTAGAGAAACGTCTATTACCATGCACAGGACATGGTGCTGATGATGGTAATGGCTTTATCACATCATCCAGCTCTTTCAAAACTTCTTTTTTCATCAATTGAAAATTATTTTTTAAGTTAATATTATTATTATTTATACCATTTGCATTGTTAGAAGCTTCATCAGCTGAATAGTTCGAGCTGTCTTCAGTTGTCGAACCGTTGGAAGATGGCTGCGAGGGCCTCCGCTGAAATATTTTTTTTATTTTGGAAGTGGGAAAAAAAGTTTGAGAAAAATCCAAGTATTAACATTTGAGTGAAACATACCCGATTGATGAGTGCTTTGGCTGCTCTCTTGACCAGCGCTTGTTTTCTTTCAGGGAACCGTTTGTTCTCCATGGATCTGTACTGATCCATGATCTTTTCCTCTAACTTTTCTTTGTGTCTTCTCAAAGCAACTAATCTCTCCTTAAATGATTTAAAATATTATAAGCAGATACTGTAAACCAATACCTGGGATTCCTTCTGCTCCTGGTGATACATATCCTTATCGTTTAGTGCTCTATGAAGGAGCTCTTTGTTCTGCTGCAATAACATTTCCACCTGGCGAGCAAGATTTTTGCTTTCCTCATCGTACGTTCTGTTTAATTGAGTAAGCATCTAAGCAGGAGAATTATGAAAATCAGAATTTGCAATTCTCACCTCTACACGGTTATGTAATTTGGAGATTTCAATATCTTTGTTCTGCAATGATTTTGACAAATCATCCACAGTAACACTCAATTCCTTAATTGTTGTTCGACTGGCTTGCTCATTTATTCTCAAATTTCGAATTTCAATATTCAGCGAATCAGAGCTTCGACTTGAGCTATCTTTCTCTTTTCTAAACACAGCCGAATATTTTTAAGATTTTTGTTACAAATTAGCTTACTTAAGCATGTCTAGTTCTCGCTTTACAGCCCCGTGCTCGTTATGCAAATCAGCATAAGCTCTAAGCTGTTTATCCTTGGCTGCACGCTCTTGTGCCAAAATAGTTCTTAACTCATCAAGTTCACGGGTAGGAATAACAACTGGCACAGACTGAAATATTAAAATAACACAAATTGAACAAAAAAGTCGGATATCTTTCTTTCCCATTTGTCTTAATCATACGGTAGGGAGGAACAAACATTTTTCAAACAAAAAAATCTTCAAAAGAATCAGAGAAAGGGATAATAGAGATGAATGGGATGAAAAGGAAACGAATTCATTTTTTTGAAATTCCCGCCTTGTCTTAAGGAGCAATACAAAAGATAAGAATGTATCGTTTACCAAAACAGAAGTCGGTAACGTTTCGAAAAATAAAAAAGGAAAAAGAAAAGGAGAAACGTGACTGAGTTCAAATCAGAATGCATTTGACTTCTTCCATGTTAAAATAAAATAAGATGAGAAGTGATGAGTTGGAGTGAGCAAAAAGTATTGTCAGCTGTGCATATGAGTTTACTGAGACTCTCTGGTTTCTTAAATGTACACGAGAAACACACCAAATCTCTTTTAAACACGACTTCTCAATGAAAAAAAGAGTGAAGTTGACAGAAGAAAAACCTTTTTGAAACAGAAAAACAGAGAGTTCGAGATGATTTTTACACCAATGAGAAGACTTAGAACAGTCAAATATAAAGTGAGTGAAATGAGCAAAAAAAAAGAAAGAGAACATGTGGAGCTCATCTAAAGAACTACCAAATGACCTCTTTTAACATCGGACAGGATGAGGGATGAAAATACAAACATCAACATCAAACAGCAAATATCCGTATTCGATGGAGATTTTGTTTTCTCGAGTTTTGTGAAATAAAATACAACTCACTCTTTGGTTTCTCATTCGAACTTTCATGTCTTGGTTTTCTTGCTTAGTTCTCTCATAATCATGTGTAAGCAGATCATGAAGATTTTGTAGTCGATCATGATCACCTAATAGAGCTTGATGCATTGTTGCAAGAGAATCCTGAAAATGATGAATATTTTCATAATTTGATGAAATTCTGGAGAAACTCACAGCGTCTTTTTTGGCTAACTGACGACTTTTCTCAGCTGTTTCCAGTTGACAACGAAGATCGCCGTTATCTTGTTTTTGTAATTCTTCCTGAAAAAGATATGGATCAAACAATAATTCTGAATGATATATTAAATTGATTTGAACTATTTTTGAAACTTACATAGACATTAGTGGCTAAACTCAGTACTAACGCTGAGCTCTTAGTTTTTCGAAAAAACATATTGGACACGGTTATTATGAGTGTAATGGATACAACTGTTTCAGAATATAATATATGAATGAACTTTCAATATGGTCTAAGGATATTTGACCATAAGCTATGAAATTATGTCAAGTTCTTATGTTCATAAGTTGTCAGATTAGCTGACCTTAATTATATGAATAATATAAAGAAACTGACAACAGTTTTCACAGCCTTGTCTGCATGTGGTTAAGATATGCCAATGGCTAATGAAAAAATAAGAAAAGGTCAGCAGGAGCAGACGCTACTACAATGACATAACCCAATGTTTAAACTAATCCAAAATGAACTAATAAAAACAAATAATAGAAGGTTTTTCAGGTATTTTTTTTGTAAAAGGAGAGAAATGAAAATTTACAAACCTGTAACTGCAGATTTCGGAGTGAAACTTGAAGACGAGCTAGCTCAGTGTTGGTTGCAGTAGCGTTTGTCTGAAATGAAATCATTTTTCATAACATTCGAAAGACATGAAGAAGTAATTAGACTTGTCAAGTTGGATATGTTCTTAGAATATTAATAAATTTTCTAGGAAAATCGGAAAAAAAGGATGAAAAGTCAAAAGGAAGGCTTTATAAGATCTTGATGAATTCAAAGGGTTAGAAGGTTGTGAACAGACGTGCGTTGATTGATAGTCATTTGGCTGTAATTTACATAGATAACAAGAGGCGTATCGTTGAAAAGCCAAAGAGATGAATAAGAGAGAAATAATTTGAAGATGAGGAAGACGAGGACAAAATGATTGAAAAATTGGGAAAAAAGAGCTCAGAATGGGAAATATGATGAAAGTGCACACATCTGTTCAGAATCAGAATAAATAATATATGTTAAAGGAAGGATGAGGAGGATGAAAATATGATGAATAATGTCAAATATGATATCTATCTAATCCCATAATTAGAGTCTAACGATATCAACGATTAGTTTTGTCATAATCCTCATCATACTATCATCACAAAATCTTTACAGTCCTTGACCTATTGAAACATTTTTGAGATATTTTCCTCAAACTAGGAAATCAATATGGAATATTCAAATAGAGCAAATGGTTCGAATACTTAAGGGAATTGATACATCAAACCGTCTGCTTTTTTGATGACACATACGGCCATGTGGTGTACGGAACGACAAACATCATTATGAAGAAGACAGGGGATGATCATTTAGTACAATACACTTGCTGATGTTTACAGTTAATAATCAAATATTCAGAAAAATCATTCAAATCTCAGACAGTTAGAATGAAATAGTAAGTTGTCAGTTATAGAGAGTGGTAGAGAGGACAAGAAAGGTACTTACTTAGGTGAAGAGAGAGAAAGAGAGAGAGAGAGAGATATATGAGAGAGATTACAATAGATTGTCAGTTATTATGTGCTCATCTAGCAACTTTTGGCAATTTATGATCTGCTACTGACAATCTTTCTCAACATTATTACAAAAAGTTTACAACAAGTCTAATAACTCAATATAAGGCAAGTCAACTTACAGCATTGCGATTGAGTTCTTCGATTTCTCTTTTAGCAACAATAACTTGGCTATTCTTAGAAGAAATTTCAATTTGTTGCTCCCGAACCTTTTCTTGTAAGAGGAAAATCTGTGAAGGGAAGAGTAAATATCTGAATGAAGCAATTGCAACTCACTTGTTCTTTCATGGATACATTTTCTTTGGAAAGTTCTCTGACACGATCATCACTTTCGCTCAAGGAAGCACTTTCACTTCTCCTGAAATAATTTTCGATTTATGAAAAATTCTTCACCAATGTTTTTCATTGAAGAAATTGAAATTTGATTTGAATAACTGTTGAAACATACCAGAACATGAGAGAAGTTGGGATAAAGCGCATTTTTAGGGGAAAAGAATTAAAATTATCAAAAAGCTTTCTCAGATCTGATTTCTTTCATTAGTGATCATTCATCATTTAGGACAAGCTAATCACATCTAATCTATCATCTATTTGTCATCAACAATTTCAAAAAATGTCAGAAGATAAGTGATTGAAAAACAAATATCATTTACGAACCTTAACTTCTCAATGTCTCTCCGTAAATCGGTTAACTCCGCTATTTGAGTATGTTGTTGAAGACGTAAAGCATCAGCTTCACGTTTAGCAGCAGACAATGCTCCCATTAACACTTCGTCAATGTTATCAATCAACTTAAATATCTATTTTCATTTGCAAATTCAAGATTTGGTGCTACCTTCTCATCACTCATTTCTGATGTTTCAAGTTTGCCTCCATGCAGTTGGATCGCTGCACATAGGCTACGAAGCCGTCCAATTATTTCCGCTAGACGAGCTTTTTCTGCAATAAGATCTTCACGAAGTCTTTGCGTTTTCTTCGATTCCAATTCAATCTGAAAAAAAAAATAGATTGAAGGATAAGAAATAAGAAGAAAAAATTACCTGTTGTTGAAGGCTTCGGTTTTCTGATTCAACATCTCCAACACGATTTTGTTGTTCAACAAGCAGACGTTCGCTGACTTCTAACCGTTTAGCAGCATCATCAGTGGTCAGCATTCTCATTCGAATGACTTCAAGCTCATCTTCCAATTTTTCTGTTCTTTCCTGAATAGTAATGTTATTGTAAACTGACGGCAGTTCGTGAAGTTAGTACCTTCAGAGCGTTTTTCTCATTTTCAGAGTTCTTAAGAGATCGTTCCAATTGAGAAGTTTGTAGATCGCATTTATGCTTTTCTTCTTTCAAATCATCTACAGTCTTCCTAAGAGAACGTTGTTCTTCGCGTAGCTTTTCCAATTGTTTCTCAGCTTCGGTATGTTCTTCAACAGCCGAACTATATTTTAATTTCTGCTCTTGCAATTCTACTTCAATCTCTCTTATCTAAATTCAAAAGATATTGCTTTCTTACATTTCCCATTGTTTACCTTGAACTCCGATTCTTGTTCGAATTTGCGACCAAACTCCGTTTGGAACTGAGTGAACTTTCGACGAGCTTCATGAAGACTTTTAACAGCCTCATCTCTCTCATTTCGAACTGATTCCAAAGTGGCGGATGTCTCTTTGTAATCATTGTTGATTGCCGACAATGTCTTCTCTAGTTCATGAAGCTGTTCGGTAATCATTGAGTTTTCTTCTTTTAGCTCTTCGATTTTCTGGCATTTCTCTGTTATCCTTTGATTAATAGGTTCCATGTCAACGGAAGATACAGATATTCTGAATATCAAAATAAACAAACCATTCGGTAACCAAAGAATAAATTTACTCACGTCGAGATATCTTTTTGGTCCTCAAGTTGTGCTCGCAATCTCCGAATTTCTAAGCGAAGCTTCACTGACTCTCCACGATCACTCTGATTTAATTGATCAGCTAAAGATCCAAAACTTTCTCTTGGCGATCCAGGATCATTGAATCTAATATGAGAACACATAGTAAGCAAATGATATTTCTTTAAAAATACCTTTCCATCTCAGCAATCTTTGAGTTGTGAAGATTCAGCTCATTCTCGAGACGTGATTGTTCCAATAATAATTGTTCAATCTTGGAATTTTTCTAGAACAGTAAGTTGTAAATAGTTGAGGTGTAAGTGTTTACTTCGCTAATATCAGCTTGTAAATTTCTGACATTCTTTTGAGATTCTTCTAGTCGGTTTTCAACATCTTGTTGATTCTTAATAATGATTGGATGAAAAGAAAATAAAAGATATGAGGCATACTTTGCATTTGATTCTAGCTCCATCAACTTCATCTTCCAACATATTCATCGTTTTTTCCAAAGCATCATTCTCACTTAGCAATTGCTGCAACAAAGACAGTTCGACAATCCTTGTATAGATCATACCTCTGTTCGTGAACGATAGTAGTCAAGTTCAGCTATTTTTTCTCTCAACTTTGAATTTTCTTGTTCAAGTTTTTCTAGCTTCATCAACTAAAAAACAAGAATGTTCGAAGTCTTCTCTGATCTGACAATACCTTATGTTGAATGCAATCAAGCTCGTCACGCAAATCCTTAGCCGCACGAGCATCCTTTATGAGTTCAAGTCGTTCTTCTTGAATTCGAAGTAACTGCAATAACGTCAATTAATTTGACTCATTGTGATTTTGTTTCTTCTGAGCACAACCGCCTACATCGTTTTTTGATTAGAAATGAATTTTAAATGTCCCAATCAGTGAAGATGTTTGGTCGCTCAACTTTTGCTCATTAGCATATGACACAGGTAATTGGCCAATCATTTTAATGAGGTGATAGATTATTTAGAAAACAAGGATAGGGAAGTGTTTGAAGACATTCAAAAGCATAGCAGAACATTCTCTGTATGTTCTCTTACCTCCGACTCTTTGGCATCGAGTTCGTCCCGAAGATCATTCAACTCTTCATCCTTCTCTTCCCTGCAAATGAGATTAATGAGATTTGGATTCTGGGAAAACGTTTTTATTTAAATGAGCAAAACTTACGCTAAGTTTCGTAGTTTTCTCAATTCAGCTTTTACTGAAGCTAATTCGACATTTGAATGTCGATCAAAGGCTGTTGGTGAAGGAGAGCGACGTTCTAAATAGTCGCAATAAGAATTAAAGATAGAAAAACATAAAGTGATAATAATAGAATTGTCAGAAATAAAACATACCAAAACGGATTTCTGAAGTTCTACGAGGGGGCAAATCCCCATTTAGCGAGGAAGTGGCAGTAGTGCTACTTCCTTCGTCACTTTCGTTATCTGGAGTCATGTGTAGAAGCTGATGAGCAAGATTATCTCTCTCTTTCATGACTCTCTCCAAATGAAGGGCGACTTCTTTCGGATCAATAGTCAATGAATTGAGAGTACTGGTAGATAATGGTAAAACCACTGTCGTGCCTTCAGTTATCTGTGAATTTTTTTTCGATAGAAATCAGAGAGAGCAAATTTATATACCTTCTGAATATGATGAACTATTCCTTTTTGCGTATCTGGGCCGAGTCGCGTAATACGTTCGATGAATTCTTTTTTTCGATCACCTTGTACAGCACAACCAAGAAGAAGCAGTAAAAACTTTTTCAACTCTTCTCCTGATTCATCTGAAGTAAAAAATAAAAAAACCAAAGTTGAAAATATAAAAGAGAAAAAACAATTCAAAGCTGTTCACACAATCTTATTCTAATTTTTGAAAAAAAATGTTGCGGATCAGTACACACGGATTAGCCTTGACCGGAATCTGCAGCGGTAAATAACGGAAAAGTGAAAGAGAGAAGGGATTGATAATCAGAAGCAGAGAAGAAAAACGGAGAATTAACCGGACAGACAATGAGGCGGTGGTTGTGGACCTTAGTTGTCTTTAATGAAAGCATCAGTCAAATAATGCTGGAAAGCTCGAGTTTAAAGCTGAACCATGATTCTCAAAAACAGTTGAGGGACAAGCTGTATATGCAAATGTCCAAAGAGTTCAGTAGTACAAGAATGTATATTTAGATATCTAGGAAGGATTCTGTATAAAGTTGTTGGAAGAATGTATTCCATATTGAAAAAAAAAGAAAAGCTGCAAAGCTTGGGAAGAAGGCAGATGCAATACAATTCCGACATAACACAATCATAACGAGAAAAGATATAAAAAAGTATTTGAATGAGCCAAAAACCGGTTAAAGATAGATGTATGACTAATATAATGGATGAAAGAATTATAGGAAAGACTCTCGTTGTGAATTATTCAAATCTCTCTTTTAAAAGAGTTATAGAGGAAACTATTGGAAGTGAATGCTCTCACAGACTGTCAGTATTTGAAAGATACTGGCATTCTTTAGCCTGGAAGATTTTGTTCAATGATGAAACATTTCTGTCTACTTCTCTAAGAATTCAAATGAGCTTCAAGAGTCTCTCTTTCTCTGCTTGCCGCTGGTTCTCCTCCATCGCTCTACAGGAGGTCGAGAACAACTTTGTGATGACAGCGAAGATATTCAGAAGCATGAAGGCAATTCAAATTCTTCTTCCACCTTCAATGTTTCTATCATGGATTGGTCATGGCGATTGAAGAGAGTCTGATGTAGAAAATGCTATGCTGACCACCATCGCAGTCTCTAGGTAGGACTTAAGAAGCTCTCTCAGTTCTCTATCGCATGTGTACTATCTGAGAGGGTTAGCTATCGTTTTCTCAGCATTTTGCCCATTATTTCGCTTTTTCTCATTATTCTGAACAAACAAATCAAGAAGAAAAGAAGATGACAGAATCAAAGGACAAGGCTGAACGATGGGGGCCGATAGCTGAATCTATTGGGAATACACACAGAATTTTATCAAAAGGCTTCTCATATGACATACGAACATGAGGTAATTCATAGCGTTCTGGTAACGATATGGTAACGCATACTCCGGGCAGTTTTGAAAATAAAATAAATTTAAGTAAAATTTGAGAAGTCTTCTATATTTACAGATTTGTGTAAGTCTACTTGTTATGGGAAGACATGAAGAGGTGAGAACAGCAAACAAGAAATAAAGTAAAATCAACAGATGACCCCTTTCTCATTATTTATTTCTTAGTATTATATAGTAAAATGACTAACCCGATGATTTGTTCTTTTCCATAAACAGTTCATCACCTATTACAAGAGGTGGCAATTTACGAAAGCATAAGATATCCAATAGTGGCTTTTTAGCTTTTTTCAAGCTTCGAAAGCTTTTTGAAAGGACAGCGGAACGAGGACGTGTTCGCATTCGGTCACAATACGAACGTTTCTCAACTTCTTTTTTTTTTCGTTTGACGTCCGTTTATCACACCGGAATTTTCGTCCGTGTTCGAAATGTTCAAAAGCCGGATATGCCAGACAAGATCAGGATAATATCACACTAAATGAGAATGAGCACCTGCTCTTCTATCGAAAGAGAACACAAAAAAGTCTTTGAGCAAGTTGGAAAAAGTTTCTCATAAATTGAACAGAAGCAAAAGAAAATTGTGAAAAAAAAGAACAAAAAGTAAGAAGAGATAGGTGTGAATGATGAAGCTCTACGAGGGCATATAAATGAAACGAACATTTCAAAAAGATATTATTAGGGAGAGATGGAATCTTTTGTTTTTCTCGAAATTCGGAAGCAGCTTGTATAGAAAATGATTCATTTGATGGTCAGCAATCATATTCCGGCTATGAGGTATGGTATCGGAAAAGATTTAAAAGCGAGAAAAGCTGATAGGAGGAGAAGAAAATGAAACTGTTTGTTTGAGTTAAGATTGAAATGACAACTTCTCTCAGATTAGGCTCTTAATACCTTTTCCAATTGACCATCATTATATATTATATGAAAATACCTCATTATTATCAGTTCGAATCATCTTTACATTTCATTGATTGTATACTAAACAAGGGTTTAACGGGGTGGAGGACGAAGAGAGAAAGCAGGAATGGACGGGTGGCGAGGTTTCGATACAACTTATTATAGGATTAGCCATTGAATTTGAATGAAATACAAAGGTCAGCTTTATCCTAATATAGTCAATTTGTAAAAATTAAAATGGATGGAAGAAACGAATAGCCAGCCAACTGGTCGAAACCCATCAGACAATTGTGATCATCCTCACTCTACTATGTTCTCTATTAATCTCATATTCTCTTTTACTTTTTCTATCTTTTTTTCTCTCATCTATTTGTGTACTCTCTTAAAATATGTAAATGTGCCCGAGTAACAGATGAAAGAGAGAGAAAAAAAGAAGAGAATGAGAGAGAGAGCAAAAGATCCACAAATGACCAACAACTGATAGATGATGGAGAGTGTAGACAAAAGTCGGCCAAACGTATAAACAACATACAAGGACGTTTTATTCAAAAATACTTCACAAAATATAGATATTAACCGGAAATTAATCATTTAATTATAAATAATTTCTTTGTCTTCATAATTGTTTTTGGTTTAACTAGATGGGAGGGATGGATGAGCAAAAGGTGTTCGGATGGTCTCTTTACTCGTGAGGTGAATGGTCAATCATCGGAATGATGAGTGTTCGGATCTTCTTTCTGATTCACAATCAAAAAAAAAGTCTTTGAAAAGCCGAGAAAAAGCTTCAGGTTGAAATTAAAGGAAAAGACACAACTGTTGCTAACAGAGACAAACAAGTTGTTCTTAATTAATGAGATGAATATCGTAAAAGTAATCAAATATCTAGAATATCTAAAGCTTCGAACGATGATAGAAATGTTAGGAAATAACAGAATCTCTCGAGAAATCTTAAAGCTGTCTGACAGACTGTATACGAATTCATTAAATTTCTTGTCTATACACGTATAGTTGAGAACGGAAAAACAGATCAGAGACACGGTTGAAAAAAAGGCGCCTAAGAAGCTGGCGGAATTCACAAAAGAGAGGCAAATCAGGAAGGTTTGGCCAGATCGTTGAGCCTACTGGTCGCCTATGTCGTTCAATGAAATATTTGCAGTCTTCTGCACCTTTCGATTCCGGAAAAGAGGACAAACAAATTTTTCAAAAGCTTCACTATAGTTCGAAGCCGATGATATCATAAACATGGAAAAAAGACAACAGTATAGGTAATACGTGGAGAGAAGGAGAAGGTAGTCAATTCTCTACTCATGCGTATGTTGATGTAAAAGTAATATGGAATGGGAAAAGCAAGAGATGTTACATAATGAACAACATCTGTATGTAACAAACTGTCCAAGCTTAACCAGATGTTTGAAGTTGAGAAAAAAAAGGTAAAGAATGAAGAACTTGGTTCGAAAAATGTTCCAAAAATGATTTCTTTTTAGTAGATTATAGACGGATTAGGTAGAGAGAGAAAGAGAGTGAAATGAAGCACAAAGTGTTTTATTGAAATCACAGGTGTGAACCGGCTTGAAGAGAAGAACGTGTGCCTGAGAGATTGAGAGATGGAACGATCAGATAAGTTATTTGTGTGGTTACTGAGGAAAATACACATATAAAGAGACATGAAGAAACAAAAGAAAATGGATGTAAAAGGTAATAGAAAAATACCATATAAGGTTAAGAGGAACGAGGTATAGTTTAGAAGAAGAAACATTAATGACCTGGAATGTAGACAGCCGATTGAGACTACAGAAGAGAAGAGAGATAAAAGTAAGAAATGAAGTTATAAGAGAGTAAGAGAATGATAGAAAATAGCCATATATGATGAGATTGTTCCGAATATGTGGAGCAACCAGCCAATAGCTGATAATCAGTGTTTGTTGTTAGCCGAAGGTCATTCATTTGCGTACACATAGTCAAGCAACTTTTGACATGGCTAACATGATAAAAAAGGTTGTAAAAATGAAGAAGGGAAAATTAAATAAATGACAAGTTGTTTATAAAAGAGATTATTTGATGAATTGAATGCAACCGGTCATTCTAATGGTTTAAAATTAAAATGAACTTGTTATAAAGAGAAGGAACGCGTGCTGCATGCAAATGAAGGTTTGCGTGGATTATGTTAATTAGGTAACTACTATGATACTACTTGAGAATGATGATGAATTATGATAGGTAAAAGGGTAATGATGAATATAATGGAATAATCAACAAACACATCCTTCATATGAATGATGAAGATGTGTTGAAGGCGTGAATGGTTGAGGGATAAGTATATTCGTTAACTATTACTGCGTGGTGAAGAAGATGGATAAGATATGTATAACATCTATCTGACGAGATCAAATTTCGGTGAATTTGGTAATAAAAACAGTTTTATTATTTCTAAGAACTTGACGACGCATAGTGATAAAAACAAAAATTCTTAATATTTCTGCTACCTTTTATGGCTTTTGCTAGTTTCTAGTCACTCGGATCGGTTCGCAATAGATGATATTAAAGAAGTTTTATGTGAATTTAAAGATGGAAATGTGGTGATATAATTTGGATGAATGAAAAAAAGTGAAAATTGTTATTTAAAAAATAAAAATATAGAAGAAATGCGTCCAAAAATGGAGAGGCGTTGTAAAAGTTGGAGAATGGAAGATCTCTAGGTCAGCTTAGGTCTATGTGTGACGTCATCGACGTAGATTAGAATATTTGATATGAGAATTAAATAAAGTTAATTTATATATAATTAACTAACCGGGTGTGATACATCGTACAATTGAAACAATATCTGGCGGAGCTAGAACAACTAACTGATTCAATCGTTGCTGAAACAAGTAGAATGAAGCTGCTTGAAGCTAATGAACAAAGCTCTCTTTCAATTCTTTCATTTTTTTATTTATTTTTTTTTCAATGATTTACAAACAAACAAAAACTCGTATTATAATGAATTTCAAAGAGAAAATCATTTGACTAAACTGGACAAATGTCACTTCATAACTTGTGATGTTCATTCATACATCTTTTGGTCAATTTCAAAGACAAAAAAGTGGTTTTGTACAGAGACAACATGACCATTTAAAGAAATTTTATGCAACCAACTAGTGAATTACCTTGTAAAACTTCCTTATAGCTTCTAACAGGGAAAAGAATATGCGCTGTTTGGTACTGAAATCTCGAGTTGAATCGATATCACCAACCACCATCAACGAAACATTTTTGGGATCACTGAAATGACTCTACAATCGTGTTGTCATAAAAAATATTTTATCTTTAATAAATCCCTTCTATTTTAAGTGAAATGGGCAGATACGAAGTTGATTCGGAGAAGAATCTCATAAAACTTTTGTTTGGAATGGAAAAATAAAGAAAATGTAAATTTTGATTGAGAAACGGTTAAAGAAAAAACCGGCTGTCTCCTCAGGCAGTTCATGTACTGCCATTGGAATTTTCAAACAGTTTTTCTCAATTTGCATTCGAATATGAAAGAGAAAAGGATAACCTTGACGTTTCTAACCATTATATTTCTTTTGTAAATTACATATTCAAATGGTTTAACATACATTTCCTTATATAGTAAGGTTAATAATAATCCGTCACATATTTCTTTGTATTGTATTTCCAAGTTCCTTCTGTTCGGAAGTCGCCAGAACTTCTCATCTACAATAGCTTTTGGACCTATGCAACAATCTCTGAAAGTAAACACAATGCATGTATATACATATAGATTTGGATAGAAGATGAAGCGTACTTGAGCCAGGCTCCAAGAGAGTCTTGCCAGAAATCAACTTCCGCGAAATCCATTATAGAATCATCTTAAACAAAACAATTTTCAAAAAACACTTCAATGAGAGACACAAAGTATGTTGAGAGTAGTAAAGACAAACAGTGATTGCGATATGTGAATGGTCATGCTCTATTAATCAAGTAAAATGATCAAGTTTAATATAAATGAACGAGAGAATGGCAAGTAGAAAGCCAAGTAGCACTGCATACGGTGAAACAACACATAAGCAGATATTATGAAAATTTACTGAAGCAAATTGCAAAAAATTTACAATAACTGAAATCAACAGAACGCGAGAAGCTTCTATACCTTCTTGTTCAGCACTCTCCCATTCTGACATTCGCTCATGAGGCATTTCTTTAGATGCCATTTTTTATCGTAACAGAACCTGATGTAAATGAGACGAAGCAAAATGAGGATGATACTCGTCTCCTCTCATTCGAAACGAATGACTTCAGAAAATGACGAAATAACTTATTCCATGCTGGCATTTCTTGGCAAAAGCTTTTTTCCCATTCAATTCAATTACAAAACTCTTATAAAAAGCAAAGAAAGCGATAACTTTCGAGAAAAGACAAACTTTGAATTTTATCAGAGAAAAAGGAGATGAAGAGAATAAGCGGGGGAAATGGTTGAAGGGGGATTCAATTCAACATTCCCTTATCGTTTTTCTATTTCACATACACAAATAAAATATAAAATAAACATTATGAAAATTTACAAATAAAATAACAGTTGATTTTGGATGGAAGAATATGTTTGTATCCTGATTTGGTCAATTCAAAACGAAAACAATGTAAAGGTCGCACAGACCACAAACCCTCTCAGGTAAATGGCAACCAAAACAAAACAAAAAAAGTAAAATTAGCTATGTGAGATAAATAAATCCTAATTATTGGACCAGTTTGTGTTTGAATGTTATGAGTGAGTCCAGTGAGCACCCAAAAAAGGAAATGAGGAAGTCCATTAATCGGATCAAATAAATGTAATGAGAAGCTGATTATCGCATTCGATGCAACATTTTTCAAATAAAAATCTTAATGGGGGGTCAGCAGTCGTATTCAGTCATGAGCAGGAAAAGCCATAACCATGTGTGTGTGAGTGTGTGTGATTTATAGGATAATACACCATATAAGAAATATTCTTAATTATCTTCAGCTCAGAATGAAATATTGAAATAGAAAGCGTGTCAACACGGGAAGATAAAGATTGTAATCGCCTCAGGAACTACACACAAATACTTTGATGAACAAAGGTGCAGACCGCGCAAATATTTTGGTGACATGATCAGAAGTGAAGGAACTGATCAAGGAGAGACGGTTGGATTCATCAAACTCTGCGATGAATTATGAATTTGCAATCGAGAATACAATGAAATACTATGGATGAAATAGAATTAACAGCTTCTTCTACAATGTAACACAAATGATATTTTCTAATAACTTTCATCTTTATCTTATATATCTCTTTGACATCTTTCGTCAGCAGTTGCTTACTCAGCTAAATGAGTCTTTCATTCATCTCATCATCAACAGTTACTACGCTCATTAGACCAAAAACAACTTTTTTTTGAAAAAAAAACAGAACAACGAGTGGAGTAATAGTGAACGCTGCTTGTGAATACAACCGCTCTGCTGTGGCTTTTCAATTAAAATAAAATGGATGAGAGAGGAGGAGATTTACGTGAAGTTCACGTGAATCGTGTTTATGTGAACGGAACACTTACATATTCACATTAAAATAATGATGATGTTATGAATAATCAATAATATAATTAAATAAGACAAATGGATGGATGAAGCTGAGGGCTTCTGCTTCATTGGCTAACAATACTTGGAAGCGAAAAAAAGTAGAAAACGATATTCACCTTTGTATCCGAACTATTGAATGTCCTTAAATGGATAGTTAGCAGGTGGTACTAAAGGACGCATAAAGCAAGTAGAAAATCGTCTTTACGGATAGATAAAACGCTTGAACAGACGTTCATTCGGAAAAATGACCAACAAGGGGACAGATGAAAGGTATAAAAAGAGGATTGAAAGAGAATTGAAAATGGGCAAATTAGTAATGAAAGTTGGTGATAGAGAATAGACAACTTAAGCCGTTCGAAACTTTACAATAAAATAGTTGGCCAATTGTAGATTTTTCTCCTTTTTTTTCTTATTTTTCGGTCACATTAAATGAAAATGCAAATTAGCGACCTTGAAAGAGAGAGAAAGGCTCTTGTGACTAAGAGTCTAATTAGACGGTTAGCAAAACTCAGAGAAAAAATATATATAAAAGCAGTTCGTTTGAATGAAAAAAAAACCTTTTTGTTCATTGACCTTACGCTTAATGCACCGATTGGTATTGATGAAAATGATCTGTTAACCACTAATGAATGCTAATAAGCAATTTCAAATGAAGCTTAGACAACGGATTATGCAAATCTTAGTAAAACATTGTATTTCGGGAAGGAACACAACTAGGTCAACCTTAAGCTTTTTATATATTAAATGCTAAAACTGCTTATGGTATTGGTTTTGAAAAAAAACGGTTAACGAGCCAACAGTGGAACGGAAAAAAAATAAAACTTGGATGAAATACTATCTTAGAAGCTATGTACATATAGATGGAGATAATTCAACATTAAATCTGACGAGTATTATAATGGAGATAATTAAAAACATAAATTTGCAGAAAGGTAACGAACTCAATTTGTATGTAAGGCTATGCTCTCATGGATTAAAGCCGACCGTGTCGTCATGTATTGATTGGCTTCTTTGACCTAAGGTACCCAGCATATAGCCAAAGCTAACCTGGTCAAGCTTTCTCATCCATCTCCTCATTCTGCTTGACCTCTCTCCAACCATTCCAATTCTCTCTTCGTTCTCTCTACTTCTTTTCCTCTCAAAGCTCTCTCGATTTTCAACTCTCTCTCTTTGTCCATATGTAATGGTTAACTGGACCTTCTCCTTCACACAACTCTGAGTTGAATATATTAGACACGACGGATATGGTACGAACGCAATTATTTTCAAAGAGCAGGTGGCTTCTGCAGAAACGTCGTTTATCCTCCATGAAATTTTCGGTCCAGAGAATGTTAAACGGAATGAATTAGGAGTTAAGAGTTAATGTCAATATGAAACTATACTTAATGATTGGAAGTAGCAATAATTTGATAAAAAAAAGAAAGAAAAGTCTTATCACATAGGAGGTGTTGAAATTTATCATTTTTGAATGAATCATTAGTAATTCTCCATTTGATTGATAAGTTCTTATAAAAATAAAATGATTCTTCAACAACTAGAGAACGTCTTGTTCCGTATCCCACAAGTTATGACCTCACTATCGTATTTAACTAACATTCAATACGACAATCAAAACTGTGAGTTCTAACTAGCAGTTCCTAATCCGTACCTTCGAAGTCTACAATGACAAAACAATATCTTATCATAAGAATGAAGTTAACAAGCTTTTTGAACATATGCAAACTAGAGAGAATAGGTGTGAGGCTATTCAGAGGGATATCAACAAATGGTTTTTTCCAACCTTTCATTACTCATTCCTCTGACATATGAGGGAGTTTGAAAGGAAAAACGTGAGAAACATTCAGAAGGTGATTTCTGCGATAGTTTAGAGAAGAAAAAAAATTTATTTGCGTTTATGAAGAAAATATGAAGAGGGTTATGAGAGAATTTTTAATCTTTTAATAGTTGGTTCAGTTCATATAATAGGAGATGAATAAGTGAGATAATAAGACGAAGACGATCTGACAGCGAATCTGCCTTTTCAAAACTTTTTTTTAAATTCAAATTATGCTAAGACACACCTTTAATACACTTTTTTTAAATAACTAATTCAATGGATGAAGATGTTATTTAGATAAATCTATGTTTGTCATCTGCATTGGCAAAGAACATTCATCCGAAATAGCAGATTCTAATCTGTGAACGTAGAATAAAAAAGTAAAAAGTGAAGGAGAAGTTTGACAAAACAAAATGTTAAATTCATGGTCAATTGAATGAGAAAAAACGAGAACATGTCCAATTGAGCCTCAGAAACACGATGAAAGTTATCTTGCAGAATGTTGATTGTATACAGAAAAAACTTGAAAGTTCATATACCAATTGGTTGAACAGATAAAATAAATTTTGAATGGCATTGGAATATGCAAATGAGTTTCACGCTGCCTGTCACGTCAAACAGTATCATTTTCATTTTTTGTATTGATAGCGGAGTGAACGGTTGCATGTGGGAGAATGGAACATTGCTGAACTGCATTCTAAGAATAAATTAAGAGATTTCCTCTTCTTTGATACTAGTTGATTGTGTGAAGTAGAGGGGGAAAGAGAGAGAGAGAGAGAGGGAGTGAGAGAATGAAAACAACAATAAAAGAACAAGCTTTCAAAAGAGAAAAAGTAAATAAGCTTTAATTTACAAGGAAAAAAAAAGAACAAAAAGAATATGAGTAAGAACATGTTTGCTTTAAGTTGGAAATGGCAAGAAATGGATTTTCAAATTCAATGAAAACTTTTTGCTATTGAGATGTCAATAACCATCAAAATCTTTTAAAGGGATAGATGGAGGTGAATAGAGACGAAAATGTTCTGAAATACAGAAGAATATTCTCTTTCATAATGAAGAAATGTTTGATTTATTCAATAAATGAACTAATACATAGGGCATGTTCATATAGCAGATAGAGAGAGGGATGTGAAGAAAGACATGGAGAGAGAGAGAGAAAGAGTTCAAACGAAACCTCTTCGAAATACCGAATCGGAAATGTCTCACAAGTAAAGAGTTCCAAATGGGAAAAAAATTGGATTGTAATGACAGTGTGCTAATGGTAGTTAACGGACAAGCTCTGAACGATGAAAAAAGGCGAAATTAAAGGTTGATCATATGGGAAGAGGGGGGTTTCTGGTTGAACATTCACTTTCTAACCTGATGAAACCGGAAGGATTTATGTCGATAGGAATTGACGAATAACGTAAATACTGGAAAAAAAATGATTGTTCGAGAAGATTTTGGAACGGTTTGTTGGCTCAAAAAAGGCTGATACGCAAAAAAATATAAAAATAAATAAATTTAATGTCTATGACACATTGTGTTTCTGGCTTATGGTATGCATAAACACGAACAGGTATTACATTTCGGAAGTTGGAATGTCTCCCAGTGAACTCAAAAGCTTTGTTGCTATTGAGAGAAGATCGGTATGAAAAATGAAATATATGAAAGATGAAAGTGAAAAGGATTATCAGAATTTCAATGTTGACCTTTAACTTCAGAATATCGTTGGCAAATAAGGAGATGTTACACATACTGTTTGAGGAAAGGACTTCTTTTTCAGAAAAAAAAATAAAAAAGCTAACACGTCAGTTTACGTTTGAAGACTCGAGACAGTGAATATCATAACGCACAATATGATCTATAACTCCTTTTTGCTCAACATTTGAACAGGATCAAGCTTTTCATGTTCCATAAGTTTCTAGCTTAAAGTACTTGAAATTGCGCCAAGTGACCGCAGACAAGAATTGTGATCTGGTTAGAGCCTGTTGAACAACTTCCGGAGCAAAAGAGTCAATACATGCTATATCAAAGACATTCATAGGAACTATCATTACGTTTTTCTCTTTTTAGTACTGAAAAACACCGACAAAAAAAGTTTTTTCTCATCTCTGTCTTCAGAGATTTTGTATGAGTTTCTATATTAATCACAAGAATCTTACAGTCTTTCTGACACAGGTTCTAGATGTCAGCTTGTATTTGTTTGTTTTCTTCTTTCAGAATTTCTAATACGTAACGTAATCTTTTCTGCTTCATCTGTCTGTCGTCACAAGCTTATTTCCTATCAAATACATATTTCAAAAAGAAAATATTCTTGTCATCTTATGTGAACGAGAATATAGGAGTTACATTCGGTTGACAGTTTTGAAAACTTCAAAGTACGAGAGCGGACAGAGTTAATAGTGTACTACGCCTTCGCTATGGAGTTACATGTGTATGATTGTCTCTCATAGTAAACGACAACAGGATAGAAGTTCATAGCATAGTTAAACAGTTATACAATGAATAAATATGATAACATGAAACGGTAAGTGTAAATCAAATTAGCTCATACCAGGAAAATGTGTCTCTATTAATAGGAAGAGAAGGATACATGCCTTGTCTCATAATATTTCCAGCTGGAGTTGCAGAGAACAAGCTCTGGTGAGGGTTTAGAGCCTGTAGAATCAAAGATAAGATGAGCGAAAGTTACTGCAAGATCACCTTATTGAGTTGCTTCTCTTGCTTTATAATCTTTCATAAATTCTGCATGTATGTGTTTCTTTGCTTTCTCTGAATCCAGAGGATATCCTTAATTTATTTAGATATATTTTTATTGAGGAGTGATGGAATGGTATGATGATATGGAATTGAGGGATAATGGGAATGTGGAATAAAAAAATATCAGAAAAACAATTTATCTAATAAATAGAGACACAAATTAATACCTATAATTGAAGAATTCAATTAATAAAAGTGGAGATACATGAAGAATAGATAATGTTTATAAGAATCAGGGTACTATAGAAATTCTACTGGAACAGGTGGAACAGTATAAATCAATTATTGGTAAACAAGCTGAAAAGCATAGGACCGGGCTTGGAATGACCATTCTCTCAAAATTTTGAACCAGACGCAACGCGACACGCGAACGCGTTAAGCAAGAAATTTTTTATTTTTATCTTTAGTTTTTTTCTTATAACTAAATCTTTTATTCTCCGTTCATTACTTATAACTAAAACTTTCATTTTTGTAGGAATGCCCAAGAAGTTCTTGGCGAATGGCCATTCATTCACGTGTAATGATAATTCATCATTCGATGACATAAGAGTGCTCTTTAAAGAGAATGTTACTCTTGATAACTTAGAAAATTGGAGTTCAAATGTATGTTTCATTCTAGTGATAAATGTTCCAACAATTAAAATTTTTTTTTTTTTTAGGAGGACATTTTTATAATGCACAGCGACGCGTACGGTTCGTTGAACTTTCGTGCTGCTGAATATTTAGAGATCATAAACGAAGTCCAAATCTTCGTACAGGACTTCAGGAAGTTCGATAAAAAAATAATACGGAATGAATTCAACGACACGTTCATTTCCGTACGACACCCAGAAGTTGAAGTCAGAAAGGAGGCTAGAATCCTTAAGCTTGGTGGATTTAGTTTTAAATGTGAATACTCGGTATTTGTTTAGTTCATGTTCATCAGTATTGGTTCACTAATTTTTTTAAACTTTCAATTCTAAAGTGTCAAATTCTGTTAAATAAATGTTATTTGAAGATTCAGTTGTTTAAAATATTTTATAATTTTTATTGAATATGGCGTTCTCTTATAGATAAGACGTGAACATGGTGTTTGAATGAGATGAAGAGTTTCATGTGTATGATTGTCTCTCATAGTAAACGACAACAGGATATAAGGTTATAGTATTATTGCTAAGATGGCACAACATTTATACAATGAATAAATATGATAACATGGATGAAAAATACAAGAAGAATCATAAATCACAAATGGTAATTGTTGTGATTAATTTTGGGAGATTATAAGAAGGGCGAGAATGTGGAATAGAACCGTTTTGAAAATCATGGTAATGGTTATCTTCGGCAATAAATTATTGAGACAACTTGATTTGATATGAATTTTCAATTTTATTCATTTCTAATCAAGTTTAACCGAATAAGGTATGAAGTACTATGAAATACATATATATGGATACGGTAGTCTCTCTGAGCTTTTTCTCGAAAACTCTCACAACTTCGGCTAGTAATTTGTTCTATGTTAAGCCTTATATTGATTGAAAGCTATCGAAGTGTATTCTGAAGAAAGTTTGTTCCATGAAAACAATCGTCTAAGCTTAGAACTAATGTTTGCCAAAAAGGAGATTACTTTTTGACGAGGAAGGACAAAATATTTTCTGAAGCCTCGGTTTAGTGAATCAGTTCAAGATGAAGCTATCATTGAACGAAAATTGAACGAAAAAAACAAATCTTACATACACGCTATCATATGGTTAACTTTGTTGGTTATAATTCAAATTTGAAATGTTAGCAGTTTGTTGGCAGCTCATCCTCAGGGCTAAAGATTTTTGGTAAAAATCGTCATCGGCTCCAGCGAATTGTGTTATTGACGAGCTGAAGCTGGAAACATTAGAATGAGGTAACATGGCGAGAAAAAAATATTTTTAATTATATATATACATGAGTATTGCGTAGTAAAGGTGTTAAGCCGTTTAACCTCTTGAGCTCAGGTTAATACTCGCTTGACTCATTACAGCATTAGAAATCTGGTCTTGGTCATGTCAGGACAAACCAAGCTGTTCAAGATTATTTTTAATTATTAGCTTTAACTTACTTAGTAATAGGTGAGGTAAATGAATTGGCCGAGTATGGTGGTGTGGCTGTTGGATATGGCATCTGGCGCGGATAAGTTGGATACCTGTGTGTTTAATTGGTAAGTGTAAATCAAATTAGCTCATACCAGGAAAATGTGTCTCTATTAGTAGGAAGAGAAGGATACATGCCTTGTCTCATAATATTTCCAGCTGGAGTTGCAGAGAACAAGCTCTGGTGAGGATTTAGAGCCTGTAGAATCAAAGATAAGATGAGCGAAAGTTACTGCAAGATCACCTTATTGAGTTGCTTCTCTTGCTTGCGGTGTTTGGCCCGACGGTTTTGAAACCACACCTGAAAGAAAGCGGTTTCTGTCATTCTTCTGGATAGTTTTCTTGATTTCCTATGTTCAATAGAATTATATTCTTTCATAAATTCTGCATGTATGTATATGTTTGTCGTTTCTCTTTTACATTTTCTTGCTCACACACACACACATATAGACAGGAGAAACGATGAAGAAAAGCGACATTGGCTTTGGGTTAGGGTGGAGAGAGAGAAATGTGGCGATAATTCAATTGGGTGCCGTATGAGAGCTGAACGAAGAAGGATTGATTAGAGATGGATAGAAGAAGAAAAAGAAGAAGAAATACAGAGGCAGAAGCACACACAGTTATCTCCTCTTTCTCTTCTTTTTCTTATTTTTATACTATCTTATTTGAAAGACGCTGCAATAGATTCGAAAGAAAGAGATCTGAGCTGCAGAATGAAAATTTTTGATTACGGTAGTGAATGATCAACATTATGACTGCTCAGGATAGTTGATTGTCAGAGTGGAATTGGGTGCAAAATCGGAGATGAAACTCAAAAAAGAGCTTTATGAGAGATATTTTCTTTGAATTGGATGACAAATGTTTAAATGAATAATCGTCGAATGCACTTCTTAAGAACATTCCGGAGAGAATTAACTATTTGTTGGCACTCAGCTTCTTCTGAAAGAAATATTTTTCAGATTCCCCTCCGATACAAGTCTATCTGGACTTGTTAAAACATTTACTGCAAAATAAATACAGAACATTTCTTATAAAAAAATGTTCGTTACAACTTTTCCCCAGATGTTCAATAAAATTCCAAGTGTGTGGTAAGTTTCCGAAAGAGCACAGCTAATCATGTCTAATTGTGCTCTTGGTCCGGTAATTAGATCAGTCGGAGCTTGATATCAAGACAGGACACGAAATCGGCATTTTCCTTTCCAGCTCCCTTTTCTGACTTGACGTCCCTCGCGCCGACTGAGCATCCGAACCCAAATTGTGCTGTCGTCAGCCACTTCTGGCTACCGTATACCCAGCTATGGAAAAGAACCAGACTTTAGAAGGAACTGCTGAGCTATTTCCTTTTCTGAAGCCCTCGAGGCAAAGACTGACAAATATGAGTGTGGTTGATCGATAAAGGCTATAGAGAAGTTGTGAAGCAAGTGAAACCTAGTACAAAAATAAGTTGCAGAATATTAGTAAAAAGCCAGCTCGGAACTCATCTTATACCTAAGATCAGACATGTTTTTGAAAAGGAACTCTCTCCTTCTAAGAAATTGAGTTTTGATTTGAGAAATAGGGTTACACAGAGCTCTTCAGCCGACAAGCAAGTATGAATATGTGTTCCGTCTTAACCCAATACATTAAATAGAATTTGGTTTATTGCATAAATTATACAGATTCGATTCTCGGCCACCCATTGTGAGAAAAGAAGTTTCAGAAGGGTATTCCCCCATTTCAGTCAGAAAAGGAACTGTTCCTTTTGCTTGTTGAAACATATTTCTTGCACATTCAACTGTCGAAATAAATGTTCAACAAATGACCTCGTTCAAAAAGTTTCATCTGTCATATACTATTGAGAAAAAAAGATTAGGACAGTGCTGGTAAAGCTTAGGAGGAATAAAGTGGAGATAGCAGATGCTCTTACACCCTAGGGGTCCAAGAACAAGATAAGAAGTAGAGGAAATAAGAAGAAAAGGAGCAAGAAAGACCCTGAAGAAGAGTTTCAACCAACAAGTACAGAAAAATAACTATTCTTCATAGATTAGCAATTACTTATTCTTCCAATAGAAATTAGCACACATGTCAATGTTTTGTTTGATACCTCATGCTCTTGTGATCACCCAATACACCATATACGCATCTTGAGGTCAAAAGGCAACACTAACCTGTGTTTTTGAGATTCTTCTCCCTAAACACAGTATCCTCTGCAGGGTGCCATAACTAATTCTCTTCTCTCCTCCTTCCCTCTCACAATGTCTTGCTTGGCCTAGTCGACAGCTATATCGCTTATTATAATCCGAGTCTCAAGGCGATACGGTAATTGCTTGGCTGTCTCATAATTGGCGGGTCTATGAAGCTTAAATAGACAATTGTTTTTCGTTACATATTTTGGTGTATTGTACGGAAAAGCCTCAGGACCAGGCCTCGAAAATTGGATTTAGGACAGACGATGACCAGGTGTTTCACAATTGGATTAAAGTTTGACATTTGGTTTGAGAAAAATAACTATTAGTGCCTTGACTCTCATACTCATCTGGATGGTTGAAGTAAACATACTTGAATTCGAGCTTCGTTCAATTTAGTGATTCTAGCTAATTCTTCTCGAACATAAATATCCGGATAATGGCTTTTTTGGAAGGCGTTATCAAGTTCTGCTAATTGTTCCTGAGTGAAAGTAGTTCGATGACGTCTCCTACAACTGAAAGCAAAACTTTTGATTGTTTCATTGAGTTGTCACTGGAATACCTGGCAGGAGTGTTTGGTACGCCTGCAAGACTGTTCGAGAAAACATTCCCCACATTTTCAGATTTGATTTTTTTGAAAGCTCCTTCGGTTAAATCTGAATAAAACATAGTAAGGTCACATGTTCTTCTGTACACTTTCATATTTCCAGATAGACTTAGTATTACTTGTTATTCTCTTATTATTAAGGTTATCCAATGGAGTGGAGGATTAAGCAACAAGTTAATCATAAGGACAGTTGTTCTATAGAAATCTACAGAATAACATAGATAGTTACTTAATGAATAAAACTGTTCTGAACAGTTTTGTATAAAGACAGAGACAGATGTGTGAAGATGAGGCTTAAATGTGCGCGAAGACGTTGAGTCAATTGTCCCTCTCCAATTCCTTCTTCCACCAAGGAGTTACAAATGAGACAGACTTTTAAGGAGGTTATACGAAGAGAGAAAGAGAGAGAGAGAGAGAAAGATAGAGAACTAGAATGAAGATTGTTTCAAAAGAACAGACTGACCAAAGTAACAGAAGAAGATTGAGGAAGATACTCGAGAATTAGCTTCAAATTTGGAACAGATATTCATCTGTCTCCTTATACTAATCGACTACGCTGTTTCTTAACCGATTAGGAGACTCTTCAGCTCACAACAGGCATCAGCTTATTCCAACTTAATCTTTGTCAGATGCTGACAGTTTCGTGTTGCAAAAATGATATCCTTATATATATTTTTTAAAGCGGCCATTTTTACTTACAAATTTCAAAACAATCAGTTTTTGTGAGAAAAAGGATGTCCTGAAACGTTCAGCAATGAGTGAAACGGCACACACATACACACACAAGTAACATCGAAAACATCGTTATGCGTCAACTACTGAACACACAAAATATTTTTTTGGAAGAAGCGCATTTTTCTTTTTCTCATCTTCGTTGTTCAGCATAAAGAATTTAGAGAAAAGCTATATCATAACCGGCAAGTGTAACAGATAGCCTCAAAATATTTTGATTCAATCTGAGTTGGAAAAATAGGTAAAATCTTCAGAAGCTATAGCGTCTAACAGTCGATTAGTCGCTATGTGCCAAAATGAGAGACAACTGGACTGAGCAAAGAAGGTTTCTTTAAGAAACCGTAATCTTAAAGCTAATCTAACGCATGATATATGATGGAAAACTAGCGTGCAATACGGTGCATAATAACTTTAAGAACTGAGAAGAATACATGCAAAGTTGTCGCGTTGAGAATTGTTAACATTTGTCAAAAATATAAAAAATTAAAAACGAACCTGTAGCTGATGGATCTCCTAATGGTCGTAAACTAGCACTCACAGCATCCTGAGGTGTACCATAGTAGACAGAGAAATCGTGAAGTGCGGCACCAAGATCTTTGGCTTTATTAGAGACATCCTGTAAAATAGTGAGAACGTAAACTTGCAATCATTCCCCATTGAGAATCTTCAAAAGTGAATGATGGATTGTGCTTAGAGGTACTGTGTTCCGATCAGTCAGGTATGTCAAAGAATGTTATTTTGAAAAGCAAAAACTAAAGCGAAAAAATATGAAGAGAAGAGCTAAAAACCGAAACAGCGAATGCGAGATGCATGCCTGTGTATGTGGTTGTGTGTTAAGCCCCAGTCACTTCACAATCAAATTTCCATAATGAGTTTATGAGACGAAATATGGGCAGAAAAGTTAATTATTGGACCTCTTACAGTAGGGATGAGCCATAAAGAACACACTTAGATGAACGCTGATTGAAGAACTAGGTGTGAAATGAATTTACGAGAAGCGATAACTTCATTGAACGTATTCATTTTTTTCGCGGTAAATGAGTTTATGGAAAAAAAACATACCTGAGAAGGCTGACTATTTGTTGTCGTTGTAGTTGTAGATGTTGAGTTATCAATTGATTCACTCATGATACGTTAACGTACAGCTGCCTTCTGGTTGTGACTAAAAAAGGTGTATGAGCACTGAACTGACTGGGCTGGGCCTCGGGTTTGGGCTGGGCCCTGGACGATGAACGAGAGAGAGAGGGGCGAAAGAAGAAGAATGAGAATAAGAGGGAGAAATGTAGTAACTAAACCATAGAAAATATTTCAAAGAACATTAAAAAAAGATTAAATGAATAAGTGATAGGTAAAGACATTAGAGAAACATCTTCAAACTAATAGAAGCGGCAGTGTGTGAGAGAGAGAGGATATGACAAGATTTGACTTTTGAATTGATTTTGATTATTTTGAAAATCGAGTTTGGCTCTATGTACTTTCTGTATTAAAAAAAAGAAATTGTATTTTCGAATAAGATAAGAAAATTAAGAGAATTTGCGGAAGACAAGAGAGCTTAAGAGTGGATAACAGCAAGGAATGATTTAATTTACTTAATAAAATAGAGAAAGTTAATGCAGTTGTGAAGGAACAGTATGAAGAATATAAAATCAGAAGGTTATAAGACAATCATCAATCTATCACATAATAAACAATATAAATTATAAAATTTACTATAATTCTTTAGGTTTTTAAGGAAACAAGATTTTCTTGACAGTAAATGAACGTGAGAGAACAAGACATCTTCCACATGGACTACCGTATGCCATGGGCCTACTGCTCTTTACTAGATGGCTGGGACCTCCCTCTTCTCATCTGCCATGTTCTCTTCAGCCTAACTTGAAGCTCGTGGAAACAAGAGCATTGTATCTCTCCATAGCTTGACGTGGTCTCTACGAATAAGCTCCGCCTTAACGGAGCTGCTTGATTGGCTCGACTGATCCAATTATCAGCCACTCGGGCCTTTTTCCATAGGAGGAAAGAAGCAGGCAAGGCTGTTCGATCAGCTTACCCTGAAGGCTAGGAACAGGCAATATAGGGGCTAATATAAAGAAGAAGGAGGAACAGAGTACTGATTCGGTTATGATAATGTGATGCTTTCAAAGATGGAATACTCTTATAAGTAGCAAGACCAGTATGGAAGATTTGCCCTCGTTGTAGGCTCAGCTGAAAACTTTGTTTTAAAACTTATTTTTCCATCATCATTTATTATAAGTTAATAATAATTAGCTTATTTGCATCTATCGTTGTCTACTCTATCGAATAAAGGGATGATAAGTTGAAAGAATTTGGATTAAGTAATTGAATGAAGTTCGTCATCTTCTTTTCATTTGTTCCTTCATTCAACGCTCAGCTGCTTGACCACCACAGATATTCTTCTTCATAAACCTATAACTCATGAGAAATTGAGCTAAAATTTTTGTCTTCTGATCCCCAACTCATCTACTTTAACGCTTCTCTCCATTTCCTGACCATCCTCTCAGTTTATTTATCCGCATAGAAGAGAATGTGAGGAAGCCTATGAAAAGTAATAATTCTTTTTGTTATTAAAAAATGTCTTCATCTCTCCGAAGAGAAATATTCGGTAAAACAGCATGACAGCCGGATATTTTATTTTTGTCAAAGAGAAGAGTATCATCTACTGCGCATTATGCATGTGAATAAAGGGCTCTCAGATTGCGCAAGTCACAAGCCAAAAAGACATTCTAGCTCATCGAGATGATCATGATGTTCGTCTGGCTCCTTATTGGTATTCCTTGAGAGGTGAAGTGCTCGTCGATAGAATAATAATTCCATGTCAAAACTACACATCTTCGAATTTCGTATCCTTTCATGTATCCATGACCATCATTCTAACACTTGAAGAGCTTGTCGGCGATTTAAGATGATTTTTTGTGGAGCATCTGACAATTAATGTAATTGAATTACATATACACATATATACATATATATAACATTAAGGATTAGTGAGGTTTACTTGTTATAATATTTTCTTTCATAAATTACATCATTTCATCTTGTTTTCACCGCAAAGACCATTTTACCGCCAAATATCGGAGGTGGCTAGCAAGATATTTTTCTTCCATCAACAATGCATGTTTTTCCCTAAATTCTTTTAACTGTTAATTAAATTCTGATTGCAATTCACTGCTTGAACCTCTTTTATGTTCATAAACTTGATTAATTGAATCAAGAGTTCCTTTACTCAATCAAGCTAGCTTCTTGACAGCTTAAGCATAGCATTTAAAACTTAATTTCTTATCCGTTTTTTGACTCAAATTATGTGACCTTAAATACATTCAGATTTGACAGTCAATGGAGAGTTCGTTAATGAGATATAGACTGACTTTCTCCACATATAATTAGCATGCAAAAAGTGGACATGTGTGTTACTATTGTGGATGACTAGCTATCTAAGCATCTTCTTCTGCCAGCCCAACCATCGAGTCAACGACAACAGACCTCCTGCTCAGTTCTTTGGTTCTTCTGAAAACCCTCTTTTTGACATCCTCTAAGACTTTACAGACTGGCCTCATCTTATTCTTCTCCTATGCCTTGTTTAGCTAATTAGTCAATGAAGCGCGATTGTTTCCTCTTACTACCATTGTTGACTTTCATAAGCAGGCTGGCGGTAACATCTGCGACTACTGTACTTATGATCAAAAATAATATTTAAAAACAATTAGTTATCTGATAAATAGATAAGAAATAATTGAAAAAGTTTCAAATGAGTTATTAACTTTTGATATCCAGATTATTCAATTTGCATAATCTATCATACAATACTTCTTGTTCACGTAGACCACGTGAAATGACGTGTCATGAAACTCATTACAATCACGTCATTTGTGATTCGTAGAATGCATAGAGCGGTTGATAGAAAATTGCAAAATTGAATAGTAATTGAACATATTAAGTATGATATAATTGAAAAAATAACTAATCTCTCTCTGCTGTAGACAATGCTTATCCACATACTTACGAGATCATATTCAATTATACAGCCAAGAATATAATATAATCAAAGTAAGATATATGTAAATCAAATAATAAAAATATATATCAAACTGTTAAATAAAATATTATAATATTGACTAAATTTAAATGAAAAATAATTTATATCATCCATGCATCCACCATAACTCTCCAGAGAGATCTAATAAGTACTCCAATTCAATTATGGATTCATAAATGGCTGAAAATGAAAGATTATCTTCAATCACACACATATTGGTACTGAAATCAATTTGTTGTTCTGTTTTTTTGTCCATCATCATTTGCAAAAATGTTTAAAAAGAAGTTTGTAATTGGACATAAACAAAACTATACAATTGACCGCCAAATCGTGTTTGTTTGAAGCTTCTGCCCTATGAATAATTCAAGGAAAATGATTAAAGCTGAGCTATGAAATGTTGCAATTGATGGATTGATGAACAACAAAACTGCAAATCGCAAAAAAAAAAGTTTTTTTTTCGTCTTTTACTTCCTTCTTACTTACACTGATACACACATACGCATAGAAACACACACACACACACAAGAACATCAACGAAAGTATCGAAATGGAAACGTTCATCCCAATCAAGCCAATAAGCTTTTGCTTCTTCTTTCTTGTTCGCTCTTTTTTTTTATTCAACAGAAAAATCAAAAAAAAAGAACTTTTGACTTTGATTTGGCGAATTATTCCTAAACAGATAGCTAACACGATGTATTTTGGGTTTCGTCCATGTCATCTGGACTTTGAAGTTACTTCGTTAGGCCCATCTAACATTGAATTCTCTTTCCCTATCCTTTCTTACTCGTACTAGATTTGATACCATATTGACACTCTGTCGTCTTGCAAATTTCAACAACTGCAACAACTTTTGAAAATTTACTATTTTTTTTGTTCATTTAGCATATTTTATATAATATAAATGTATTGTTCGAATGTCTAACTGACTTCCTTCATCTGAAACTTTTTTTTAAGCTTTTGGTATGATTAAATGGCTTCGACTGGTCCTCAATGGAGTCTTTACCCATTGCTAGCTATTATAGCCTTTGTAAGTTTGCCATTCAACTATAAATGTTTTGAACTTTATAAAATTGATAAACTTTCAGTGCGAGTTCTCTTGTGGCTTGGTTCATTTAACGTTCTGTCTCCCTTTCTATTTTCTTTTATTACCAATTATTAATGGAGTTCTTGGTTTGTTGGCTTCTTTCCATGCCATATTCCTTCGATATCCTAATAGGTAACATGATTTTGATGAAAAACAAAAGAAAAATGCTTTTGCAGATGTGATTTCCTTCTACAATTGATTTGCACTTCCTTAGCCTTTTGGTTCGTTATAACATCATGCATGGAATCATATTGTTTGGGCGAATATAATAGTTACGAATCTCTTCAAGTTCATCCTTTTCACTTTCTCATTTAAGAAGATGAGCAAATCAGTCATGATGGCGTTTGTTATGGATTGAAATACAGAACAAACTCATTCGTTCTTTCATGTTTCGATTTTTTGGGTCCTTTACAGCTTTCGTTACTTCACAAACTTGGATGGGAGCCGAAAGATAGAGACGGAATACGTTTCTTCATTTCATGTTCTTTAAGCATTTTATCTGTTGTTCACTTATGCTGCACAACAGCTTTAACCTTTTATAGTGCTATTGAGACGAAGTATTGACTTTTTAATTTTATAATTATTTTATTGAATTTTATAGAATTCGACTATATTCATACCATTATCAAGTTGTCGTCGGTGTATTTGTGTTCATTACTGGTATATTTCATCTTCGGTAAGCGCATATATTTGATTTAAAAAAAAGATTCCACACAGCTATTGCTGCACATTTTTCTTTATGGGCTTACCTCTTCTGATTGGAGCGTATTCCATACTACAAGGTTCCGTTTGACATTCGGTGGCAATCACATTTCATCACGCAATTAGGTTCAATCACTTGGAGGACGCGTTGTCACGGCTCTCTTACACGAGCAATGAATATCATTGGCTCAGCTGTATCATTGTTGCTATTCGCATCGACAATATTTGGTTTATTCTGCTGGTTTCATCGGTAACCATCATCTAGTGATGTGATGAAGGAAGAAGCATTATCTTATTCAGAGATCAATTACCCAAAATGATTACTCGACATTGCCATTGGAGACCAAAATCAGAAGAATATTGTCTACGTGTAATCCATTTCTCACTACCTTATATAGATTGGCTTCCGGAAGAGACAGATCGAGAAATAGCTGTTGTTCAGGTCTATTCTTACTTTTAATTAAAAGCAATAAGATACAAAAAAACATTTTATTTATTTCAGATAGCCGTCTATTCTTTTCTGTCAATTCTTTCATTATTGCAATTCAGTTTCTCAATGAGATCAGCTTTTTCAACGAAACATGTAGCTCTTTACTATTAAAATTATCCAATAAATCTTTCCTTTTTCAAGCAGTTTTAATAATATTAAACTACTCAGAGGACGATTGACGAGAAATGTTTGAAAAAAAATAATTTTCTTCTTTCTTCTCTCAGTCTCTTCCTATCTTTCTACCTCTCTCTCTTTATACATCTCTCTTTCTGTCTCTCTCTAACATAACATATATCTTGAAGAGCTTTTTCATTTTCAAAAGGCATATGAGATTATCATAGGCAATTGCTCCATCTCTCATATACTCACATATCCATAAACGATGCTATTGAAGTCCCAAAAGAACTTTCAAACTCAACTGAAGTTGAAGGCCTTTTTTTTCTTATTTTTTTTTTCATCATTTTTTTCTTTATTTAATGCACACACAAAAAAAAATGAGATTTGTAAATATTTGAACGATTCATCATAATGTGGGCTAATGCTTTATGTGATTCCTTATTTTCTCCTATTTCTCTTCAAGGGTTCTTCGGAATAAATTGAATGATAATCCTCCTCTTATTCATGTCGTTGCTCTTTAACGATTAGTCGATGTGAAACCATTTATTCGTTGATTTGTAGTGAGAATAACATAGAATAAAAAACGACTGATTTCTTCTTCATTTCATTTCATTTATTTATTTTTCATCGTATCAGAATGGATTTTGAATTTCGAAGTTTATGTTGCCATATCTCCATAGCTGTGGCTCTTATGTGCGCTATGGAAATGGCTGCGATTGTATTAACTTATGTCACAAGTTGGTTTCTTTCTCATCTATCAACTTGATCTCAATTTATACAATCTTTTAGATGTTGGACATCCTTTAATGGTTTGTCATGCTTACAATGTGAGCATTGCTCAAGCATTATCCTCTGAGCCTCATATGACGGAGCATCGTCTTTGTACAACTAATGGTCCTTTACTTTTTTGGATTATGTTACATCTATTCACGGATGCTGCAGCTTTGGTATATAGCATAGACCTGAATTATAATTACGTTAAAAATAAATATCAAACAGGTGGCAATTCAAACGATAAAGCATCAATTACTGATTCCTTACTTGATCACAACGGTCTTAGATGTTTTAATGTCATCAGCATACATTTGCGTTCTCTTCTTCCAAATCATTCTCGGAGACAAAATTGACACGGTAACGAGTGAAGTAAAGTGGTTTTGAAAACATGCAAAATGTGTTGCAGGTTCTTCTTATTTTCATGGTTTTTATACTTTTCTTCAAATTTTACGATCTGATCTGTGGTCGACGACTCTACTGGTTCCTTCAATGGCGTTTCGATTCGAGATTCACCCCTAGGTCGACAGTGATCCGGGATGAAGACCATTTCCAATTTTAGAAAAAATTATATTTCAAATGTTTTTTCATTATTTATCATGTCTTATTTTTATTACATTTTTTTAATACCGATTGCGCTATGGAGCAAATAAAACGTAGAAGACGTATACTTAAAGCAATTACTGCGCCGTATATTAATGGTCATTCAAATTTCACGCTAGGTTTTTCATTTTTTTTTCAGTCTTACAATGTATTCAATATTGCATTGCACTTGTTATGTGTCAGTAGCAACGTATGGTATACGTGTAGAAAGCTCGTTATATTCAGTCTCACTAATTTAATAGCTTGAAAGGACGTTTATTTTTTATCGCAATGATTACAAACAAGTGGGAGTGAAGGAATATACAGTTTCACCTAGATAGTGAAGCGTTGACGTTTGGTCAATCCATTTGAAGCTGCTATGGCTGCCCATGGATCATTGGAGGAGAGGATAGTGCTTGGAGTAGTAGTAGTCGTTGTTGGAGCAACTGAACGATTTTTTATGATCAGTTTGAAAATCAAATAATTTCACCTGTAGCCTTCTTCTGACTCGTAGTAGTATGTGGTTCTGTTGGCGTTGTGATTCTTTCGTAAACGTTTCCTTGGTTGTATCCGTAGCTGTTTACAGAAACGGATGAATCGGGTGGAGCTGTCATAGCTTCTGGAACAGCTTCTGAAACATTTTAATAATCTGGTATTTGAGATAAATTTTCAACCGTAAGCTCCGAAGGAGTGGTCAGTTCCAGATTTTTGTTGAGTCGAAGGTAAGAAAGGTTGTCTGTACATAACGTATGGATGTCCACCAATGTTATGAACAGTGGTTCCATATCCACCATATCCACCTTCGGTTTGGCTGCTGGAGCTGGGAAGCTGATATAGAGCGCCATATTGGTTGTTCATATCTGGAAGAGTTTCGATTATAATAGCTTCTGTCACATTGCCTTACTTGATGGTTGGAACATTTGAGGAACAAATCCTGAATTCCATTGTTGCGAAGGGAAGGAGTTTGTCATCTCGTTATTGTAAAGGAAAGGGGATGAAGATGGAGATCCGGGTGTGATGTGGCCCATATTTGAGTGAGTGTTATGATGAGAAGCTGATGATGAATGATGATGATGACCAGCCAAAGGCAGAGCTGATGGTGCTGGAGCTCCATATGCAGAAGGAGCAGGCTGAACATTGCTTGTTGGAAGTTGTCCATAGCCAATGCTTGCGCATGCGGCTTGTCCAACGAGTAGAATCGCAAGAATAGACACTTTAGTCATAACTATTTGGATGATTTCAAATGTTATTACCAAAATACAGGGGACGATATTGAGTAGAAGCGCTAGCTATTTCTCTTATATAGGCAAGACGTCCAACTGGTAGAGGCGGAAGGTGAATATTCTCTAATCCGATTAGTTCCAAAAAGCCATTGGCATGTCGGCTAGGATTTTGAGCTTTTCATGGTCATAACTTTTTGCTATTGAAAATAACAATTTACAGAAGGCAGATTTATTAACATATTGAAATCAGAGTGAAACTTCAAAAAAACAGATGGTTGAATCACAAACAAGATCAGGAAGATATGGTACTGACATCTGCATGAATTTTGAATGAAATAAACATTCTCTTCCGACAAATAATACTTCCTTCATGTATTGAGATAACTAAGACAATTTTCTTTTAATTGAGCGTGGCAGCTATGAAGGTCAGGTTTGAATGCTTTGGACATCGGCTCGCATTCATTTGAGGCACGAGGATGGACAAGTTTTTTTCCCGGTTGACGACACTGACTGGTTTCTTGTGGATGCTGATCTTTATAATTTGAATGGCAATAAGAATATTATATTATTATAAGACAGAATATTTGAAATAAACCTCAAACTGTGAACGTCTTACTCTGAACCCTTACAAGTTTATTCTGAGTTTATTATACTACAGGAAATACTTCATATTTTAGAGAACCAATTACAGTTTTCCATTTCCGTTTACTTAATTCAAGAGGATGAGAAGATGAACCGGAAGTGTTCTCAAGTGTTAATTCATCCCTTCTATGGTCATTCTTGCAAAGTATTCAGAAAAAAAAATAAATGATGTCATACATATTTGAACGTCTTCTCGGATAGTCTTCTGGTTTCACAGCAAGGTGTTCAATTCAAATTGAAAATATAAGATAATGAAGCTTTTTACGTATTTTTAAGCTAATTGATAGACGATTTCAATGGATTACAAAGATATTCGTTCTGAAATCTTGTTCGTACAAGTATTACGTAATCCCATCACCTGACTTCTGAATATTTCCACGAAAACTTGATCAATGAGGTTTCGTTTCTTTTTTTGTTCAAAAGCTTCTTCAATATAAAATGTGTACGAAAACCGTGCTCATTTTCATTTGTCTCCTTATCCTATTTCATTCGAAACCTTCAAGATTCTAGTTATTTTCGTTTTCTGAGTTCTGACAGGTTGTTCGGTTCTCAATTGCCTTCCATATGCGAACACAGTTAAATCTGACAGATTTACTTCGTTTAGCCCACATCTCAAGCCACTTTTCCAGGATCATTTTCTTTTTTTTCGAAGCTTTTATTAAATTTTTTTTTGTAAAATTATGAGATGTTCTTGAATTAAAGTCATTGAGTGAATCATTTCTATGCTGTCAATTGCGACTCCGCATATCCATATTGCCCTTCAGAATTCGTGAAGAAGAGGAGAACATGTTGAAAAACAGGGGGACAGTCAGAATGAACTTAGCCGGCCCGAAGACAGGTCTTGCTTGATACATTTGAAAGAGAGGCTACCTAATTCGCTCGTTGACCACTTGTGCTAAAGCGGGCTTGCACTTTAAAATTTTTTTTTGAAAGCCCTGGCTTGCAACATCTATCTCCATCATTTCTTACGTCTCACATTACTTTCTGTTCAGTGACACATTCGCTATTTATTTACAAACTTTGAAAAATATTTATGACTTTCAGAAATATTATATAAAGAGAATCTGAACGATGCCTAGGTGGAGAGCTCCCTTGGAAGAACCTTGGGCTAATATTATTGGAAAGTATACCTTATTTGTAGCAAGGTAAAATTCAAGTATCCCTCTTTTCTTTCATATGTTCTCATAGACATCCATGGTGGTTCATTATCATTCCAACTATTTTTTCTGCTATTTTTTCGCTTGGAATTCTGAGCCATTTTCATATCGTTCGAGGTGTACGTTATCTCTATTCCCCGGTAGATGCTCTATGGAAGGGAGAAGAATCAGTTCTTATGGAGAACTGGGCAGCAGATGATCAACACTTCTACCCAGGTTTTTAAGACTCTAAATACATTTACATTATTTTTTCTTCAAGGAAAAGATGTCACCAGAAGACGAGGATTATATTTAATACTTAAAACTAAGAACGGTGAAAACATATTAAGTCCCGAGCATTCCGGAGATGTGATTAAGGTTGTCGTTCTCCGAACACGACAATTAGATACTATTTACAGGCTATGGACTGGGTAATCAACACACGCTTTCTAAAGAAGACATCTAATGAGAGCTTCACTTATAAAGATGTCTGTCTTCGTTTTCAGGTTATCTTGTTATGTCATAACATTCGTGACACTTTGACTTTTTAGAACGAGTGTTTCACTAACCAGCACGTTCGTCTGATTGCTGATATCTTCTCTAACGTGGATCAGGTTTTCCTCACTTCAATTCATTTTTTAATATGTAAAGTGTTAAGACTGCCATAAATGTTAGTTATCCAACTTTCCGAACAAAGTTCGCCACAGAGCCTATTGATTTGACCAGCGCGTTGGGAAATGTAACCGTCGATAAGCATGGTCATTTGTCTAAAGCAACAGCTTGGTTGTTGTTGTACCAACTGAAAGGTCAAACTCCAGAAATCAACGAATTATCCTCGTAAGTCTGGAAAAGATATGAAGTAACGATGTTTGAATGAAAGAGAGAGAGAGAGGTGGTTTATGCAGTGATAGAAACCGCATCACTGAGTTGGGAACTGCTTTGGATTTAACACTAAAAAACAAATATCCGCTTCTTTACCCATTGAATTTGAACTAATCTACTTCCAGACAATTCGAAAACGTGATCGCAGATCACATAAATAAAGGAAAAGTTCCAGTTGGTCGTCTTAGTCTATTTTACTTTCACTCGGATACTTTCGATCAGGAACTCTCCAGAGAGAACAAACGCATAACTCCGAAGTAAAGTGTTACGATAGTTCTCAATTATCATCTTGTTTAAGATTTGCCATCACTTTCACAGTACTCATTATATTCTCCATTTTCTGTACTTTCACAACGAAATGGGTCCAGATACCTGAAAATACTCTACTTTTTCGAGTTTTACCGTTCCAAAAATTCCCTGTTATTGACTGGGTAAAAAAATTTTTGTAAAAGGTGCTAAGGATTTCTTTAGGTCGTATCGAAGCCATGGATGGGTATTGTAGGAGTTGTTTCGACATTGCTAGCGATTATATCGTCTACCGGTTTACTCCTTTTGCTCGATGTGCAGTTCGTGGATATGTGTACTGTTATGCCCTTCTTGAGTTTAAGTAAGTTTGAGAGAATTTCTCGAGAAATCATTTCCAACTCTGTTTCTCTAGCTATTGGGATCGATGATACTTTCTTGATGTTGGCGTCATGGCATGAGACAGACAGAACTTTGAATTGGGAAAAACGATTGGAGCAAGCGATGAAACATGCTGCTGTTTCCATATCAATAACATCCTTAACTGATACACTAGCTTTTCTCATTGGAGCTATGGCACCTCTGCCAGCGGTATAGCACCATTTCTGAGAATTACGATCTGAAGTTGTTCAGGTTATGTACTTCTGTTACTACTCATCTGCTGCCATTTGCTTCATTTTTATCTACTGTCTCACAATATTTACCGCATTTCTCTCACTTCAAGCAAAATGGGAAGAAAAGAGTCAACACTGTCTGGTGGGCATTAACACCAAAAACTTCTCCGAGCACGGTACGGATTTTTATTTGTTGCAAACTGTTATTGTGAAATTTCAGAAAAAGCGGACTCCAAAACCCTTTTGCTCAAGATGGGAACTCGTCCTGTATCTCTCATGTCATACAACAGTTTTTTCCAAAATAATAATGAAAAGGAAATTCCCAGTGTTACCAAGCTTTCCTTGTCCAAGATAGATTCCTTGAAGGTTGTTTATAAAAACTAACAGATTATTACGACAATCCCAGAAACATGATGGTCGGATGTGGTATCAGAAGTTTTTTGAAGATAAATACGCCTCGTTCATAGTGCATCCTTTCATATCTGCCATTTCATTCGGATTACTGTGCTCATATGTATTTTTCACATATTTAGGCACTCAACGACTAGTCGTAGGATTTGATGTATTTCTGTAGAGAGCACCCTTTAGTCTATTTAATCCTTTTGCAGCTAATCAATATTGTTCAAAAGTCTTCAATATCCAGAAGTTTTCTCGAAACGAGAGATATTCTCTTCCCTGAGGATGTGACACTCATGGATGTTGCTGTCATGAGCCCCCCTAACATGGCGGATGAGATCCAAAGAAACGACTTCATGAAAGTTCTTGAGAAATATGAAGTTGCATCTTTATGAAGTTGAAGCTAACTTTACTTGTTTAGAGCACTTTTTGTTCTGTGGGCAGAAACAGTACTATGTTTTGGTTCTTTGCTTATAAAGCATATATTGATGACTTGGGATTTGGATCTGCGTGGGATACGATGAGCTCGGACATAGAGGTACGGTAATACTAGGTTTTTTGAATTTAATCAAATTTTTAAGCAATTCAACGAAAATTTGAAAAGTTTCCTGATTTCTCAAGAAAAGTGGAAATATGACGTTCTGGAACACTCGAACAACACTATGAGAGCTTTTCGTTTTTCTACAAAAATTAGAAACATATCCGATGATGAGCATGCTTTCAACTGCGCAATGGAAATGAGGTTTTCTTAACAGTTCAATCTTTGCCTAATACCAAACTCAGGCGAATATCTTCACAACACCCTCAATTCAATCTGACAACCTATGCTCCACTATGGAATATAGCTGATCAGTTCGATATAATGTGGCCACAAACTATGCAAGATTTATACATATCCATACTTGTCATGATCCCAGTGTCATTATTATTTATTCCTCAACCACTCTGTGCTATCGCTATATCACTGAACATAGGTATTTTGTTTTTTTGTCAAATATCATATTAAAATGACGGTTAAGCATCAATAGCTCTGGGCGTTTTGGGAATGATGGCTTGGATTGGAGTGAACTTGGATGCAACATCAATGATCACGATTGCCATGAGTGTTGGTTTCTCCGTCGGTACATCGAATAATCATAGAATGAAGTTGAACATTATTTTCTCAGACTTTGCCGCTCATGTATCGTATGCCTATATGACTGCTGACTCTACTCCAGTACCAGGGAAATGGTAGGTTTTCAAATTTTTGCCAAGTTTGCATGTTTCTGTTACAGCAATGCAGAAGTTCGCCTTAGTCGAACGTTAGGTACAGTAGGATGGCCCGTGACGCAAGCTTCCCTATCTGTGCTACTGGGAGTGTCGAGCTTAGCCTTCGTAGATAGCTATGTCGTTCAGACCTGTTTCAAAACAGTTGTTCTAGTGATCACTTGCGGTTAGTTCATGATCATTCTGTGCAATGTGATATCATGTGATTTAGGAACTACTCATGCATTACTGTTTCTCCCTCTCGTTCTAATGCATGTACATAAGGCTTTCCTCTTCTTCAGGAGGTTTAGGAGAGGCAGTGTCGGAGCAGAGAAATGATACAAACGTTGTTTTAATCTAATAATTTATTTATATTTGTATGTAAATAACCATTCTCTCATGTACAAAATTAATTTATACGATATTATTGATATAAATAGGCGACCGTTGGATATGAGTAAAGCAGTGGATACGAATAAACATAAGAAGCCGGTGAATATATGTAAGAAGTAGTCATAGGTTGAGGTTGCGTCAAAATGGTAGTACTCGTGTATGCTGGTCTAGAAATTATAATAGCTCCATATGAGCTACAATGCAAAAAAACCTAAAAACCATCAGCATCAGTAAGTTATCAGTGTAAACTCACAAAAATGAAATAGAAAAGCAGCATCCGTGACTGAGCCGAGGAATTCATTTTTAATATTCGGGATGATATCATTTGTTTTTATAGTGAACAAAGAGAAACAAGTTCTTGAGGAAACTTTAAAAGAGCATATGATTTCAGCAGGAAATTTCTCGTTCATCAACTAGGATGCACTTTATTCTTTTTTTAAACAAAATTATTATTAATGGGATAATCTACACTTCCGAAAGTAATTGGTACTCTCACCTTCAAAAGTATAAGAAGCTTCCGAAAGAGTAAGCAACCGCTCTGTACGTAGCATGAAAAGGTAATGAGGTCAAAATAGCTTAGATGTACACGTAAAATCCATGCGACGTGGATTTATCATAACTTGTTTGATGTGTACAGAAAACACAAAACAACCCGAAATAATATTTTGCTAAAATCAAATGCCAAATGATAGCATCGGCGACAGCAACAGTTTCGAATGATGCTGCGCTCCACTGATAAATTCTGACCTAATTGTAAAGCAGAAACTTGATCTGATACCTTGCTGCTTAACCTTACTTTATGCTTAATTATTCTGAGATATGACTGATCAATCGAGTTGACTGTATGTTTGTAATAGCTCATTTTTCAGGACTTCATGTTTCTACGAGCTAGCACTGCTCGTGTGATTATCCGCCAAAATTCATCCATAGCTGACAAGCTTGGAAAAACTACAGTTGCAGATACATCATCTGAAAGACCTCAAATAAACAACGATACTGTGGATGCTTCGGTTAGTCAGCTTGTGAATGTTCTTCAGAACTTGTCCTACTATTCAGGGTCAACCATTCAATGAACCATATATTATTCCTAAACGAAAGCTGAGAGGTCAAATTCAAATTGAGCAAGCTACTGGCCGTACTGCCGTTGTAAAAAGGTATCCGAATATTTTGGGCAGTGCTGAATATAATAATCCAGGAATCGGTTTGATATCTTCGATAGAATCGCTGTACGTTCGGATCGTAGCAAAGAAATATCTCCAGATACGGTTAGTAACTTGGCTTGAAGCATGAACAATTTATTAATCTCCCAGGAATGGTCGGATGTCTGGCCTGCTGCTAAAACGTTCAACGCTTCTGTCGTACCACTGCCTGTTCGGATGGGTTCACGAAGAGACCCCGACAAAAGAGCACCGTTCAAGAAGCATGTATGTAAAGTGTTTAAATACTTTGTTTGATTCTCGTTTAAGGGTAATCTGGAACTCGTCAAAGTACCTAACTTCCTTCACTTAACTCCCCCAGCTATCCAAAAGCACTGTGAAGCAATTAAACGTATGTCATCAGTGTTCCACAATTTTCTTATATCGTTGTATATTCAGAATTCTGTACGGAATACCCTAAAGAACTCATTGACAACAAAAATATTCTGGATGAACAGTTCCCAGTGACTCTATCTTATAACTCTTATGTTCACCAGGGAACCAACATCCGAGATAACAGAGCTCGTGTTGTCACTCTCGAAGTATGCCTTATTTGAATTGTAATTTACTAGAATTGATATTTCAGTTAAAAGTAGCAACTTTGGGATTAAACGAAACGGAAAGAGAGAAAATGATTAGGTTGAGTGGAAGTAGATATAACGAGGAAACCGATGTTCTTACGATCATAACTGATAGGTTGGTGATATCTGAGCTAGTTTGCATTTAAAGTATTTGAGATGTCACACACGTCAACAGAATCTGGACTATGCACATTATCTTTTGACTGCTTTGTATCACGAATCGAAGGTAATTGATGTTTTTTGCTTGTGATTTTTTATTTTTATCTCTACAGAAAGTTGAGCCATGGGAAAAAATGAAAGACAGAGCAGACCATTTGAAGGTTTTCTCTTCCTCCTTTTTCTTAAATTATTATCGCTTAATAGGTGGAGTTCGATGGTTCCAAATGTGAAGATCAACTGATTTCGACATTGCAGAAAGTTCTCAAAGTATCAGAGGTAGCTGTTGTTTGTATAATATAACATAGAATCTAATATTCAGGATTCATCGGTGAATACTCTGGGTAAGGAAGCTTCTAAAGAAGATATTGCATCTCATGAGAGTGTACGGAAATTCGGAGTTTTATATAATAAGTACAGAAACGAGGTTAGTTGTTATAATCGGAATGTCCTGAATCAGGAATTAAGGCTGAGACTGTTGATAGTACCAGGGAATATGCTAAACAAGTTCGAGCTCTTCTGGGTATTAAGAGTCCCTCGAAGAATAGTTCAAGTGAAGCATAAAGATCTCCTGTTATATTTATAGGTTTTATAGATTGTTATTGTTAAAGTTTGAATAAATTTACAAGAAATGATGTTGTGAAAAGTTTATTATCGCCCAAACGAAATGAAAGCAAAATAAAACACGTGGACGTCACGATAATACAAAATATGAATGTATTGAGCAAGTTATTAAATAATATTGCTAAACTTTTTTTGTGCTAGGACGATTCCGCACACTCTAATAGGATCATCGTAGGTCTTGATGTTAAGGAATGCCTTGGATGAAAATAAAATGGATTAATCAACATGAACCTCAATAACACGATGGCTAAGAATATCTACAATATGATATCCAACACTGGTAATATCAATAATACTTATTAATTAAAAAATAAAAATTTAGTAACATTTTGGTCTAATCATGAGTTAATCTGAGCAACATGTCTGAAAATGGATTTACCAGTATCAGGGAATCGTCCCATTCGTTGCAAAATAACGTAAGTATCACCAGCAGGTAAATCATCTACTGTTGGCATATCAGTGAACGGTCCCAAATAACGGGTTAAAGATCTTAAACAAGCAGAATAAAACTTTTAGACAGACAAGAATCTCACTTGGCAAAATATTGGCCAGGCTGGAGTCTCCCTCTCAGTATGCGATTCCAAGCGGGAGGAATAGCTCGGACACCGGGTAAAACTGAGGGACTAATGACTTCGCGCTCGGCAGGTACAAGAGCCTGTTCCGGCTCAATAGCTCTTACAGGGGGTGAGTTAGCTTCTTGGTGAGAATGTCCTGGAGCACGAGCACGGTGAATGGCGGGACTGGAAAGCAAAGCTAATTACAATAACTTGGCACATTTACTCACTCCATAATTTCATTAGTGGCTCTTGACCATCCAGGCAAGAAGTCTGGTTTAGGATCTTCAGGAATGGGAGAAGCGGCTCTTCCCTGCAAAAACCGAAAGATTACCATACGTCGAGCAAACCCAGAACTTACATCATGAGATCTTCTACGGAGGGCCATTATTATGATTTAAGTATTAGTTTTGTTAATAAAAAAGATGAAACCGTCCACCGAACAACCAGGCTAGGAATGAGGATTGGTAACAGAAGGCAGTTAGTAAAACAAAAAGGCGCCAAAAGGAAACATCAAACTGGCATGTTGCCACAGGTCAAAAACTTGTGAACTTTGATCTATCATACCTTAGGCAAAAAGAAAAATATCCAGTGGATAGATAAGATAAATAAATATTTATCTGCCTCATTATTTAAATTATATCACAGATTCAACAACAAAAGCGTGATTGCACTGAAGAAATTAAAGTGTAGAGAACACAACCATAACATGAGATATGAAAAAATTCAGACAAAAATGAGCAAATTATGCGAACGAAATGACTAAGGGTGAGACTAATTATGAAATTATTAAGTTAGATGAGGCAAAAGATCTTCTGATAAGATCCTTCATATCTGGCTAGCGCAGATTAATTGCACCTCAGGTAAGCTACTGTAACATTTTAAATTTTGTTATTTATAATGCAGTTGGCCGACTAGTTTTGCCTTTCGTATTATACGTATCTTCAACTTCTTGCAAGCGTAGTTCAAGTTGAATTCTTACTTGAGCTAAGCGAGCTCTTTCTTGTTCTAGCTCCGCATTTTGTAGTTTCAAAGCTGAAATGCCAATCTCCTATGTACTATGACCATAAATAACGTCACCTCTGCATCGTAGCTCCCATCTCTCTACACCCACTCCTTCTGATGGCTCTGACTCAAGACGTAAAAGATCGTCAAGATCACTACCTTCAGTTATACACTATAAATGTTAGCAAAATATGCACCACAAATCACTAACCCATGTCTTTTATAAACCTCTCCAGCAAGTCTTTATCAACCATTTCTTTTTCTGTTTGAGTTTCTGCATTTTTCGACGAGGTTCCTGGTGAAGTACGCTGCGGTACAGGGGGAGGGAGAACAGGAATAGGTCCTAAAAAGTTTTTAAATTTAAACAAAATTGTGTACAATGTCTACCTGATAATGTTGGCCTAGCTGATAAGGGAGGCGCCACTGTATTCATTATAGTTGTGTCAGAGTCCCTTCGTTCACCAGCAGGAAACAAAGGAAAGCTTAAGCTCATGGTAAAAATCGAATAGCTAAAGAAAGGTACCTTGATTGAGAATTGAGATTGACTGATTTCAAATCAAGACTAGCACTTCTTCCATGTCCTTTCTGAACTGGACGAGGGGGAGGTTGGGGAGGTGGACCGGAGGGACTTTTTAAGGAAAGCAACGGAACAACAGAAGCTAAAAACATTAACCTAATTAGGCCCGAAAAACTGGAGATATACGTTTTACAGCAGTGGGTCGTATATCGACGAGCAACGGAGGAACGTCAGAAAACTCTTTTAAAGCCACTTCTTCCTAAACATCGGTGATATTTTAGGTTTTCTCGCAAATCAAACCTTTTCAATATTGTTCTTACAGTCGGGCATTTCGAATTGATCCCAAGAATTTCCTAGACTATTCTCTGCAGAATGTGATTACTTTACGAAGTATATATGGTACATACTTTTTTCTTGTGAACTCGAAGGAGCCGGTAAACTATTTTGATTCTGCAAATTGTAAGAAGCCGGACTGATTTGGCCTTGCATTTGTGAATTGGAACGTGAAGGAGTGAATGGCGGCTTCACATGAGCAGGAAGAACGTTAGGAATGGGTACTTCTCCCTAAATCACAATGTTATTTTTCAAAGTAAAAAAACAAGTGAACCTTCACGTTCAAAACGATGAGGTGCATAGCCATGGAAAACTCATTAAGGTCCAACCATCCATCTTCATTAACATCGGACAACGTCCATATTCTGCAGGAATACAGGATTCAAAAAAGAAAAAAACGACAAATCAAACCTTGACAAAGATTCTGTATCCAAACCGCTTTTACGGAAAAAGTCGACTACTTGTCTATCTGCTCCATTGAGCGCAGCATTGTGTATGTCAGTTATAACTCCCTAAGCTTTATTTGAACGTCGAACGCAATTATTGAGTTACCTGAGTTGATTTGAGCAAGTGCCGGAAGCATTTAAGATAGTATTCCCGTTGTTTTTCTGAGATTTCAAATAGTTTTATTTCGCTGAATTATGGAGATAGTTGTTGTTCTTGTTTGGAGCACTTACTAATCATACATATAAGATTTACATCGTCTTGGACTCGATATGATATCATTCACAGTCTTTTCAAAATCCACATTCCCAAAATACTTTGGTTTTTCCGCTTCTTCTGTATTCATCTGCGAATATAGAAAATTAAAAAAGAATCGTTTGATGAGGATGCCAAACACAACCGTTTTATGCAAAGTTTTACGTGAAAATAACACGCTAAAGCTTGGTTTCGTTAGAAGACGCTACCGTAGTGAAAAAATAGAAGAAGCGTGAGCATAACAAACTAAAAGACAACTGATGCCAGTAACATCATGATGTATAACTTATATATTGAATTCAGTGTCAACTGTAATCATGAAAAGAAAAAGTTTTGTGTTCGAAAGTAAAATATTAAAACAAGTTACGCTTTACGATGACAAAAGTCGTATTGAAAACATGCTTTAATGAAAAAAAAACGTTGACAAACAAACATATTCCTCAGGTAATAAGAAAGAAGAAGGTAACGATAATTAGAAATGATATTTTGATTGCAGGGACGATTGTGAAACATGCTATGTTGTCATTCAACATGCATGAGTAATAACTAGTAACTATTGGCGTCCTTTGTGGATGAATACAATTGAGAATTTTGGTTTATGGGAAAGCTTACTATATTTAGAGAAAGAACTTACAATGAAAAACCGTACGTAATCTAGCGTTGATCACCTCATGTTTATCCAGAGTACACTCTAACTGAGAAAACAAAAAAGATATTTGACAAGCGGTTGACGGATTAGAATGAGATGCTAGAAGTCAAATTTTGAAATTTCTTCTCCAATCAAATATGTCTTTCAGTGCGCAGAAAAAAAGTCAGACCATGCCCTCGGCAAGAGCCATCACCGTTTTCGGATTCTCAATTATTCAAATCTCTAGATCCAACCTAACTGCCATCATTCATGAAAATAGTTGTGGACAGAGCATGCAATATTAATAAAAATTCTTATCTTTATGGCTAGGATAGATTGAAAGAGAATACTCGATTCGATTTCCTCCATTCATGCTACTGCTTGTCGGACAACCACGTTGTTTCATATATCTCAAGCTCCCAGCATCTCATCCTTCAGACTCTGAAGCAAATTTAAACAGTTCTTTATTGCAGAAAAAGTATGTTGACTGCCGGAGTTCTTAGTCATACTCTTGTAGTTGTGGTGACGGTTCTCTTGACCTCAGGAATCTGGCTGACGGTAATCTCACTTCATAGATTTTCAATGTATTGAACTAACTCACGCTTGTTTTGACTAAAGCTATAAATTTAATCCGCACATAATCAAAAAAGATGACACCTTCCTTGAAAGTGATAATTTTGAAGATGATATCAATAAGAGAGGAGAGAGAGAGTGACTACTGTAATCAAGTGCAAACTGCAGCATGGTGGAATGAGAACGTTCTAAACTACTGTTTTTCTTTTTTCAGGCCTATTTTGCTGGAGTTAAACCGTCTAAGTCAGTAAATACATATAATTATAATTATAATGGTTGTAACTCATCTACTACCTCTTCTTGTCCAGATCTTCCTACACCTCCAAGTTGTGCCGATACTTGCGAGTGAGTTCATAAGAATCTTTTTTTTTTCATCAATTTTACTTTGCAAACTAGTCATACCGTATCACTTTACAGGTTCGTAGTTTGTGAATCAATCCCGGATGGACTGCAGTTTGACCCGAAATATCAACGTTTCAATTCTACCACAGACTGTTGGATGAGGTTACTAAGTGAGTCTGATTCCGTTTAAAAGATCATACAGACCAATCGAAGAGTTCAAAGCATTCTTTATAAGTTGAGATAAGAGTTATGACTTTCGTTGACAATTTTCTCAGTAGCTGTGAAGATTTGTGCACTTTGTTGTAGTTGCAGACTTCATGTTAGGCTATAAAAGGAATGTAAGCGTGATAATACTACTTATCACCACGTGGAAAGTGTTCACTATTGCGCAGTAAGCAAGCCATTAAAACTTTGTTTACTATTCTCCTATAACTGAGATAATCAGAGAAACTTTCATAAGATTGAATGAAGAATTTTTGTAGAAAATCTCGAGAATACAGCTCCAAACAGACTGTTCATGAGATTCTAAGGGTGTGATAAGTCGTCTGAGGTTTTGATGTCATTTGATGAATAGTCAAGCAACTGTTGTTATCAAGCAAATATACATACTTGATAAGATTAAAGGAGCTTGTAAAAGCCTCTAATACTCACATAATCCTATAATTTCTCGCTACTGCAGGAAAGAAACAAGCATGATAGAGACTGGGGGGCAAATCTTAAAATTTTACTGAAAAAGAACATTTCTTCGTGACAGATAATGATTGACGATGAAAATGAAATGAAGATGGAAGTTCAAAGATAACGTTGATGCGCAAAACTTTGATTTAAACATTGAGCATCTTTAGCAAATATAGTTATTTATGAGCTGAAAATAAGATATGCCAAGCTCATAAATGTCCCTGACAGGATCGTTATTTCTAAGCTAAAACCATAAAAATTCTTAGAAACATGTGCTTTTGCTAATCACCGTTTTATTACTTTTGTCCTAACAAAATTCCCATAAAATCGAAACAAACACAACCATACATTCCATAGCTAACATGGCTCTCAAATACTCAAATGACACTTTATAGAAGAAGCTCAACAGGAAGTATTACTTGGAAGTTTTTATTGGTCTCTCTTGGTCAAAGATACTGGCGATAATTATACATCTGATCCTACCAATACCTCAGTAAATGTATGATCACTATTCACAACTCAAAAGATGTCATAATCGTTGCTTTAGGGCCAACAGATCTATGACAACATCGTTTCTACCGCTAAACGTGGAGTTAACTTCAGAATCACGCAAACATATGAAAAAGAAGGTTTTGCCATTTATAGTTAGCATTCAGCATGAACCGTTCTAGGTACACCGGAGACTGAAGAGTTCCAAAAGCTTGTTCCGGGGAAATTCAATGTGAGATCATTAGATTTCACTCAATGGTATGTATTTCAAGTCCTCAAGGGTCATGCTAAACAAATACTCTATTTGAAGGTACAAAGGAGGTATTCTACATACAAAGTCGTGGGCTGTTGATGGAAAACATTTGTATGTTGGAAGCGCCAACTTCGATTGGAGATCTTTACGACAAGTGAAAGAGCTTGGAATAGCTGTTTTCAATTGTCCATGTTTGGCACAAGATTTGACGAAACTTCTGGACATTTACTGGGAAATGGGAGCACCAGGCGCTAAGATACCTCAAATGTTTGTAATTTACTCCTGAACTATAAATTAGCCTTGCTTAAGGTGGCCACAAAAATATTCAACGGGAATTAATCATCAATCACCTATAACAGTTCCACAGTCACAAGGAAATCAAGCTGTTTACTTTTCCGTAAAATTCTATATTTAAAATCCTCTCTGAACTTTTGATCTAGGCATCGCCACCAGGATTCCAGTCATGTGGACGTGAAGACGATTTGACAGCAATGATCAAAGCGATAGATGAAGCTCGCTCATCCATCTCGTTGGCAGTTATGGACTACTCATGCTCAAGTCTTTATTTATCTCCTAATTAGTGAGTTTATATATTTCCAAGGGCAAACAATTATCATTCTGTTTAGCTGGTCTGCCAAGCTTGATGAAGCTATTAGGAGAGCTGCTTTTGATCGACAAGTTAAGGTAGAAATTCGAATATGCCACTTATCAATTAACGTTTTTTCTAAGGTTCGCTTCATGATGTCTCGTTGGCCCGATACGCGGAAAGAATTCTATACTTATCTGCGTTCCTTGAATGATGTCAGTGATCAGCTGCCATGTGTATATTCAAGTAAGTTGCTTTTCATTTTCTATTCTATTCTGAACCAAATTAGTAAAAGTATAGGTTTAAGTCAAAGAATCATGTGAAAAGTTGACTTCTAATTCATTGCACACATTGTTTACGAATTTTAGCTGGGCAAATATGAAGTTTCTAAAATAAAGACACATGACAGAAGTTTTGAAAAACAATTCTTGTTGATTCAAGCAATATTCAAATAATCATTTAATATAATTTCAGATGGAAAATGCTCAAAGAGAGGTTCCATTGAAGTGCGCTTAATAGAAGTTCCAGTTCAGCAGTTCGGGGATATTCCATTTGCACGTGTTTATCACAATAAATATTTTGTTACTGAATCAACAGGCTACGTAGGTAAGAGACACTACTTTGACATTTTCATTTTATATTATGAAATGGCTTAGGCACATCCAATTGGTCTCCCGATTACTGGTCCAATACTGCAGGAATTGGTATGATAATTAGATCGGATGACTCAACAAGCAGCTCTTATCTTGTTGCTAACTTGCAAAACATTTTTGACAGAGATTGGAACTCCAACTATACTACCTCAATTAATAAATTCGATAATAATGGAAATAGGATAAATTGAATAATGTATGCATCACGTAGTAATCCCCCCACTTAATTATTAAGAGCCCGATGTCTTTGGTCATGAACACATTAAGCTATTACTGTGTAATAGCTCATGTAATATATTTTTGTACATATACTGGTTACTATATGAAATAATAAATTCATACCTTCCATCATCTATTGTCTATTTGTTCTTATGTGCCGCAAACATAGAAATTTCAACCTCGATGCATCGAAATACGTGCACATTTGACTTGATAGTCTACTTAAAAGTTTCACGTAGAAATTCCACGTAAACGTTCGATCTGAATTGCTTTGTGAAAGGAACCACGTAACCAAATGGTTATAAATAGCTCCACTTAACCGTTTGACGTATACAATAAGCAATGAAAGTTTGAACGTAAACGCTTATGCGGAAATAATTACACGTGAAAATTACACGTAAGCGTTGGACCTGAATTACTACGTGAAATGATCTATGTAAACGCTTAAGCGGAATTAACTTCCCTTGAAAATTCCACGTAAGCGTTCTACCTGAATTACCACGTGAAATGATCTACGTAAACTCTCATAAGGAAATAATTAAACGTGAAAAATCCACGTAAGCGTTTGACCTGAATTATTACGTGGAACGGTCCACGTAAATGCTCATGCGGAAATGAGTTCACGTTGAAATTTCACGTAAACGTTTGACCTGAATTACTACGTGAGAGTTTCCATGTAAACGCTGATACGGTAATGAATAAACGTGGAATTTCTACGGAAATGTTTGAGCTGTTTGGCTATGTGAGAGTTTCCAGGTAAACACTTGTACGGAAATAATTGCACGTGGAAGTTCAACGGAAACAATTGACTTGGACAGTTTAACGTAACCGTTTCACGTGAACATTTAAAAGTGAACGCTTTAGGGTAAATAGTTTCACGTTGTCCTTGGACGTGAATAATTAAAACGTTAGAATTTTAAAGTGAAAGCTCCTGCGTAAAAAACTTCGAGTGAAAGCTAACGCGTGAACCGTTTGACATTTAATGGTTTTACTTCGTCCTGAATGGCTCTACGTAAATACTTTGATGTGAGTAGTTCTCTGTATAATTTTCCACTTAAGTGTTTTCATGAGAAAGTTTCAACGTAGTCGCTTTTACGTGAACGCTTAGATATGCAATTTTGCACGGAAATACTTTCACGCAAAAGATTTTTCATTATAGTTGTGACTTGCATGAAGTATGTACTACATCATTTATTCAATTGTTATTTCCAAGAAGCAGTTGCATTCAAGATGTGAAGCTGTGAATGAAAAATGTTCCTAAGTAGTTATTCTTTTCATTTTGTCAAATAAAAAGATAAAAAAAGAATAAAAGGAAATCAGAATCCATTTTAAGTCATTTTACATAAGATTCTAATAGAACGCGGTTATCTGGAAAGTGACGTGCTACTCGGTCTGATAGGAAACATTATCAACTACAAAACTAATGTTGTCAGATTCATGAGACAGATTTGAAACATATTTTTTTGTTTCTTAAAACATAGAATTCATAATATAAGTTTGTGATGTACATCCCTAAATGGATTTGTATGTGTGTAATTCCCTTAAGGCAGTTTCTGAATCTAAGATGAGCTCTTGCTCAAAAGCTTTGCATTATTGAAGAAATCATTTATCAAAGAATGCCGAAATGGTGAACAATAAAAATCAAAGGAAACTTTTCTGAGTGAGTCTCATCATGGGAATAAACAATATAATATAATTAACTTATAAAAATGATAATATTGTAATCTGCACTGATAAGTTTCAAGAAAATATATCAGATTAGCCAATCAACCACACCCATAATGAACTTAAAAATTTATTAATCAAAGATATAGCGAAGATCAAAGTTTTTTATCACCTAATCCCTTCATTGATAAGCATCAAGGATAAAAGCAGCAGAAGAGAGGAAGCAATTGTACAACATGAGAACTCTTCTCCTACTCTTGGCATCTACTGCCCTCGTTGCAGGCCTTGCCTTGCCTTTCCGATCTGTGAAAGGAAATGCTGATGGAGCCCACAAATACTCTGTTCAACTTTATTATAAAGTTAGTTCTATTTTTATATTCTTTCTTTAAAGATACTTTTTTTAGATTCCCAATCAAATGTACAGCTTATGGGTAACAAACATCACTGTCGGAACACCAGGACAAACCTTCCTTTCTTTTGTAATTCATCTCAAAATGCTGTTTTCAATATATTTTTTTTTAAGATTGACACTACTTCCTCAGGTTTCTGGGTTGCAGATGCCAGCTGTGACAACAGCTTCAGCCCTGGATGTTATGGCGTTAAAATGTTCTACTCGTATGGAAAAAAAGAGTTATATTGAGATGATTTTTTTTTGTTTAGTAATGCATCTTCTACCTATGTGCCAACAATCAACGGCACATACATGTCTAACAACACTTTCGGAGATTCTTTCGGTATTGTTGGAGTTGATAATGTTAAGCTCGGAAACGATGATGCTAAGGCTGTGCTCATTCCAAACACACCTTTCGGACAGGTTTGCATAGTTTCGAATACCTTTTGAATAGTAATTGAATTTATAGTCTGATAGCCTTCCATACTATCTCAGAAACACCGGTATTAACTCAGTATTGGGAATCGGATTCCCAGGTTTAACCCCCAGTGCACCATCTCCACTCTTCAACGATGCTATCGCTAAGGGTATGTAGTTCTGATGATGAATTGCATATGATATATAAACATTTAGGAGTTGTTAAGAAGGGAATTATCACTATCTGGTTCGAGGATCAATATGAGACTGATGATAATGGAGTTGGTGGAACCATCTATTACGGAGGTTTGTCTAAATACATATTTTACAATAAGATATCTGAAGCTTCTTGCTCTAAGAAAACATAAAGCTGAAGTGTATTTTAATAACTTGTTTTGAGTATTGAATAAGCTCATAAAGGCTGAACAAGGCAATCTATCACTCGCATCGTAATAAAAAAATGTAATGCAATTTTCCTTTTCAGATGAGGATCCACTTCATTGTACTGGAACAGTTAACTACACCCCACTTTCTAGAGCTTCTCTCTGGCAATACACTACACCAAATGTCGCTGTAAACGGAGTTCGTGTCAGCTCCATCGGTAACATTCAGGTAATTTTTATTTGATAGATAAAATTAATAGTATTTTGGTGACCATTTTCTTATCTAAGTTTGCATCAGAGAACAAAAACCAGAGAAATCTGAAGTTGTTTCGAAGTTCTCAAACGTTTTCACCATTTCAAATATATAACTATACTATATGATCATTTAAACAAAAATTTCAAATGGGTTACAAAGTAAAAAACATTCTCCATTCCAGACTATCATCGATACCACTAGCAACTTCATCACCGCTCCACCTCAAGTTGTCAACGCTATCCTCAGTGCTTTGAAGATCAAAAACTCAACTGGCAGAAACCCAGTAGTTCCATGTAACACCAAGATCAACCTTACCTTCTTGATGAACAACACAGCTCGTAAGTAACAATTGCAAAAACAACGTTTTTCATTTGATTATAGAAACTATCACTGAGCTGAACTTGGTTACCAAGGATGCTAATGGTGTTTGTAATTTGGCCATCATGAAGGCTATGCCAAAGGGAACTGATAATGGAATTAGATTCGAACTCGGAGAACCCTTCATTCGTGGAAGATGTCTCTTCTTCGATTATAATAATGAACAAATTGGATTCACTGATGCTGGCACTCACACATAAGCTATATTAAATACTTCAATTGACAGAGCTTTCAATTATTGTTTATTGTATAGAAAAAACAATTTCATAAAAGGTTCATTATCATTCGAAATGTTGTCATATAGAGGGGTTGTAAAAACGAGCTTCAATATGATGAGCGTCAAGATCTCCATTCATCGATTCTCGCCAAAGACGACGTCTCCAAGCTGGACCATAGCTTCCTGGGAACAAAAAAATTTGTTTAGGCGTCAAGGTCTAGACGTCACGAGGTTTTTCTTCAACATTCATTTAACACACGTCTCGAGATGGAGTAGAGGGACGTAGGCAAAAGATATACTCAGAAATGTTTGGAGACTTGTACTCGGACAGAAAACGTTTGTTGAAAGCAAAAACAAAATGAAACATTATTTTAAATTCTTACCGAAACTTCGAAATTGAGCTGTGGCCTCTTCTATGAAAAGAGAGCAAACCAGAACAAGTAAGATAATGGATAGTAGACGAAGCATTCTAAATGGCTTAATAAAAAAAACTGAAAAAAGCCTTTTATAGATATGAAGGATGAAGAACAAACAATGAGGGAAAGGTTTAAACGAGAAGTAAAATCTAATTGAGTTCCTCTATAGCCACCCACACCAGTTGGGATATCATGAGATGTACAGACGATACTCTTTGTTTTGCCTTCAAGTGGAGAGCAAGACTTCTCTCATTTTCAAATGTATGAAAGGTTAAGTAACAAACAAAATTGAACATTTTTTAAAAATACTCTCATAGAAACGAGAGAAGATAAGAAGTTCTAGCTCTTCAATTGTACAAACTGCCAAATGAAGCTAGTGAAACCATGGCGTATTGGGGCGGAGTCATGACTTAGGGGCTGAACAACTTCAGCTTTAGCTGAATATGATTTCATCAACCTGGAGCTATTCTGAGGATTATACATCTATGAGCATGTATTTTGATCTTCGATTAGACAATCTAAACAATCTCACAATTGAAGTTTGACATTTAAAAAAATGAGAACTATGAAATGAGCATAGTTTCATTTGTATGTTTATAAAAACCGAAGAACATGGGATCTCTTTTTTCCAAACAGACAATTTTCTTTTCTTAACCTGAAAAAAAAGGGAAACAGCTTGTGAATAGATGCAACGACAAGCTCCGATTAGCATAGGATTGTCTTTTATACATAATGAACTTTGAAGGCGTTCATCAAAAAATTTATTGTATTAAAATGCAGAGAGCAAAAACAAGAAATGGAATAGCTGAAGTAGTCCAGGGCTGAAGTGTGTAGACTCTTTAAGGTTGTCGTACGCTTCAATCGTCGATGTGGCTATCAAACTTTCGTTCAGCTTACATGTCAAACCATAATCCAATAACGCTGTGTAATACAATTCTGACCGTTAACTGTACGGAATTTCTAGAGGTTAGATAGGTAGGATGCATTTTCTCTTTTCTTTTTCACCTAATAACACACTCTTGATTTGGTATCTTCTCAAAAGTTGAGGTGTGACCACTCTCTCTTTATCCTTTACTTATCTTAGTGTGTGACCTCTTTGCCAAGGCACTTTCTCTTCCTCCTTGAGTGACCTTCTTTTCTCTTCCTCACTGTGACCGAGCACAATTACACATTTGCTCTAGATGAACTAGACGCACGCAACGCCAAAAACGCAAGGGGCTAGGATGGAAAAGAAAATCGCAGAGGAAGACGAGAAAATACCACTCTTCTATTAGCTTTTGTGAATAGAAAAGACAATTTATTCTCTTCTGTAGTTCGCATTGATTTTGTCACTTCCCATCCGTGTTTATTCTTGGTTAACTTATTTCAGTAATTTTAAGGTTTCAGATATGGTTACGATTACGATACGTTTGGTAGGTGAAGAGAAAGATAGTTTATTCCATTTATGTGAGCTGGATCCACAGGTTTTTACATAATGGTTAATAATAACTGATTTTGAGTCAAGTTCAGATTCATGTAGATGACCTGAAGAAAGAAGTTAAGAGTGTGACGAATATCCCACCAAATTTTCAACAAATCGAGTTTCGTTCTGAAGAACTACCCGACTCGCTTCATCCTCTCGAATCGATCAACGATTTTGAGGAACTGGTTGTGGTAAGTTGTTATTTTATCTTTAAAAATCACTGTTTATTGATAGGATGTGTGCTTTCATTTTGTTAGAGTTTAAGGTTTTTCATTGGATATATTTTGATCTTTTTGAGGGTTAATTTAACGATTTGTGTGATTGAAATAGTATTACACCAATATTAAATAACTAAATTATTAAAGGAATTGACGTTATAACTTCTTTAGAAGCATGTACATCTCGACCACTGGAAAGCATATGTCTATTGTGCAGAAGAATTTAAAAATGCACGTGGGAACGGCACAAGAAAAATGCTTGCGCAACATGCTCAAGGATCATATGATATGCTTCGTAGATGTTCATTTTTCCGTGCTTATGCCAACTTCCATATCGCGGTCTTAAAGTATCACCAACCAATCAGCGAGTATTTGGATGATAAGTACATCCTATGGATACAGAATGCCACAAAATACTTCTTCGCATTGTCCATGTTCAAAGGACAGAATCCAGTAGTTGAATTCGAAGAAACAAACTCTGGAACGCGTTCGGCAGTGATATGCAAGATCACAGTGAATTCAATTACTAACAAATATCGAGTTAAAACCAACCACAACGCCAGAGGAAGTAGTCAAGGTAATGTTTTTTTTTCAAATTTTTATTTCAAATTCGATTCTGTTTTAGCCAGCTGTTGGGACCTCGATCTCATCGAGCTTTATTGTTATAAACTTCTCGAGTCGATTGGAGTAGGTAGTAAAATTGCGTTTATTCCGAATTTTTTTGCACCCAAATCAAACGTGTATATTGGAAGCGAGTGGTTGGCAGATTTTCAATCTTTCAACTCGATTAAACAAGGTTAGTTTTTCCATACTATTTTGATGTACGTTATGCGATTTTAGTTAATACGACTGAAGTCTCTCATGCTGTCGTTCAAATCTATTTCTTGGCTGTATTTCTTTCACTTGGCGACATGCACGATGACAATTTTGGAATCAATGCAAACTCCGATCCAATAATATTGGATTTCATGATGTCTAATTATAGAAATCCCGTGAACACATTCTTGAACAGGGACGATAATCTTTCAATCCGAACTCGCGATATATTGTTTAATTGTGACACTACTACAAGACTTCAAATTGCCAAAGATGTTATTCGGAAATGGAATCTCATGGACAAGTTGGGCGAGGTTCTAGAATTGATGAACCAAGAAATGAAGGATTTTGGTCTAATGAAGTTTGACTTGGACAAGAAGACACGAGATTTGGAGGAGTTTGTCGAAAAAGTGAGAACAAATATCTGGGATCTGTTTCGCGATTGAATACTGTTATGTTCCCTCATAAACTACCGACTGTTTTCTTTATCCCATTGTGCACCATTCTACACTCTATCCCCGCCCACTTTTGATACTATTTATAATCGTTAGTTTAACTATCCATTATTAGCATCGAATAAAGCTATTATTCACTTGATTCGCAAGACACCACAAATACAACAAAAACTCACTGTTTTTTCTTTAATTCCTTGTGATGGTAAGATGTCTCTCATGAAGACTCCGCGGGAATGTGGATGTTTATGAAGTTCAAACTGAAAAATTGGAAACTGAAAAACGCATTTTAGGTGAAAGAGAATATGCTATCTGGAGCACTTTACATACCACTGATGGCTGACGGACTTTAATTTAGATGAGCAGCTTAACCATTTGAAATTAAATTGGTTGAACAAGCTTTCGAAAATGAATGAAACGACATCATAATTCTGTGGAAACTCAAGCAAATTGTAGAGCATTTGACATTAAGACAAAATAATTGAAACATTTGTTGTTATTTAAAGGATTCGTTTCAACTTTGCGGAAGGAAATTTAAACGAAAAACGTTGCTAGCTGTAATTGAACTTCATAAAGATCCAACTATTAACTGTGTCAGTCAAAATGTCAAATTTCAGAATTTTAATTAACTTTCTCATCATTATTGGAAGCGGTGAAGCAGAAGCGTATAGAATTAGAATGATATCATAATACATAAGTGGTATAATGTTTTAGACTGATTGATAAAGTACCTTTTTTTAGATGAGACTCCATAGCACAACAAACATATGTCCTTTCATTCATTAAGGACAAAAAACTTCTCATCCGTTACACGAAGTACTTGTACCTCTCTCTCTCCTCTAAAACTCTCTCTTTGACAACCTAAACTCTTCAACAGAGTAATTGGATTAAACAAATCATGTTAATATCCTATATATGAATAATGAAGTTAACCGTTTAACAAATCATGG